CCCATTTAAGAGCTCTCGATTGGTGGCAAATATAAGAGCTAGATTTTTGCCAATGGTATACCAAGCCTGTTGTGGACCTCGATGAGGAGTGCCTAGGAATATGACTCCAATGGTTCGGTCAGCACAGGTCGACGATTGGTTGATGGCCTATCTCCTCCATATCAGTTTCTGATTATCGACTGCTCAGATGGAACATTGGCTCATGGTGGAAGAAGTCCACGAAGAAGAAAGACACATACACATTTAACAAGCAGGCCGCCAAGGCTATGGGCAACAAAATTTATATGCCCCCTAAGTCTTTGTAACATCTCGCGTTCCAGATGCAATTTGAGGTCTTCACCGTGCTGTGTGATGGTGTTTTTATTGTTCCCACATTTCACGTCGTTCTCAAATATAGCAGCATTGTAGCCATATGTCCAAACCCGTGCTTGTCCAGAGAGCTCCTTTGCAGGAAGGTCACGGGGCCATATTAATGTTTGTGAGGACTTCTGGTATTGCCACGTGCGCAATCGATGACCTCGTAAACCATGAACAAAAACTATGCTGTAAACTTGTTCATTAGTAATGAGAGGAAATAAGACGCAGTAGAGGTTCCATATGCCAGATCTCTTACTCAGTGCCATCATCGCACGTGCTGATGTTGTCGTCCGTGGTGAGCAGAAGCAAGCCAGTGTTGCTATCATTGTTGACTTCAGATTCTTCCGTGCCTAGCAAAGTCTGGGATTTGGCGGCCCAACTGGTTGTTCTTGCTGTTGTTGAGCAGGACCCAGGCCTGAGTCTCCTGAAGCGGGGATAGGAGCTTGACCCATCTTTGCCTTGATCTGTCGCCTGCTTTGGATCACGTTCTCGAGAACCCCATGAGTTGAAAGCATGAGACAAATACCTTCGCATGGTTGGAATACCAGGCAAAGAGTTGTTACAATTTCTTTGTTCGTCACCCCAAATCCCACATGAGTCAAACACTGAAAGATTGCCTAATGGTCAGGCATCCAAAATTGCGGAAGAGTGTGTTGCCGTCTTATTGGCTGGAGATTACCCCAGCCTGTTTGAGACAGCTTGCGGGCTTGTGTAGGGTGTGAACTGACGGACCTGTGCTCCTTCGGTATTTTGTTTCTTAGCCCGGCAATCTGTACTCGCTGGCAGCAAATGAAGCAAGCGCAGACTTCTAATGTCGATCATACACAAAGAGTGGGAGATTAAGAAAAGATGATAATGAGGCTTTCTTTTGACTCAACGTGGGTCAGGCCCGATATCCTATGCGTCTCTAGACAAAGAACAAGGAGTCCACCTAACATGCAAAGATTGAGGCTGTATCCAGTGCAGGCCCCATGCATCAAGGTCAACCCGTACTTAGGAAAGCATATGCGTGGGAAGCTACTAGATAAATCGACATTTGTTACTAGCATAGGTGACCAATTTCACAGATTATTATCAAGAATATTGATGAAGAATTGTTCATATGGTCTCTTGAAGCTTTAAGGAAGACATGAATGTTATTTGATTAGCGGCTTAAATGAATATTGGAGCAAAGATTTGATCACACCCTTCAAGTGTGTCATTACATAGCAGAAGCGAGGAAGGAATGCTTCGCAGTAGTCCAGGGTTTCTCGGGCTGCTATTGGTAGATTGCCGCCAACTTAAGGTCCATTTATTAATTTATCCATTCATTTATATTTTCCGACTGTTTCACCACTGAGGGTGCTAAGTCGTACCCACGGTGCCAGCGGGCAAGAGCTGTCTAAGATAAATTAACTATAGGTGACGCCGGAGGAAAACCCACGTGGGAGAAAAACCGACATGAGATATTGAATGGCTGTTATGACAGAAATTTCCTTAGTCAGCAATAGAAAAAGTTGTTAACCAAAACTGGTGACCGCAGTAAGCCACATACACTATTGTGTGAGGACCCCAGTCACTCAGGTTCTACAACTTAGCCACTACCTTTGAACCATCGCAGGAGGTTGTGAAATCGTCACATTCCTATTGCTGAATAAGGTGATCCTCATCGTAGTCCTATGGATTGGCAATTTTCATATACGTATCTATACTCAGGTCATTGGCATACCTACTGTAGATTTGAAGGCGCACTCGGCATGTTTATCACTATTCAAGATTATCACGATGGTGATGACGGTGATAATGCTCCTCCCCCCATTAGGAATCCTCCTATTGGTCGCTCCTTTGCCATCTGTAGGGCAGCCGCCAAACCCATTACAGGTGCCCAACAAGTAGTAGCATGGCTTGTGCGTACGGAAAGGAGGAATGCCCGTTTAAAATGATGGTAGTACGCGTAAGCATGTACATGCTGGATTTCAGCATTGGGGGCGAAGCATGCTGACTTATAACACTCGCCATCTGTCCTTCCGCACAGCTTTACAGGCTCCCGCACTTTCAGATGTTGATTATTGGCGTGTGACCGACATCGATACACCTCAGCATCCAGTTTATGCTAACATCAAATCGATTCTTCAAGAATTCTTCGCCAACAAAACTCTGCAGCGCGAAACTTCAATAAACCATGTACCGGGTGGAGAACAACCGTCTTCAGGTAGCTGGGTAGCTCAGCAACCCGAGAGTTCACATCTGGCACGTCAGCACACTGGAAGTCTCTCTTTTTCTGAATCTAGTATATATTACTCCACCCAGAGTCATAGGAGTTCAACTCATGCAGCAGAGCAGGACTAGCATGAACTGAGTCAGCTTTCGAAAGGTCGAGCATGGTGTAAAGAGACGTCTGAGCCCCCAGAGGAAAGAGCGAATCAAGAATCTCCCCCGCTATTGAGAGGAACTGGATGTCAGTTCCCTTATGCAGGGCGGGTTGGAAGAGCCACTGGGCGCAACATAGTTTTTCAGGAGAAAGGAGGGAAAGTATACATTGACGCAAACAATCGACGCACTTGAGAATATCCCTGGAACTATACAGGCCAGTGGGACCGTGTCAGGGAGGAACAGCATTCTAGAAAGAGTATGATGCCTGAAGGAGGAACAGCCACAAAGTACTCCGGTAGTAGTGGTACTGTTATCACAAACAACGTGGTCTGTTGCAGCAATCTTCATTGCACTATTATGTGATATCATTGAGCAACACATTGGTCACAAGGATAGTCTGCTGGATGCAAACGTACACTGATAAAAAAGGGATAGTTCAGAATGCAAGTCAAATGGTAGGCTGTTGGTGTTGTTCTGTGACATTTCTTTGTATGTATACAACAGCAAAAAAGCTTCGAATATAAAACAAACGGACAACAAATAAGACTGGCCTGGCATTTGGTGACCCGCTCTGGCTCGCATTCTGGTGATGACTTAGATGTTCATAAGGAGGTCAACCCTCTCAAAAAGGTGCATAGCCTGGCAAGTATGTGAGATAATTTTGTTTATCCACTCAAACACGCAGATGCAAAGGCTTGCATTTAACTTCCGGCATAGTGTGATGCGCAGTAGCCCGATTATTAACGATGAGTGCTCAAAAGGATGAGGAGAGAGCAGCGCCCTACAATATCCCCCCATGGAGACCAGATCAGTCCTTGCCCTCATCCATCGATTGATCTACACTTTTACAATGAGCATTTTCCTGCTTCACCATGTCATCCAGTTATCAGCTTTAACTGCGGTTGCTCCGGAAAGTTCCAGAAGTAGAAAAAGGAAAAGAAATGCATTCGGTTGTACCTACCAATCGTGGAGACAAAGTAGATAGCGTAAAGTTACCTGGTAACGTAGTAAGAAACTTCACGTATCCTAAAGGTATGGAAACATTACTCCTTCCCCCCGCCCCCCCCCCCAAAAAAAGACATTTTGAAGCTGCACTCTGACCCCAGTGCGGCAGATACAAATCTAAAGCCTTGATGTGTGCTTGTCGTAACCATTAGGCACCAACTTAGTTAAATCTTCACAGTTACACTGCAGCATCTAGACAAACGGTAGCTCGACGAATGGGTAGGATTTGGGAATTGCGGCACCAAAATGGTCATTATTATCTTCGGAAGTCCAAAGGCTTGATTGGAGCATAATGCAACTACTGGATACAAATGGAAATCGAACAATGATCGGGGCTGTTGCTACACACCTCACATCACTCGAAGCGGATTGCTACAGATATGCAACGAAGGTTAAGGTACCAAGCAGTACCTGAGTGAGGCTCTTTTCATGTTGTCAAAACTCAAAAGAAGAGATACCATAACAATCTTTCTAATCTCGTGGCAGATACTCGCCCATTACTCTTAAGCCTTGTCAGCTATAGACGTTGAGTCTAACAACCCTCTGCCCCGTGTCAATGCTCGTGTTTCCATGGGATACCTTCAGCAGAATGTATAATTTGCTATCGAGTCTTCGCCCAAATGCACGTTGAGCGCACTCCAGTTGCTTAGCTTTGATGACTCTCGCTGATAGGTCTTGGAATCCCCTTTTTAGAGCTTAAATGGCTGAAATGCAATACACTAGCAGCAGTCTGGCTTTTCGAGCCCGATGTACATTGCATGTCGATGATTTACTATCCCTAACGAACCCTAGTTGAGGCAGGTGGGCTGTTAACTGTGGTTGGCTGAAGATGATTCCAAGCAAGACCACTCAGACTGTATTGCAGACAACAATCATCCTGTAGCCAGGAATCCAAGACTCTATGCACACATTGCCGCCACATTAGCCTTCCTGAGACATTGGGCAGAAATGGTGTGGATTCGTCAACATTTCCAGTTGGGGAATGTATTCTACTCCATTTAGTCATCCGACTTCACACGCGCTATATATCAGTAGCCGCTTGTCTCAACAGTATCTCCACCTCTCATGCTCTCTGGTCCCCCTTTTCAGGGAACACAGCATTCTCTCTTTCTATGTCATGGTTCCAATGAGACATAAAACCATGCCTTCCGCTTCAAAATCTTTGTCCTCCTTCGTAACCAAGTTTCGCAAGCAATCCCAGGCAGAGATGGCTTCTGAAACTGTGGTCCAAACACCACCCCTTTCAACAGTCAGTCCAACTGGCTTGACATTGATATACCCAGAAGATGGCTCTACTGCAAACACTCAGGCTGAACTTAAGTATGTTAAAGCTAATTGTGCATTGGATAACATCGGGGGCTAACTTAGACTTAGCATCGTTTTTGTTCCAGGATTGAATGGACACCCGCAATATACTTGGCAGACTGAGAACAAGAATGCCGGAATCTTCTGGCCTCGGGATTTGCTTGCCATGGATGTCAATGGCAAGGCAAGAATCTGGGTGTATGGCCACAATTCAATCCCAAAGGAACGTATTCCAAACATCATCACGGACCATGGTGAGAACCTCGAGCACAGCCTGGAACAGAGAGTTCTGTCTCAGAACAAGGATCCGATCGTTTTCATAGCACACAGTGTCGGTGGTCTTGTCATCAAACACGTATGTGAGAGTGTCCACAAGAGTAACTTGTCAATCATACTCATGACGCATGGCAGGCAATCAATAAGTCGGGGGCCTTCAACAACAGAACTAAGCTTGTCATCTTCCTTGGCACACCACACCATGGGCCGGAAGTCATCTTGTCAAGAATTGCAAAGAACCTAGCGTTGATTTCAGATGATGATAGAAGACTTTTTTCAAGGGCTCGTGAATAGTAAGCTTCTTGAAGAGATCAACCAAGCATTTAAAGATATTGTAACCAAGCAATGCATCCAAATTCGCTCCTTCCAGGAAACTAATGGTATTTTTACAGCAGGGTCATAAGAAAAGAAGGTAAAGTTACTCGTCTATAACAATGGATACGATAAGTAACTGACCTTTTTTCGCTGTAGGTTGTTGACGACCAATTCTCGAAACTTGGCCTAGAAGATCACATCGAGCAAGTTAAGCAACTCGGTGCCGATCACAGGGAGATGGCAAGATGCTCCAGCAGGGAGGATGCAAAGTACAAGGCAATGCTGAATGAGCTGCTATTATTGTTCGCGCCTACTGAACACGAAGCCAGCAATCCAGAGCCCACCAAAACCAGCACCAAAGCCGTCACCGGGGTTATGAGGGATGAGTACTCAGGTCACACTTCTCGAGTTGGAAGTACTGTTGCTCGAAACACGGCAGTAGTGGGCGATAACGTAAGGGTGATCGGAATCGGGACAAAAAATCCACAGGCAGAGGTCTCTGTCGTCAACCAGCCTTTGCCTATGTCATCCTCTGCAGAAGTCCAGCGTGTTGTCTCTGCAAATTTGCTGATCATGGGGGACGGTGGTATCGTAGAAAACATTGGCTGAGCGTGCTTTAAAAGTATGAAAAGGTTGTGAACATTCCTCGGCACAATACATAGTTTGGATAGCTATCAGAAGATTGATACCAAACGTGGACTCTAAATGCTACATTAAAATCTCAACTCTGATAAGACCCTATCATTAGCAGTGGCCTAAAGATAGAGGTGTGAGGTTCACATTAAGCCTGTGGAGCAAGCAGTTTAACAACTAGCATAATGTTATAGTTACAGATGGATTGATAGGAGCAAGCCTGTTGCAAGGTTTCCAAGTCCGGTAGGATATGATGGCGGCAAAGGGTTGGGCTGTCTCTGCAAGTGGGGTGAGGGGATCCACTCACAACAGTGACTTTGTTAGATTACGACCAGCATGACGTTGGCCAAGCCATAAGCCCTCCACTGGTGAATCCTGATTCGTCGATACGTGCCGGCCTCTTAGATCAAAACCTCACCTCGCAATCGCAGCATTGTCCCTTGCCCTTGAGCTTCAGGTTTGATTGTCGCCAAACCCTCTGTCAAGCCTCAACCTCATCCCTCTCAGTATGGTGATGAACCGACAATTGTGATCGTACCCAGACCATGAGACAGCTCTTCTACTCAGCAAGAGTCTGTCGGTTTTCTCATGTGCAACCTCAACGACTCTCATCTTACAAATGGCAATGGCAACAACAATGCCAACGCTTCAGCTCGAGCTCCAGCTACGTTGAGCATATCAAGGTGCCGTGTGCCTCAGCAGGCGAGATCACTGTGAGGTGAGTATTCTTCTTCTCACATCAATGCACACTCATCAGCCTCACATATCCATAGTCTACATAACATTGCCAACCACTCTGCTACCACGCCGATTGCCATCTACCTTCCTCCCTTCTACCGTGGCGCCAACACGGTTGCCCCTTTGCCCAGGTGTCTGCAGGACCACCCCGTCGCAGTTATCAATTACCGTTGGTCTCCCTTCACCACTAAACTTGAGCCGGGAAGCACACCGCTATACTGGCCAATCCCCCTCCACGATGTCACCTTCGCCTACAACTGGCTGGCAGAGAACCTTGGCGCATCTACCAATTACAAACCTGCAAGTGGTGGTGACAAGCTGATTCCACGCCCAGCCTATGTTGTAGGAAGTTACCTGGGCGCGAGCCTCGCCGCGGCGCTGGCGATGACTGAGTGTCATCGGCCAATGGGTGAAAATAATTATCATATGTCTGTCCAAGGGCTCATCGCATACAATGGGATCTACAACTGGACGACATTTTTGCCCGACCATCCTCTTCACGCAAAGGCAGCCAAGAGAAAACGATTGGCAACTAGCAAAACCAACCCAGAAGATGGCCCCCCGCCCTACGAGGAAGAGGGTGTCTTTACAACTATCAAGTCCCAAATCCCTGGACTGTTCGGCGACAACCCCGAGAACCTCTTCGACCCATTTGCGTCCGTTTGTTTCTTCTTCCACACACCAAATCTCCACGTTCCCGACGATTTCTATACCCCGTTGACTGACGAAGATACCGAGCTTCCCCCGTCCCTTAACAAACTCGTCAACATCCTCTCCGACAACAAAACCCAACCGCCGCTCAACCCCGAAGACATCTCCGAAGACCTCCACAGCCTCATCCGCAAGGTTGTTACCCGCATGAAACTTGCCAAACCCGCCCGCAAATCGCTCCTCAAATATCCACCGGCCGAATCCGATCTCTCCCTCCCGCCAACCCTCCTCCTCTACTCAGTCCAAGCGCCCTCCCACATGAAAGCCCGCAAGAGCCGGAAAAGAGCCAAACCCCCCGACCACAGCAAGCACTATCTTAACTCATTCGCTCACCAAGCACAGGATCTGGCGTCACTTTTGCGAATCGCAGGCGGGGAGTACGAGCTACGCAGAGGCATCGAAAAAGCGCGAACATTCTTGAATACGCCGAGTGTGGGGCCAGAGGCAGAAGAAGCAAGAAAATTTCTGGAGGAGCAGGAGATTAACATGGCGCGGTTGATGGAGGATGTGAGGGCAGAGGAGGTTTTCGTGAGAGAGGGGGGGCAGGACGAGGGAGGGGAAGTGGATCAACCTTTTGATGGGGAGACGGGGGAGTTGGTGAGAAAATGGCTGCACGAGAGGATTGAAGAGAGACGGAGGAGATGAGTGTGTGGGGGTTGGGTAGCGAGTTGTTTGTAATGTATGGGTGGATACCCTGTTGGTTTTAGTGGTTAGAGTTGGGACATGAAGAGGTACAGTATGTAGGGTCCTTTACTTTGATGGTCAAGCTTCGTGGAGGCTATGTGGAGTGTTTGTGTATTGATTACCCTCACTACCTAACATGATCTCCTAAAACTCGACCAAAGTCGCTGCCCTAGACAAGCTCTCTCGGGTACTATGTGGGGTAGCAACAGGAGGAGGTGCGGCAGGGAGTCTCGCCGCCCTGCCTGCGTCTTGAGCTTCTGTAGATGACGCGAGCTCCCAAGATTGATTAGAGTTCTTCTTCTCTCTGCTCTCTGGCCTTTTTTGCCTGTTCTTTCCGAACTTTTTGAAGAGCTTGGTGAATGAGAGAAATAAATGCATGAAACATGGAAAGATTCGGTTCATGAGACACCACAACACATAGCTCAATAACAGACGTAAGATGTGAAGCTCAATGGGCAGCATCACCAACACTATTATCGCCCAAACCGGAAACCCTTCCGGTACCTTAGGACAGACATCTCCCTGGAAGGTCTCCATCCCTTCCCATGGAGCGGGGGTGACTGTCGGAATAGCCGTGATATCAGTGACATGATATGATCTTGTCTTTGTCGCTTTGATAAGAGGTGGCTTCGTCCCACTAAAAGTTTCCGTGGCTGAAATGATGGTTTGTGGCAATCCCCATGAGATATTGTGACCATGAGTGTTCTTCCAGCACTTGCGGTCACCCTTTAGGTAGGCACCCAGGCAGCAATAGCGACTGTCGGTACAGTATGCAAGGTGGCCTTGCTCGTACGGAGGCTCTATGAAGAGGTTAGAGTTTGTCTTCTTAGTTGCAACGGGACAAACTGATAATGGTAATGGGAGAAGCGCATACCTAAGCAAACATCCCCGCAGATTGCGTTGTTCCATTCCGGCGCAGTACATGCTCCTCGTTGGACGGAACCCAAGGGTGATTTGGGAGTGATGCTTGTTTCATTGGTGAGAACACACAGGGAATTGCTAAAACAGGTCCAGCCTGGTTGGCAGCACAGCTTCACTGGCGTATCAGACACGTCACATGGAACATAGCCATACGCGGGGGTGCCGCCAGGGAAGTAACACTGAACATTGTCCTCAGCCTCGGCCTGGACAGGGACAGGGAAGAGAATTGGTACAAAAGTCAGGAACAAGGAGAGCCCCTTAAAAGACAGCATTGTGTACGTTGCTAAGGAAGTCATGAACTCGCTGATGTGTAGAGCACTCCTGCTCCTTCATCATGATAGCAGAGGGGAGTCAACGGCAGTATTTGTAGACTTTCTGCCTGCCTCTTTTCCTCTCCATTTGTCACCTCTCATGGAATAGGTCGACCATTGCGACGCCTGCCGTAAGGATCCCTGGTCGAGAGTGATAGGCTGACCAGCTGCGAGAAGCTGAATGCTCGACTCCCCCAAAAGCCATTCGGCCTCACCTCGACTGACAACCTGCAAGTTTTTCCAAAGCGAAACAATCCCACACTCGCTATAACAGCATCCGCTGGACATCAAGCGTTCAAGGATACTTTCTAATGAAGCAGAACGAGCATGAATGACTGAGGGATCAAGAGCCGGTAACAGATAACGAGATGGTCCATATGACGTGGGGAACTGTGGCATCTAAACAGAGATGCATGTAGCTGGGTTCGAGAACTCCCATGGAACACACATCGAAGGGCAGGGAGACTGCACCCTGCCGTACGATTAGCCACACCGTGGGGTTTTTTTTTGTTATCAGCATCGCGGTGTTGGCCAACCTTAGTAATGTCCAGTCCCACTTTGCATGCTGGCATGTCGTTAGAACAGCAAGGCTGACTCCAGCCACAGATCGCCTCAGCCGAATGGTCGCGCATCATCGGGGCTTCTTCAGCCGTTCTCATGCATTCTCATGCATTCAGCCATTAAAGTGCCGGGGGGGGGGCTGATTGTTCGGTGACAAATCCGGTCTTCCTGAAGTACTTCTTGAAGCCATTGTCATGCCATGATTGGAGAGGTTGCTTATCAAAACGTAGGTCTATGACAAGTCCTGATGTTCCATGGATTCTGTTCATATTCTAGAAGAAAGATTGAGAGTCAGGAGCCAGATCCAAGCAACGGCCAAGCTGTTGCCGCCCCTCAAAACCCTGGTCCCAAGTCCTGTCGTTCAGCTTGTGTCACTTCGTTGGTATCTTAGCTTTCACGTAGAACACTTGAGCTGAGACTGTAGATGAAACAGTGGAAATATGAATAAACGAAAATCAACTTAGGAACATTTCATAACGTTTTATGAGATACTTAGGCCTAATAATTTCCTTTAACCAACCCCTAATTAAGTTCTGGACAAAGATGAAAGGTCTAAGCAAACTACCTAGCTGCTGTGGGCAAGATGTCACACTAACAAAAGAGCAGCCTGTAATCAATAGCCCCACAGCGGGGCTGCTGCACAATGCTCCGCACTCGGATGAAAACAGAGAAAGAACGACGTCAACTTACACATCGCAACTTCAGTGCGGGGAACTGCAGAAGCTCATTGGCATCCACAACGGAGGGCAGCGAGCAGAGATTTCATGACCCTCTTGCAGAATTATAGACTCCGTTCACTTGCTCTTCTTCTTGGTTTTCCAATCATCATTGCAGTTTTACTGTCAACAACAACCAAGTTGGCCAGCCCATCACACATCCTACCACGCCTTACCCTCCTACTGAGCCACGTCACCACCAAAGCTGCCACACCAACCACAACCCTGATTACAACCGACAACATGACAACACTCTACGCCAGAGAGCTCGAAATTGCTCTTCTGGCCGTGCAGCGCGCGGCGCTTTTAACACGGCGCGTCTTCCGCGAGTCAGCCGAGCAAAAGGGCACCGTCTCCAAGGACGATGCTTCCCCCGTGACAGTAGGCGACTTCGGCGCGCAAGCCCTCATTATCTCAGCGCTGCGCCACAACTTCCCGCGCGACGCCATCGTTGCCGAAGAGGAAGCATCCGTGCTGCGCGAAGACACCCGCCTGCGCGACCGGGTCTGGGGTCTGGTCCGGGACACCAAGCTCTCTGATATAGGTGCGGAGGGCCTGCTGGGCGGCGCGGTGCCCGACGTCGACTCCATGCTGCACCTGCTGGACCAGGGACAGAGTCAAGGTGGCAGGATAGGGCGTGTGTGGACTATTGACCCGATTGATGGCACCAAAGGCTTCCTGCGCGGCGGACAGTACGCGGTGGCTCTGGCGTTGTTGGAGGATGGGGACGTCAAAGTTGGCGTGCTGGGGTGCCCTAACCTGCCTGTGGACGACTCAGCACCGCTGACTGAGAATATTGGTCTTGAAGTAGGCAATGATAAGGGGAGGGGTGTGCTGTTTGCTGCAGTCAAGGGGGAGGGTGCGACAAGTCGGCCGCTTGGGACGGGGACCCTCGCAGAGGGGCACAAGATTCACATGAAGCCGCTTATAGACATGAAAAATGCCTGCTTCTGTGAGAGCGTCGAAGCTGGCCACTCAAACCAGTCAGAGGCAGCGAAGATTGCGCAAAAGTTGGGGATTACAAAGCCCAGTGTGCGGATGGATTCTCAGGCCAAGTACGGCTCCATCGCCCGCGGTGCGGGTGATATCTACCTTCGCCTGCCGACGTCCAAGTCGTACCAGGAGAAGATCTGGGACCATGCTGCAGGTGACTTGATTGTCCGCGAAGCCGGAGGCCTGGTCACGGACACCCGAGGCAACCGGTTAGACTTTGGCGTCGGGCGAACGCTGGCCAGCAACAGCGGCGTGGTGGCCGCGCCATCAGCTGTGCACAGTCAGGTTCTCGACGCCGTTCAGGAGGTTCTCGGGCTCAAGAAATAAGGCCGCTGATGTTTCCCTCTTACCTCAAGATACAAGTACTGTACAAATACATACACATATATGCAACCCAATCCCATGTACCCACGCCGCTGCTAAACGTACAAGCACACCAACACCACCGCCATAACCATCCAGTATTCTCCTGTCTATTTGATCTTCTTCTGCTTCAGCTTGATAGTCTCATCGTTGATAAAGATACCCTTGCCCTTGTACGGCTCGGGCTTACGCCATTTGCGCAGGTTGGCGGCGAATTGCATGATTTGCTCCTTGTCGATGCCTTCAAGCAACACGCGCGTCGGCTGAGGCGCACTGGCCTTCATGCCTTTGGGCAGGCCCATTTCAACCGGGTGCGAGAAGCCCAGCTTGAGCGACACGAACTGCTGCCCGGGATACTCCTCCAGATCCGGCCGCGACTCGACCGTTGCCCTGTAACCAATACCAACCAACCGCAGGACGGCCGTGTGACCTTCTGATACGCCCATGATGTAGTTGTTGAGGTACGCCCAGGTGGTTCCTAAAGGGTATGTCAGCGTTCTGCTTGCGCTATGCGAATGGTGTAGTTGCTGTGTGCTTGCATACCCCACATCTCACGCTGCCTCCTCTCATTGCGGTCGGCGACGGTCAACCGGACCTGTCGCGTCTCCGGGTCCTGGTTGACATTAACAAAGTCTGGGATTTCGAGCTCGAGTTGCCCTGCACCATACATGGTCAGCGCACTTCCAATCCCTCCTTCAAAAGCCCAGTTCTTCCAAGCCAGGTCCGCTCACCTAATGGTCCCTTAACTGTAATCCTCCGCTTGTACTCCTTCTTATACGAAGTCATGTCCTTCTTCACATACAGGTCGCTGACCTGCAACTCGACCCCCGGCGGCACCGTGATCGGTGTGCGCCCCAACTTGGATTGTTGCACATTGGTGACAGAAAAGTTGCGCCGTTGTGATAGTAGTGGTGTCGTCCTCTGGAGGAGTGTCTGTGTGGTGGTCGTCGAGGAGGTAGTGGGTGTGGAAATCCTCCCTAGGGCCTGGCGCAGCCCTGAGGCTGTTGTCCGGGGAGCCAGCATCATGGAGGAGAGTTCCAGTCGGGAGGATCGGATCGACTTCGACAGCAATTGGCGGTCGGGCTGCTGGCGCACTGCTCCCACTCGACCCGTCTCGGTTTGTGGTGCGATGCCCGGCGGCTGCGATATCATCTGAAAAAGATCGGGCCCGGGAAAGCTTCGGTCAATGGTTCGTGGGGCTTTGCTTAGTCAGCAAGCGACTAAGCAATCTTGGCGTCTTGGCGCATAAACAACAACCAAGGAACCAGCACCACCATCCCAAGTCCCGGCCCCTCAGAAGCTCTGCAGACGATAACTCGTTAAAAGTCATGACAGTCAACAAATTCTCTGGATAAGCTACGACACTCATGGTTTCAATAGCAAATGTGCATTAAATCTACAGCTCACATGGTCACTTTGAACCAGGGCCTTGCCATGAAAGCCCCAACGCTTTGTTTAGCCCCAGTAACTTTTCCTCACTCCTCAGGGCGCAGCCTCTTGAGCTCCTTATCAGAACTTAGGTGTGAGAACATATCACAGAGTCCATGGAGGAAAAGCACTATGAATTTTCCAATACTGCTAGGAAACTTGGACAGAGTTCCAAAATGGACTTGCAAAGTCTCTCGGCCAACTCAGAAAGGACTGTTGTGTGGTGCCCCTATTGATGTCCTCAGCATCCAACGATAATATAGTGTGATTGCAGTATGCCATAAGTTTCATCACCATTGACAAGGACACTTCTTGAACCGCGATGCCAACTTCAGCTGAAAGCATTATTTCGCAGATCGTGGTGTTGCCCTGGACGCCAGCCGCTTTACGTCTGTTCTTTCCTATTCCATCTGCCTAGCCCTCTCTCTTTCCCAATATTTTCTCACTCAATTTCTGCCTTTGGTACTTTCTCTAGTCAACAAACCACACACACATGAACCCTGGCTTCTTTAACAACAATCTCTCATTCTTACTCTTTTACTTAGGTTCCTTCACAAGACTTCTACGCCATTGTAAGAGAGTGGCTTGGGTTAAAGGCCTTCATAATCAAACACGCTGTGACCAAGATGAAGGCCCAGCTTCTTCTGGGTTACCTCCTGGTATCCAGGATCTACGGTTTCTCATGGGGTGCTAGCGATCAAGGAGTCGGTACGTCTGGGCTGGCAAGCCAGACTAAATCGCATACTGACCTCTCTCGCAGAGCCGGTTCCCGAAAAACCCTCCGAACTCCTCCAAAAATCTCGCCTTCCTAACATTTATGCCGTCGCTCTCAGTGAACTTCAAGAACTCGAACAAGAACCTCTTTGTCATCGTGTGGCCGCTCGTCTCCTTGTCAACAATTGTCAACTCGTCGACGGCAAGGATGAGACGACCATTCTCACCGATAGTGGCCGCCAGATTCGCGACTTTGTCGACTCTTATGCTGCCAGCCTCGCTATATGCGACCTTGAGCGCGGAAGCTTCATCATTCCAAATGAATGTGCCAAATTCCGCGAGCCATCGCTCACACAGATCGCCATCCGCAATACGCCCCAGTTACATGTGAGTTCAAAGGAGATTAGTCTCTGCCTGTCCGCGCTTGCGGCTTCGGATGCGGCGTGGAGCACTTGGGTCAGCTATCGGCATAAGGCATTGAGGTTTTGTGAAGCGGCCCGGGCGGATAATGAGAAGGGTAGGTGTTCTCTGTTCTCTATATTTTGGGAGATCGCATGTCGATTAACCAAACAACAGCTCAGCATATCTTGCTCTACCAACGCCTGACCAAAGTTATCGCAAAATTGACCGACGGTGTCGAAGCCGAACTGCAACGCTTAATGGACGATCTTGACAATCGTGCCCGGCAGTCGGCGGAGAAGCTGGATGAACTAGCTCCCAAAATCAGTCTGCTCAATGAGGGGCTGCAAAGGATCGAGCACTATTTCTCTGGCAACTTGGATATGGCAATGAAAAAAACCTCGGAAGCAATGCATGCCAGCCATGAGCATGCTGAGAACCTTCAACAGGTGCTCAACATCCTCCTCACAAATGTCATTCAAGGCCAGTCGCAATTGGCTTTCGCTCACGAACAGTCGCTCCAGCATGCAACCGAGAAGGTTCAAGAGAATATGGAGGCTTTTGTGGCGGTTGTCTCGACAGCCATTGCATCTTCGACTTCCCTCCAACAACAACTGGTATGTTACCCCATCCACTCTCCAGCCCAACAGCATCTGACATTCACAGCAACTATCTTTTCTCCACACCGCACATCTTGCTCAGCGACAAGATGCCCTCGAGCAAGGGATGGACCGACTTCTCGCGACAACCGAAGCCCTTTCGACCAAGTTTGAGGACCAGTCCTCCCTGCTCTTACAGGCGAACAATATCACCAATGATATCCTGGACGCTCTCGAGGAGACCGCGAAGTTGGCGTCGTCCATGAATGAGTCGTTTCTTTCACGGGCTACTGCACATAGCTGGTGGCCACTCGTTGTCTTTCCCACCGCTTCCTTAATCATGGGCTCATATGGGCTTGCGCCAAGTGTGCTGCGGAACATCGGGTTACTCGCGCTAGGCGAGATGATCGGGTTGGCGTTCTCCTCTTACAGCCGGTTGAGTGAGCTCTTGAGTTTTGCGCAGGCACAACAGGCTGTAGCAAACGTATCCATTACTGGCTCACTCTGAGGGCCGATATGTCCTGACCATTGGCCTGATTAATCATTGGGTCAATTGTCATTGGCCATGAGACTAATGAGGAAGGAAATTGGTGGTACTCACACCTAAATCATGATCGGGTATTTGCATGACGGACGGAGTTGGGAGTTTGGGGATTTAAGGGAGGCTCTTGCTAAATTTCTTACGACATTTCTTTTCTGTTTCATTTGCTGAGGTTTGCTTCGTTCCTAGTCTGGCTTGAGGAACAGGAAAACAAAACGGTTTAGGACAAAGCATACGCACAGCTAGAAAAACGCCACACCGCAATACATGACTGGGTTACAGTTATCATTTTCCTTCTACAAAGCTCCCAGAACGAACTTCTACCAAGCGCAGTCTTGCCTATGGACTGTCAGCCGTTCTCGATCTTTCCAACACCTAAATTTGATGCCACAAACTTTCCCGTTTTCTGTTAAACTTTCCCATCTACTGGATATGCACTCGAACAAAGATGACAGAACCGTCGTGGCTGATATCAATTCACACACTTCACGGGTGTTTAGTCTAGTGGTCAGGACGCTTCGTTGTGGTTGCTTGGCTTGGAATTCTGAAGAAAGTTTGGGGCATCACAACAGAACCGAAGAAACCCCGGTTCGATTCCGGGAACGCCCAAATTTTTACTTTTTCCCATATTCTTTTGGGCCGGGCTGGATAGAAGTGCGGCGGTCTTACCGGGGGGGGGGGGGCTAAAGCGTGCCAGGAGAGGGAAGAGTTGGAAGGTGGGTGGCTCAACGTGTTAAACACTGGGGGTCATGTTTTGAGGATAAGTGTCCATAGTCACATACATTTGAGAGCGGACTTTCGTCACTATATTTCAAAGATAATTACCATAAATCATAGGGAGGCACAACCAGCGATAGCGAGATTTCTAGTGCTCTAACTGCCAAATGCTCTGTTTCTTACACTGAAGTGCCATTTTTTTGCAGCTTTCTAACGACTACGTCACAATCAACGATAATTTTTTTGGATTCTCATCAAGCGCAGTGATTCGTCTGTGACCTTGACGGGCCAATATTTTTTTCGTTCTATCTCTCCTACCACGCAACTTAATCATACCAAATGGCATTCATCCCGAACCCTGGCTCGGGAATCCTCACCCTGGCAACCCGATGCAGGCACTCCTCCTGCCACCTATAGATTTCTAGCCAGCCCTCCTGATCATCCGTGATGGCAACCCACTCATCGCTAAAGTCACAAGGCGACACGCAGTTGCTATGACCGCCGCTCGTCGGCGTCGGCTGCAGGCAAAGTTGCTTTTCGATGCTGCCGCAGTCGCGTAGCTTGAACGCGCTGATGTAACCCTGCAGTTCAAATTTGTTGGCGCGCGACGACGCAAACATGTACTTGCCGCTGAAGGTCAGCGCGACGACGTCGGCCCGGTACAGGCCCTTGCCTGTCTCCTTGTCCTTGCGCGGGATGCCCGGCGGAATCAAGGGGTAGCTGTGGTGTGTGTACACCGGCATGTGTGTGATCGGGTCGATGACGTACTCACACAGGCGGTTGCCGGCTTCCATCAGCGCGTAGAGGTAGTTGCCCGAGGGGTGCATGGCGACCCAACGTGGGTGATCGTCAGGGGAGGGGGCATCGATACTGCCGACGAGCTCGACCTCACCAGAGGGGAGTTTGCGGTGGCACCACAGCTTGTTGGCGGTTAGATCGGCTGAGTAGAGGTAAGTCTCAGTTGGGTCGAAGACCATGCCATGGATACCGGTGTTGGGGAGGTAAGGGTAATTTTGAATGTTCTTGTCGAGCTTTCCCGTCTCAGAGACGGAGAAGACATTGCCGTAGCCGGCGTGGTTGTAGAAGGGGTTGGCGTAGACACAGTAGGGGGGCTGTTTGGCGGCAAGGAGGAAGATGGCACGAGTGTTGGTGTCGGGGCTGTTGGCTTGGGCTGGAGGAGAGCTAAGTTAGGGATGATATCACCTCTGGAGCGTTGAGGAGAGCTTACGATCGCCGCCCATGGGGTGTGACACCTCATGGACGATCTCAGTCGGGCTGCGGACGGCGAAGCTGGACCATTTTTTCATGGCCGCGCCGTAGAGGTTCTTCTTGGCATGCTGTGTGCGTTGTGGGTGAGCTTTGCTCATGTCATGACGGAAGGCCAATTGGTCTAAGTGAAAGTGGCAGGCGTACGTCAAAGGTCATCCACGAGATGGGCTCATCATAGGGGATCTCCGTGCGCTTAACCAGCTCAAGCGTTAGGTTCTCATCGTCGAAGACGACGGTGAAGATGGCACCCGGAGGGGTCCAGGTGCCGCACATCAAGTGGTGGAGGGGCATTGTGGCTGTCGGTTAGACTGCAGATGACGTCGGCTGGATGTGACGGGAGTGTGTGGGAGACGAGACAGAGCAACACAGAGGGAGAAGCGCAGAAGCGATATCGAGATCGTACGATGTCAGATCTTGGTGTAGATGGCCGAGAGAGGCGCAATTGAGATCCAGGATAATTTTCCACGGGTCTATCTACAAACGTTTCTCCTCATGCCGTGTGTTTGGCCCCGGGCACGGCCATGATGAGCCCGCCGCCCTTGGCGTCCCAGCGGTCGGATTGCGATGTGGGGTTTGCAGATGGGCACTGCAGGTCAAACCAACCGGCCTGATCGCTCCAGATGGCAGCCGGGGCATACTTTCGGGCCACAGGGGGGTCTCGGAAGCGGCAGCGGGAGATGAATTGGGAGCACAAATGGTTGGCTGGCGGCTGGATGTCGCAAAACCTTGTTCCAAGCCCAGATGCAGGTTCGTTGTGATTGGGGCGATTCAATGGAGGGGCGATGGCTAGCTGCCGGGCTGAATGGGGCCGATGGCAGGGGAAACGCTCATCCCGGCAACAACGCCATCGCAATCTGCCGTCGAACGCCCCACGCCGCCGCGAGGCCGAGCTCTATCCAGCCCTTTCATCCATTCCTATTGCAGACATGGTGCCATCACCCAGCCCCGTGCACATGCACGGCGGAAACCCTGAGGGGAAAGTGGATGGACTTCAATAAACTGCTATGCCAGGTGGACGGACGGCCCGACCAGGAATTGCAAGAAGCGCCGATCTGTATGAGAGCGCACACAGATCGAGCAGACAACTCGTGAACCCCGTGAGCTGCCAGGATGGTGATGGCGACTCATGAGACTCGCCAGACGAGCGCCGTCTGGAGCATCTAGAGCATTTTAGGGACCATCTGGAGTTGGTCTGGGACCCCTCTGCCGGAGTAGAAGTGGGAGCGCGGTATCACAACCAGGAAGGCTGTTGGATGCAATCCTTGCGACCCCAGACGCGTGGGACTGTCGTGGAACCACGGCGGGGTCTTGGTCTGCGGTCTTGGCGGGCACATCGCTGAAAACCGCGGGGAGCAGCGGGGCCACAGGGCTAAATTTGTCCCGCTGGACATAGAGCGTCACAGAGATTCTCCCTTAGCCGACCCCACTTCCACAACGCAAACAGCCCTCTTGCGCTTGTGCGCCCTCACCAGCCGTCCGGGGCAACGCACGTTGCACCGGTGCGGTGATATGCCGTGACAGCTCCCCGATTGCCCGCCAGCGGGAAAAAAAAATGATGCTAGCGACCTATCACTGGTGCCGCAATTGGCATCTCCAGGCTGCGAGGCTGTGGATGAGACGGGATGGCTGACCGTCTGGGGTTCCCATGGAGGGGCCATGGATCTTCCTGGGTCAGCCGCGAAACTGGGGATTGCGGGAGAGGCTCGGATGGACTGCTGGCCGAGAGACAGAGGCAAAGGCAACACCGTAACATGTCTTCTCCGAGCAAGCGTTCTCCCTCCCTCCTTCTCTCTATATAAGACGCCGGTCCTTCCCCGGATCTGCTCCCAATCTCACTCTCGATCATCAGCATCGCCAGCTTCACTCAGCTCGCTCTTGAACATCTCTGCTTCCACCATCCCTTAACTTATCACTTACAACTTACACAAACAACACCGTCACAATGGCCGCCGAGCAGAAGAGCCGCTTTGACCCCAACTTCACCGACATGGTGATCAACGGCATGGGCCCCAACACCACTCCTCGCAACCGCCAGGTCCTGGGTGCCCTCATCCGCCATCTGCACGACTTCGCCCGCGAGGTTGAGCTCACCGTCGACGAGTGGATGGCTGGCATGAAGTTCATCAACGAGCTGGGCGCTATCTACCTCACCAGCAACAAGACTCGCAATGAGACTCACCGCATCTGTGATATCCTGGGCTTCGAGTCGTATGTCTTTCCCTCCTGGCTTCTATCCGCCCTTTTTCCGTGCCCTTTACTAACAGACAATAGCCTCATCGACGAGATCGCCCACAAGATCGTCTCTGACACTGGCATTGACCCTACCTCCTCGTCCATCCTGGGACCCTTCTGGTCCCCCAATGCTCCCTTCCGCCCTCTCGGCGGCGTCATCTTCCAAGATGGCGTTCCTCCCAACGGCCGCGTCGTCAAGATGCACGGTGTCATCCGTGACATCACCACCGGCAAGGGCATCCCCGGTGCCGTCTTCGACATCTGGCAGGCTTCCGCCAACGGCAAGTACGACTTCCAGGACCCTGAGAACCAGACTCCCAACAACCTCCGCGGCAAATTCCGCGCCGACGAGGAGGGCCGCTACTGGTTCTACTGCCTGCACCCGACTGCCTACAGCCTGCCCCGCGACGGTCCCTCGTGGCAGCTCCTGCAGCTCATGGACCGCCACCCCATGCGCCCTGCGCACATCCACATCATGGTCACCCACCCGGATTACCTCGGCTGCACCTCCCAGCTCTACCCCAAGGACGACCCCTGGGTCAAGAGCGACACTGTCTTCGCTGTCAAGGATGATCTCGTTGTCGAGTTCAAACCCTTCTCTGACGAGAACGGCGCCGTCCTCGAGCTCGAGTACAACGTCAACCTGGTTCCCAAGGGTTACAAGCCCAAGAACTAAAGGGGGGAGAAGATGTGTCCTCGTGCATTGATGACTGACAACCACCAAAAAACTCGTGATGAGTGTCTGAGTTGATGAGTTGGAAAGCAAGGTTTCTTGTGTACATATTGCCGCATGATACATACCCAGCGTTCGGCAGCAAGCTTTTTTTTTTTGGATCGAGTGGAAGGTTTAAGTTAGCTGTAGCATTGTTTCGTTTTGAATAAAGTTGTAGCTTCAAAAACAAAAGTTTGGTCCTTTAATGAACTGTGACTTCTACTCCTGATTTGAGTGGCATCTTCAGCTTGTCAACATATCCCTAAAACAGTCAGATCTGGGGCATCCTTCCGGCGGCTCATCAACAGTTGGCTGTCTTGGCTTCAGCACAAGTAGCCTTGTGACTCTTATCTACTCCTGACTGCCGTGCAAATACTAATGTCTTTCCTCCCGTTGCTGGCGAGAGGTAAGCAACAATGCCCGCCATTATGTAGAAGTAACTTGTGACTAGAATGCTGCCCATAGAGAGACGTCATTTGTACCATCAGTATAACTTGTTTAAGTGACCAGCCAGAGTGCCTGATATGGGTCATGTGAGGAACAATTGTTTTAACCTCGTGCAAACTGCCTTTGTCTGAAAAAAAGACGGAGAAGAGATCGGCTAGGGGGCATATGAAAACAAATAGAACGTTTCGGGAGAGTTGAGAGCAGGTGACAATCTGTATGACTTCAGTCCAAAAAAGGAGTGTAAAACATTGTCAAGTGTTTTGCGATGAACTGAATATGTCTTGTTTACCATGCTCTGACTGCTTGTTTGTACATCTTGTGACACTCTTGATAACTTTTCTAAGGTTCAAAACCGTGGGTCAGCTTTCAACGTTTCGCATGCAAGACACTGGGAAAAGAGAAGAGAACGGCCAGAAAATATTTCAAGGCAAAAGGTATAACATGGGTACTCATCCCATATAAGCGTCAAAAAGAATATCTAACATCCAAAAGCACAAAAGGATATTGACAAGGGTGAGATTCGAACTCACGCCCCTTTCGAGACCACGGATAACACTCCTTCTGCGGAGGGATGAATTAAGGATAAACCTTAACGTGGCGCCTTGGACCGCTCGGCCACCTTGCCTGGGATTGTGTCATGAGTTCGGGTGCAGTGTTTGCATTCATAATGTAGGATTTGTGGGGATCGTGGGGAGAGCGGGATGTAAGAGGGATATTGATGTTCCGGTGGTGCCGGCCATCCCGCTTGGTGGGTTTGCGGATTCAAGGGCATCGGGGGTTGGCAGGTGTGGAGTTGTTGGGTTGGGTCCGTTTATGGGGGTTGAGCTGGGGTTGGACTTCAAATTGTTGAAAGGAGAGGACCGAAATCCGAGGCAGGATCTTGCAAGGCTGAACTGAGTTGGATGAAAGCATTATGTCTACCATGGATGGTACCAAGGTTTTGATTTGGCTAGGTAGTTGGGGATAAAATGACTTGGAGGACGAGATCGACTGCGGAAGGGAAACTCAGGGGCATGACTTCTGTCTTGTACTAAGGACCGCTAGATGATGGAAGGGTGCGGCCCGGCTTTTCCATGACAGAATGGCATACTGGAAGAGAGAAAGAAAACAACAAGGAAACTACGCCTTAGTGTGTTTGACAGGACAGAAGTCGTGGTTAGGAGGACACTATCAAATAGACATTGGACCGCATAGTCTGCCTCGCAGTAAAGGCTTCAGCCCGGCACAGTTGAGTAAACCTGTTCAGGGGAGATAGGGTGGCTAGCAATCTACTCATAATTCAAGCCCAAACCCCCTTGAGTCGAAGGCATACTGTTTCGGCGAAAACGTTCAGAGTATTCGGGGAGGGTGCTTCGTCAGGAACAGATCAGCAACTCCACAGGTAAAGGAGGGCCTGATCAAGCTTGCCAAGTAATGTTCATAGTGAAGGGGCCTGGGGAATTGGCAGCCCCGCAGCATCGAGCTGGTTCCAGTCAGCCCCAGAATCAACTGTGCCTCCGAGATAGAGACTAGCATGACTACTGGCTCAAACACACTTCTTATGCACCAAACTCGAGAAGCAACGCACACCCAGGGACTGGTTGGTATATCATATTTTTTGGATGGATATGTACAGTCAACCCCTCATTTCTTCTCCTCCGACTGCTCCTCAGGTTTAGGCGTAGGCAGCTTGAACGTATCCGGAGTGCGATCGATGCCAGGGCCGACCTGGTCCCAAGCGCTAGAGCCTCCCTCGAAGTTGCGGAAGGCTTGAGTAAGCTCGAGCGGCTCAACGACGATGCGCTTCTTCTCCTCATCGTAGCGGATCTCTGTGTAACCTGTAAGAGGAAAGTCCTTGCGCAGCGGGTGGCCCTCGAAGCCGTAGTCGGTCATGATACGGCGCAGATCGGGGTGGCCGACAAAGAGCACACCAAACATGTCGTAGACCTCACGCTCGTACCAGTTGGCGCCCATGTACAGGCTGGTAATGCTGGGAACCGGAGTGACCTCGTCGGCGTAGGTCTTGACGCGGATGCGCGCGTTGTGCCGCACGCTCAGCAGGTTGTAGACGATCTCAAAGCGCATCTCGCGCGTGGGGAAGTCGACAGCGGTGATATCGCTGACCTGGGTGAACTCGGCATTGGTATTGTCTGCGGGGAGGGGTCAGCCACCTATTACATCCCTAACAGTCGGCCCAATGACCCTCCACAAGATGAGCTTACACTTGAGGAACGAGAAAACGGGGATGACGCCAGTGGGGCAGATGTAGATGGTAAGTTCGTCCTTCCAGACGGAGAACTGCTGGATGTACTTGGGCAGGCAGCTCATGAGCCACGCGCCGTACTTGTGCAGGTTGTCGGCCTTGCTCTGGTACTTATCGGCCGGGTTGACGAGGGCCTGCTTGATCTCGCCCACGGGCTCACGGGGGATGGCACGCGGGTTCGGGGCATCCTTGGGGAGGGCCACGCCGAGGCGGGGGGTGGTGGCGAAAGAGCGCACAACGGCGACATTGGCGATGGCCTCAGTGCTTCTGCTGCTGCGGGAGATCGGCCGCAGGGCCGAGGCCAAGGCCCTGGTCTTGCAGAGCTTGCTGGCCATGGGGAATGGTGGGAGTTCGGCGGGCGGGTGCTCGTTGAGCCAATTGATCGAGAATCAGCCGGGTCCTCGTCGAGCGGATGAGCGTCCCGCAACCAATTCAGTTACGCTCGACCTCGAGCTCGAAGCTCGGGCCAAGGGTCTGATATGCACGTGACACATCACGTGCTCGCAAACAGGGGTCCCGCATCTCTGTCTGCCGGATGAACTCGATCCCTTGAGGACCCGTAGCTCAAGGAAAAAATGTAAAACTTGCACCAATCCTGTTCGATTTTAGGCTTTCTTTCTTGTTCTCAAGTCGACCCAAGAGCAATTCTTGCACAAGCAGCTCTTCGACGTTGCGCCCTCCCCACATCAAACACCTTGCCCGTCCACTGCACGACACGTGCCAGGATCCACTAGCCCCATCTGGCTTAGCGCACGACTCGCAGGGACGTTTTGCTGGAAGACTCTGCGTTCGCCGCCTCCATTCCTCCTTTCATTCAACAAACCAAAACCTCGATCCCGTCATCCGTTCCCCTCGTCGACCGACTGCCACCCACATCACGCACGGCTCCGCGAATACTGATGTTTCCTTAGTAACTCCCGCCTGGTGTTACGAACGGAGTATCAACGTCACTTGATCCTGCTGCTGTCTTTGGCATCTTCTTTTTTTCCTCACACCTTACTGCACTTCCCTAATAACATACCCAAACAAGCGTTGCATTTCAACTCGTGTCTGCGAAATTGTCGGGTTTCGCCGCTTTTTTATCCTCCACACCATCAACAGCATCGACGGCACACGACCACCTTCCCCCAACTTTGCAACCCTTTGCTAGCTTCAACATACCGCAGCCATGGCGCCTCCTAATAACGACAGCTATATCGAGGAAGAGGAGGACTACTGGTACGGATCCTTCCCCGCTCCCCGCTATGCTTCAATCAATCGGCCTTTGAGTCCCGCGCTCAGCATCTGTGCATCACCGGTTGAGCTTGCTACTGACAATTTTTTTACCCATAGCCCCCTTTGCATCGAGGAGTTCGACCTTTCTGACCGGAACTTCCGACCATGTCCGTGTGGATACCAGGTATGTCGATACCAGCGCGGCTCATGTCTGCGTCATTTCCCCGCGAATGCTGACTGTTCCCAGATCTGCCAGTTCTGCTTCAATAACATTCGGAACAACATGAACGGGTTGTGTCCAGCATGTCGGCGTCCATACGATGACAAGACGATCCAATGGAAGGTTGTTACGCAGGAAGAGTATGTTAGACCACCACCCAGCCCCGCTACGCGAACTTCGCTGACGACCACGACAGGATCGCCGAATTTAAGGCCAATATCCAAAAAAATCAGAAGAAGCGTGCCCAAGAACAGCGACAGAAGGAGGCCCAGAAGCGAGAAGCTGAGAAAGACAGCCGCAAGAATTTGGTTGGCGTGCGGGTTGTTCAGAAGAACCTGGTTTATGTGACTGGGTTGCAGCCGACAGCGCGCGAAGAGGAGCTGCTCAAGACTCTCCGGAAGCCAGAGTTCTTCGGTCAGTACGGAAACATCCTCAAAATCTCCATCAGCAAGCGCAAGGGCAACGATGGCCAAGAATCGATGGGGGTCTACGTCACCTTCGACTCGAAAGAGGCTGCCCAACGCTGTATTATGGCCGTCAATGGCTCGCAGAATGGCGACCGGATCCTGAGAGCTCAGCTCGGTACGACTAAGTACTGCTCTGCATGGCTTCGTCACGAACAGTGTACGAATCGGCAGTGCATGTTTTTACATGAGCTCGGGGACGAGGAGGATAGCTACAGCCGCCAGGATCTATCATCTATGAACAGCATTAACTCGCAGCGGCCGCTGAATAATTCTGGCACCTCACGGTCTGCTTCTCGACAGCAGGCTCACGCGTCACCGGCCACGAGCAATGCACAACCGATGGCGAGGACTTCAAGTAAAGACGGAGCCAATCACGACGACGGCCCGGCGCTGCCACCAACGGCTAAGTGGGCTCAGAATTCCCAGGTTCGCAGTCGTCGTGGCAGTCAGGCTACAACTGGTGCGGCTCCCAGCCCGGCCATGTCGACTTCTGTGCCGGCCAACTCCGAATCTGCCGTCGAGGATAGCACCGGATCTTCTGCGAACGCCTCGAATTCTGCTCAGCCAAAGATGCCAAGCACAGCAGCTGAGAAGGCCAGGCGCGCCCTTCCCCAAGACGCGCTCAAGTCCTTGCTCAAGTCGCTCGAGGGTTGTTCCCTCGCGTGGCCCAAGTTTGGTGGCGATCCGTCCGCCTTTGAATTCGCAAAGAACTTCCCTCCCATGTTTGATCCCCGCGGCGGCCAGCGCCGGCGTGCCCTTCGTGCATCTGAGGCGGCTAGCAGTGTCGCTGGCGACCAGTCGGCCAGCGGCGCCCGTACAGCATCAGAGGCCGGCGAGCCGGAGAGCAGCGGTAGCCACGCGCTCGGTGGTGAGCCCGAGGATCGTGATCACGGTCGCGACGTGCACGGCTATGACCCACGTCGCGTTGCGCAACAGCCGCCCCTCCAGCGGGGTAGCACTGACGGCCTCTTTGGCCAAACTGTCGGCGCCCCTGGCTTCAACCAAGCGGCAGCGGCGGGTGCTCTCGGCTCGGTGGGCAGCCGGGCCATGACACCTCAGCAGCCGTCGTTCATGCGGCAGCCGAGCAACTACATCGATCATCTATCTGCACAAGCAAGCCTTTTCCAGGGCCAGGGCCATACCCGCCAGAGTTCTCGCTTCAACTTCACTAACGACGGCAGAGACGCGGCCTCGGCGGCCACCTCTGTCAAGCTTGCAGCAAACCCTCGCATCATGGCACAACAGTCTTCCATGATGCCGTCGACCTTCCACAGCCAGCCAGGCTCCCAGTACTACGCCGCCACGATGCCGGGCCCACCGCCGGGGCTCAAGTCGACAAGCACACCGCCGGGCATGTTTGGACAACACGGATTCGGAGCGGCTGCCGGGTTTGGCGCCGCCGCGGCTCAGAAGGAGAATAGCGACATATTGCACTTGTTCAATCGTGGTCGGGGTGCCGGCACCCAGGGCCATGATGCCGGGAAGCGTGAGTTACTGTTCCCTTCTTTCCCCACAGAGTTCCCGTCCTCTTCTACCTCCTCCACCCCAGCTCCTGCCTCGAGCCACCTGGCAACGCTCTACGGTTCTCAGCCTGGAGCCTTCCAAGACTTGGGTTCAAAGCAGAAGAAGAAGGGGAAGAAGCACAGACACGCTAACACTTCCTCCTCTGGGGGGAGTGGCTTAGTAGATCTTGCGGACCCGAGTATCCTGCAGGCGAGAATGCAGTCCCAGCAGCATCTGCAGCAGCAGAGCAATGCCGGTCTCGGACAGGGACTGTTCGGTGGCCAGACGCAAGGTGGGTACACCAATCCCGCCATGATGTACAACCCGGGTTACCGGGCGTGGTGAGGATGAGGCACTGCTCGCTCGCTGGGGTGCTCCTCGGGAGCTAACTGTGTCTCTGACTCCCCCCTGTCTGGTCGACCATCCATCCATTCACCCGCGATCCTGCCCACTAGCTACGATGACGACCGTCTCCTCGCTTCACCTCGCTTTCTGCCACACCAATATCGCATGTCTTCCCCGTTGCTGCACCATATGTCTTTACTCATTACACACGAGTCTGGGGGAGGGAGCAACGCCTGGTCTTGCCTTTTCTTTCCTGTTTCTTTTTTGTTCACGCGATATCACAACGGCTTCGATTGCACGAGCGGGATGAAAAGGTTTAATATCTCGCTCTTTCGGGGAATTGGCGCATACCTGATTTCCAAGGGACAGCATCGCAACAACCGCACTAGTGCCGGTTCGGAAAAATAAAGGGGGGGAAAGCAGCCTTTTTGCATTGGGCGTCGTAGGGCATTTCGTTTTTTATCTCTCTTCTGGGGAGGCAGGAGGGCGTTTGGGATGATGCCTTCGAGGAGGGTCGCCACCACTTCGCCCCAGGGGAGAACTGCACCACCAGGGGTTCTCGGGTTACGTCCAGCAGGCAAGCTCTCTCATCGTCTTCCTTGAAGGTCTCTCCCTGCCCCTTCAACAACCCCCAATGTACGTTAACTCGGGCCCCAGGTTTGGCAACTCTCGGGGCGGAGGTGGCATCGATCGTCAGAATAAAGCATCATTTTAACGGTCCTCCTGTTACTTGAACCACTTTCCTGGAAGACGATGATGGTAGTCGTTGACGTAACCCAAAAGCCCTCATATCCTGTATCTAGTGGCTAGTGGCGCACTGATGGCCTGTGTTGCTCCCTTCCCTAGCCCGTCGTCATCTTTCAACTCGTATTTTGCCTTTGCTTTTGCAGCTGCACACAACACACCACACACACTCGCACCCTCACATCACTCGTAGACTTTGCAAGCAGTAGGCTGATTATTCTTCTCTCGCAGATGACGATCTCTTCTTCGAGGACCAGGTTAGGTCGAGCATAGATGCTCTTGTAGCCGACGAACCTATCGAGACTCCCATTCGCTACCCGCCCGGTGCATTTGGGGTCCTGAATCGATCCGGCACCCCCTCTGTCCCCCCTGGATTCTCTTTTCCTAGCGCACACCCTTCTCCGGCAGTCTCGCACGCTTCTCTTCCGCCAACCAGTGTCGGACGACAGACACCTCCAGTAGCACTCCCTAAGGTTCCAGTAAAACCTACGGCTCCTCCTGTCTCAAGCCCGCTCGCCGGAAAAAGGACCGTTACTCCATCCACTAGCCACGCCAAACTCGCAAAAACGGCCGAGGGCACCCCATCGAAGGATGCAACCAAGGCGATGCCTGCTAAAGTCCTGGCAGACGAGGACTTCCCGGCCCTTGGCTCGCCAAAACCTGCTACGGCAACGACATCGACGGCTGTTCCTCCTCCAAAGCTGACAGCCGAAAAGGCGACAGCTTCCAAGCCTAAGAAGTCTATCGCTGAGCGCGCTGCCGAGAAGGCACTGGCTAAGCTGGAGAAAGAGGAGAAGGAGAGGAAGGAAAAGGAGAAGCTCAAGAAGGAGAAGGAAGAGAAAGAAGCCAAGGAGAGAGAAAAGGAAAAGGGGAAGGAGAAGGAGAAGGAGGAGAAGTCCAAGGATAAGGGCAAGGAAAACAAGGAAAAGGAGCCCGAGAAGGGAAAGCCTGCGGTGAAAGAGGCTTTTAAGCCAGTAGCACCAGCTCCTGAGAAGGCACTTGAAAGGGCATCCGAAAAGGCCGCTGACAAGAAAGCGGATATGCGCCCGACTCCAGGTATCCTTGACATTACTGCAGCTACAAGGACGGCGAAGGTCATCAAGATTGTCGACGCGCCAACGCCCAGCGACAAGTCTGCCGCCGCCGACAAGGATGCCAACTTCCCGGCTTTTACTACTCCTACCCCCGTTTCAGCCCCTTCGCCTGTTACGCGGGTTGCGCCGAAGACACTTCGTGTGGTTTCGACGCCCAAGACAGAATCACCGTCCACACCGGTGTTGGCTGCGCCCGTTTCCAAGCCTGTTGCTACGCTTGCAATCCGTCCAGAGACTCCCGCGAGCGAGATGATCTCGGATAGTGCCTCGATCATCTCGGCCTCTATCTCTGTGTCTCGTGCGAGTTCGCCGCCGCCGTCCAAGATCGGATCTGCCCCTGTCCGAACCAAGACCAAGAGCCAACAGCGCAAGGAGCGCAAGGAGGCCTTGAAGAAAGAGTCGGCCAGCATTGCAGCTGCCCCGGTCAAGACTGAGCCACCTGAAGAGATCGGCCCCATCACAGCACGCAAGAAGAAGCAGAAGAAGGACAAGGAGAAGCCAAGCAGCAACAAAGCTATAGCGTCTGCCAGCCGGCCCGACACACCGACTATTAAGGAGAAGGAAAAAGAGGAAAAAGAAAAGGAGAAGGAGAAGGAGAAAGTCCAAGAGAAGGAGTCCTCTACCTACCGCTCGACTGCCGGGGAGACTACTACTCTCACCGGCGAGCCGGCTCCGAGGAAGCTCGCTGAGCTCAAGCCTAAAACAACGGATCCTTCAAAACCGCGAACGCTCCCGACCCCCGCTTCTGTTTTACATGAGTTGCAGCGAGCCGGGTTTGTGTCGTCCAACATTGATGAACTCCCCTTCTTCAAGCCGGTTACGAGTCAGCTGGACAAGTCACATCCGGGTTTGAGAGACCTAGCCACACGCAATTCCATGGCACCGACTAAGTCGATCGTCACGGAGGAAGACCAGGCGCAGCTGCTTGCTGGAAACCCTGTCCGTAAAGTGGTCGATGGTATTCGCATCCTGCTGACGCCCAATGGTGACTGCATCCGCAATCTTACTCCAGAAGAGGAAGACCGTTTCCTTGAGTTGCAACAGCGCGTCGCCGAGGCCGCGACGAACCCTGCCTCGTGGGTCTCGTCACGGCATGAGAACACAGGTGGCTTTAGCCTCATCAAAGGCCGCGCAGTGCCTAATGGCCCTCCAAGTTACTTCCCTCCTGCCCCCGGCGCGTACCCCTCCGATCCGGTGAACAAGATCCAGCGGGAGGAGGCTATTTACTACATTAACCAGTACGTCCTTCCGCGGCTCAACCTTAACAGTCGCGATGTGACCCTGCCTAAGGGTAGTTCATCCAATGGCTCTAGCGCCAGTGCAAGTGTCTCTTCTGCCGCCCAAGCTGCCGCCAGTTTGAACAGCGTTGCTCCCTGGCTCTATGCCAGCGTGAGCTCCTCCTCTCCACACGACACGGAACCTGCTCCCCCGGAGTTGAGCTACCCTGGCCCCGTGGGCTCTTTCTCTGACCCGCGTGATCTCCCTGGGCACGCGTCGTACCTTGACGTGCCGTCCCCAGCTGATGGAACCAATGGGACTGTTGGCACAAGCTCCATGCTCAGCTTCCCCTCGCCAACACCGTTTGGTAATGTCCCGCTCATGAGCCTGGAGGATGCTGAGGCTGCGTTGTGCGCTGCACGCAAGGAGACCGAGAAGCTGGAGAAGTCGCTGATGCAGCTGATGAAGAAGAATAAGAAGCTTCTTCTTCAGCAGACCACAACTGCCACAGCGACCGTGGGAGCTGGTGGGGGCGGAGGACATTGACTAGCTTCGGCCTTTGGGGAAGAGTCTATATCTGCAGCGGGAGGTCAGCGTCATCGCAGATGGGGACGTAGGGGACAGCGCAGCCGGAATTTCTCTCCTGTCTCCAGTCCTACAACATCGACAACGACAACGTCGTCGTCCCTTCTCCTAAATTACCCCTTTCCCTTCCCCACGCTGCGCAACACGCGGGGCGATGCCCTTGCTGCGGTCGCAGTGTCAATTGCCCTTGCGCGCGCGGTTCGTCCTGTCCTGCTGCGCACTGGCTATGGCGAGGGACGGTCTATTGCATTGCCATTGAGCGAGGCGGTATTTGCAACTGCATGGCTGGCAATTTTGTTACTGGAGAGTGTGGTTGTCGTTGCTACTAGGGGGTGTGTGTTTGTTGTGGAAGTTGCGTGTGCTTTGCTAGATTGGGTGGGGGCAGAATATTGAGGGATGTTGAACCTGTTCCTTGGCTTGGTCTTACTTTTCGTTCTTAGTGATGGAGGTGTCTTAACGTTTTATATGTGCTCGTGTGATTATATGGATGCACCATGGCTTGTGTGTGAAAAAGCGGGCATTGTTGGGTTAGGGGTAATCGGATTGTACATATATGATTGTACGGTGTATGTACACATCGTCTGATTAAGGAACATTGCCGGTGTTGGGAATCAGGATGGCAAATTCACTGAAAGGGACGAGGTCAGGTTGGAGATTACGTCATGACTTTTGCCGTGTCTTAAGCGATGATATATGTCAAGTAAACGTGTATGACAACACTCAGATGTATTCATGGTAGAGATGTGTACAAAGTACTGAACGGTATGATGCACGAATATAGGAAGCGTAGAACATTCAATATGGTTGATCAATGAAATGTACAATGTATGGTACGGTATGATGCATGAAAGAATCGAAACACATTCAGTGCGGTTGGTTAACAATGTAGCGTACTGAGGTGAATGCTTATTACTAGATGCTATGGTCATCCTTCCATTTTATGCGCATTATGCCAGTTTGAACTGATAATGAAACGTTCCTCCTTTCTCGAACCAGCGCTGCAGTCTATCCTACTTCTTACCTGTTCTAATGGACAGTAGAATTGCCTTGACTGCATATATCCTGTACGTTCGTCAGCGGACACTTCAACTAACATGCTCTCTCTGTCTTGCAGAAAGGATTGCAGAATGAGCGACCTTGAGCATATTGGGATCTTTCAGCATCTTGCCACTAAAACACAAAACATCGTTGATAATGATCAGTAGTGGTACTAAGTCCAACTCTACTACTCAATCCTGAGGTTCCAAAACTTTTCAAAACTTGTCTATGTATCCTCAAATCATATTGACGCTGCTAGGGCTCTTTACCACTCCCATCGATCTTCCAAGAACACCGTAACTGAAGTCTAAATTTGCGCAATCTGAAAAGACTTAGGATCAAAAAGAGAAAAAGTTAACCACGGCCAATTGTGGACAATTGGCTAAAAATAACGGACATGGGGCTCAATCGGGGATCGAACCCGAGACCTCGCACATCTCCGGCACCTGTCTCTTCGTGGGGAGAATCCCCACCACAGGAACTGGGTGATCAACCCGAAGCGCGAATCATACCACTAGACCATTGAGCCAAATGCGGTTGTTGGCGGCTGCATCAGAAAATAATATTATCTATGATGATCAACGGTCTAGCCGAGCTACGGTCCGCAGAAAGAAGAGGCCGTTGTTTGGTGGGTTTTCGATATTGGGAATCGACAAAAGTTTCCCGGTTTCAGTCGAAGCCTTGGAGCTCCTAGTTTTGGGTTTAGGAGGAGGAATGATTTGGGCGTCATCCAGTTGAAGGTGAAGACTGTTGAAAAATGATACGTGACTTCGTTACCACATTGAGATAGAGCATGCGTGGTCGACTTGAAATTCTGATGCGAAGCAGTTGATTCAAGTATATTGACGGTAACAAGCTTATTGGTGTTCCAAGGGACGTAGTGTATGTGCTCGGCCGCTCAAAATAGATTGCAAGTGAGAGATCCTGGTTCAGATATCATTGCACAAAAAAAAAAAAAAATCTTGACTATATGAAGCAACATGTAAGCAATAAGCAGAACCGAACTGAAATTCCCCAGGTTCAAATTTCACCCCAGGAAAGTTCATCTTTGCTCAGCTCTGTCCAAATGCACGGAAAACTATGCCATCGGGTTGATCATCTCAGTGTCGTGTGTCTCATTCCCTCTCCGCAGTTAATACTTCAAAAGTGGGACAAAATGTCCATATAATCTGATTCCCTGATCCAAGGGCCTAGAACACTACTATCCTTCTGTCCCGTGTTGTCCCACGTGGCCCCAAAGCATAGGGTAGACAATACTCTCGAGAAAGGGTGGGGATCCTTTATAAACCTTCTTCACGGCTGCCACGCCACCAACCTCTTCTCTGGCGTCGCAGCCGCGGGCTGTTGGTCTAGTGGTATGATTCTCGCTTTGGGAACGAAGATGGTCTCCACCAAGGTACCACCCTTGGTTTGAGCCAATCAAACGCAACTGCGAGAGGTCCCGGGTTCGATCCCCGGACAGCCCCCAAATTTTTGGCTTCCTGAATTTTGGTTTTTGAAGGGGCCGAGTTTCCCGAGAAGAGGAATTTAGAGAAATGGTACGAGTAATTTTTTTTATTTTTTTTTACTGTGCCCACACACAAAGGTTTTGTGGGAGGGGACCGAGATGAGGCTCTTGCCGCTTCGAGGCCGGGAAAGACAGGGCGGGGAGACAGACGATGATGTGGGGAGGGAGTGGCAACAGTAACAATGGTATCAGCTCGATTAGGTATCCTCTATAGCAGCCTGAAGCTCAAACTGAAATCCAACCGGTATATAAGATGTAACACACAACTTCCACAACCCCTCTGACCCTCTTGGCTCAGCTATCCTTCCACTCTCACCCACTATTCCCCGTTCCCGGGCGACTTACACTACCTCCCTTCTTTAGCTTCCCACCCTTCGCATTAAACAAGCTTTTCACCCTCCTCAACCGCGACATGACATCCATATCCTTCTTCCTCTTGGCCTCCTCCTCGTCAACCACACTCCCTGTGACAGTAGAATCACCCTCCCCAAGCACACTTTCATCCTCTCCCTCCTGATTGGTGCCAGCGATCCTGGGTGTCGCCCCGCTGGACGCAACTGGCCTCCTATCCGGCGTCCTGGGCTCAGCCAGCGTCTCACCAGCCACTGTTGCGAGGGTTCCGCTCCGTGCCCGATTCCCGTCCACCTTCCCCCGAATAAAAGCCTCATTCCTCAATCCGGCCAGGACAACTTCCCAAGCTGGCATCTCCCTCTCTCCCTTGCTTGGATCAAGTTTCCTCTGTAAGCCGGGGTTCTTTTGCGTAGCTGGGTTCCTCCAGGGACAAAAGAAACGATGTTCCCTGACCGGGTCAAGGTGGGACATCGGGGCGGGGACGATGACTTCTTTTGTGGAAGGGTCGATCTCGCGGGGCTTGAACATCCAGAGGCCGAGGCGGCGCAGGCAGGTGTGGCAGGAAGCGCTATTTGGGATGGGAGTGTGGAGGGTCGGGTGGGTGAGGGATTGCCAACCTAGAAGGGCAAGAGCTAAGGCTGAGCGGTTGATAGTTGAAGAGGTAGGATCTGAGGGTTTGGAGGTATTTGCAGAAGTATTGGTCTTGGTCGCATCGCTCGAAGCGGCAGGCTGCTTGGGCGGAGGTTCGGTAAAGAAGTTCGGGGGGAGATAAGAGATGACAGTGTCGATGTCGAGGCCATCCGGCAGGCGGATGCTGAACTCGTATGGTAAGAAGGTGGAGCGCTCGCAGAGCTCGTCGTACCGCTGGCGCAGGTCCTGGAGCACGAGCTTGTTGTTAGGGTAAGGGAGACGTAGAAGGGAGCCTGTAGACCGTGTCAGTCATTGCTTGAACACGACGAGTCTCTGGAGAAACGGAAGCCTACCATCACAGCCCTTCTTCCTCCACAAACAATCCGCTTTATGCGCGTCCACAATCAAGCTCGCATACTTCTCAATCACAGCCTCCTCAATTTCACTGGCAATCAATACAGCCACCTCTTTCCCATCCACTTCCTTCCTATTCACCTTCACGGCCAACTCTGCTCCGCACAACACACACTTCACCTTCTCCTTCCCGGAGCATGTCCATCCCCTCTTCGCCCACTCAATCTCATTCACCCGATCCGGCTTGGGCGTCCATTCGGTCAATTCCTGAAACGTCGCCAGCCGCCGGATGAGCTGATCTCTGTCCGAGGGACAGTACCGTGGCGGAGGGGGCATGCCTTCTTTCAACGATCCAGGGATCGAGGTTGTACTAGCATTCGGAGTGGACGTCCATCTTCGCAAGGTAATATTCGAGACAGTAGTTGTGGTCGTCAACGAGCCGGTTACGCTGCGGATGCTGGCCGGTGAGGGCTGTAGGATACTCGTGTCGCTCTTCATGGGCGTCGCCGTAGTCGCTGTCGCGGCGCCACCGAGGCGGCGCTTCTTGAGCTCGCTAGCGGTCGCGTTATCTGGCGTGATTATGCCGCGCGAGGAAGATAGGAAAGACGGAGGGGAGGGCATGTCGTCGAGGGAAGAGTACTCAGCAAGGCTAGAACGATCGCGGTCGGGCGTGCCGTCGGGCCGGCTGGTGATGCCTTGAAGAAGGGCATTGAATTTGCGCTTGACAGCAGAGTTCATATCGTAGTTTTTGTGGGAAGAGTTGCACCCAAGGGGCGAGTGGGAATGTGGGGAGCGCGGCTGGGATTGCAGAGTCGTCGAGCCGCGAGTCGAGCCGCAAGCCGCACTGAGCCGCTCCCGATGAGCTGTTAATTATGCGGCTACGGCAATCCCCACTATGAATGTAATTCAGATGCAAGTGCTGAAGAGCAATCAATGTGCTGGGATGACGATTGAGGTGAGAGTCGAAAGGGAAGAATGGCAATCAGCAAGGATGGTTGAGAGAATGGGAACGTCTATTTGGATTGCGATGATGTTGTGGCACACAGTCCATAGCACAGTTTACGTACAATATCCGCACAGTGCAATCTAGTGCAATCTAGCCATGGCTGTATATAGCAAGACATCAACGACAACTACGCACAAAATGTTCTGATCCCACAAAACACGCAAGCTGCTGTCCATTAAAACAACAGGGTATCAATATTAATACTGGCATCCTGACAAAGACGATCATAACCTCGCAGAATAAACCGAACCAGAACCGCAAATAATACCCTACCCTCAGGCAACCCCAATCCTCTCTAGACACCTAATCCGATCTCATCACCCACACAATGGACCCTGCTTCTGCCCCTCTACAGCTTGGGCCTGCCTCTTCCTCGGCCTAAACCCAATTCCCCTAATCCGAACCCTCAACGCCAACGAACTCATCACCACACTAATACTACTCAACGCCATCGCCAGACTAGCCCACACCGGATCCAACTTGACATGCTTCCCTCCACTCACTACAGGGTACAACACGCCCGCTGCAACCGGTAGTGCAACCATATTGTACACCACGGCCCAGGCGAAGTTGATCCTGATCCTGTTGAACACAGTCTTTGACAAATCCAGCAAATCGACCACCGCGTCCAAGTGAGACTTGACCAGAACAAAATCCGCACTCGAGATGGCCACGTCCGCGCCACTTCCAACGGCAACACCCACGTCGGCCGTAGCGAGAGCCGGGCTGTCGTTGATGCCATCGCCAACCATGGCAACCATACCCTTCGCCCCGCGGGTAGAAACCTTGCTCGGTGAACGCTGGGCCCGGACGCTGGCTTGAATCTGCTTGATGGCATCCGCCTTGCCGGTTGGGAGGACGCCAGCAAGGACTTGGTCGAGAGGGATGCCCAGCCGCGAAGCAACTGCTCGGGCTGTGCGAGGGTTATCGCCGGAGAGCATCCAGACGCGCAGACCAAGGGTGTGTTGGAGGGTGTGAAGGACGCGGGGAGCTTCGGGGCGGATGGGGTCTGTGATGGCGAGGGCAGCAGAGACGGTCCAAGGACTATCGGAACCCCGTCGGATGGCAACCAGAGCGGTGGACTTGGCTTCAGATTGCCATTGTCCGAGGGTATTTAGGATCTGTTGAGGAACAGGAATGGACATGGAAGAGAGAAGGGACTCGTTGCCGACGGCAAGCTCGACGTTCGTTGAGAGAGTTGCACATATACCGCGACCAGGCAACTCTTCCAGACTGGTGATGTTGGCGCGGGAGGATGTCTTCGCTGCGCAAAAGGCAACAATCGCCTTCGCAACAGGATGGCTACTGTTCTCCTCAACAACCCTCAATGCCGCCAGGATCTCCTCCTCATCTTCAGCAAACACCTCAAAGTCCGTAACTTTGGGCTCCCCGCCGACCGTCAGCGTTCCCGTCTTGTCAAATACCACGACACCAACCCGACTAGCCTTCTCGAATGCCTCGCCTCCTCCCTTCGCGAGCACGCCGTACCTGGCAGCAAGCCCACTCCCAACAAAAATTGCCGTTGGGGCGGCAAGCGCCAGCCCGCAAGGACAGGCCACGACGAAAACCGCGATCGCGAACTGCAGGCTGAAGGCGACCCAACCCCCTCTGCCCCCATTCGATCCAAAAGATCTGACAGTACTGGCCATGTTGTGGTTGTTCATGCTGTTGCCGCTCATATCCACATCCATGTCATGGCCGCTAGCGAGCCAATCCCGAGGTATAGCGCCCGCCAAACCCAGCACAAGCCAGACCACCCATGTGACCACCGCGAGTGCCGTGACCACAGGCACGAAATACGACGTGAGCACATCAGCAATCTGCTCGATTGGTGCCCGACGGGTTTGGCCTTCTTTGACAACCCGCACAATTTGGTCGAGCATGCTCCTGCCCGCGGCACCCGTGACTCGTGCCAAGATAGGGGTTGAGCCGGCGTTGACTGTGCCCGCGTAGACCGGGTCGCCGGGCTGTTTGGGGACGGGACGGGACTCACCGGTCAGAGAGGACTCATCGAAGACAGTCGTGCCACGAAGGATGACACCGTCTGCCGGGGGCGATGAGCCAGAGAGGATGCGAATCACGTCGCCTTGATCGAGGAGGTCTGCCTGCACAACGGTATCCTCCTCAACCGAGGGGAATTTCTCGCCGTCTGACTCCGAAGAGGTATACCCTTCAACAAGAATGGCCGTGCTCGGTTTGAGTTTGACCAGTCCCTCGACCGCATCGCCCGTTCTTGCCTTGCTCACACTCTCGATCCACCTCCCCAGCAACAAGAACAGCGTCAGAAACACGACGCTATCGAAATAAAAGTTTCCCTCATCCACCTTCTCTGGCTTTTCAACCCCGGCAGCAACCATCTGCCCCACACTGCTCACGTACGCGACCGTCGTACCCAAACTCATGAGCGTGTTCATGCTCCCGAACCTTAAAAACCTCTCCTTCAACGGCGGTCGCCTGGGGCCCCTCCACAACCTTAGAATTTCCTTAACCGCCCGCCGATGGAACAAGTCCGCGCCGAAAAAGTACACCGGCGTCGCCAGCGCAAAGAGGATGATCTGCGCCCTGGAGAGACCACTTTTCCATGGCGACATAAGCCACGCGACAGAGGGATCCGTGTGCCGCTTGTGGGAGGGTAAGAGCGTCATGTACACGATGCCAATGACGAATGTCGGAACGGCAATCAGCGCAGTGAGGATTATGCGGATGAGGATCTGCCAGCGGTGTTGTTTTGCAAGTTGCTTGGAACGTTCTTCGAGGGTTGGAGGGTGATGCAGGGTGGCACGGAAGTTGGGCGATGTCGATTCTATCGCGGCCAGAAGAGTTCTAATTGTGAATTTGGGAGGTTGAGGGGTATAAGTGAGCTTCAAGAGTGGCGAGGCGAGCGTCGGAGGGGAGATGATCTGTAGATTGTGTCGTGGGAAGCCCCGTTCGAGAGTTGTGATGATGCGCGAAGGGCACTGAGTGCAGTAAAGCCCAGTGATGTGGACTTCAATTGTGCGAGGGGGAATACTCTCCTCTTCGTTGTCAGATGTCGATTTTGCAGACTCAGATACATCTTCAATAATGGGCGTTACGCTGTCGAGTGTACAGTCGTATCCCATCTCTTCGACGACCTGGACCAGCTGTTCCGCTAGCGCCCGGTCCTCAACAATGACCTTAGCGCTGTTGGTTAGCAGGCTAACCACGACCTCTCTTACCCCCTCTCTCTTCCTCAATTCCTCCTCAACAGTCTTGACGCATGATGCGCAAGTCATGCCCCCGATTGCGAGCCCAACCTCCCATCCATTCGCCTTCCTCGCTTCTTCATTTCCTTCTTTCTCTCGCTGCCCCTCACTTGGCTGACTTAGAGGCTCGAGTTCGAGCAACGCACACTCATACCCCAACCCCTCGACTACATCAACCAGTTCCTGTTCAGCTTTCTCCCTGTCAGTGACATCTACCACAGCGCTGTGGCTCAGTAGCGAGACCGTTGCGCTGCTGACCCAGGGGAGAGAATTCAAGGAATTGGTGATTCCGTGAGCACATGAGGCACAAGTCATGCCTGCTATGGCGAGAAAGGCTCTGTACAAGCCATTTTTATCTATTGGCCGGGCTGACTGTTGCTGTTGTAAGTGCTGAACCTCAGGCTGGCGTTGAACAGTGACATGTATTGGAACAGGAGAGGTCGAACTGTTGATCGGCGACGTCCTTTCCCCGCTGGCGTCGGTCTCACTATCTCTAGGAGCCGTGGCGCTGGAGAAGGTCTCGTCAATGGCGGTCTTATCTTCCTCTGTACCACTGGTAGTGGCCGACGTAGCGGCCGCCGCACGGCACTGCTCACAGTTCTCGAGATGAACCCGCGCTCTCTGGTCACGAGACATCCTTCCCCCAGGTGATGAGGAGGGAGCGAACCACCGTGTCAGTACTGCCATGCTGCTCGCTACTGCGCCAGCGTTGATGTTGGTGAAGGCCGATGCTGGTTGATGAAGTTGAGTCTCGGCAATATTATTGATCTCGGTGTCCTCAGCGTCTTGTCGGAGCTCCTCGGCCTCCGGAGAGTCCGTGGTAACAGCGACTACGTCGAACCCCGCGTCCTCCAGAGCCCTGCGCAGGGTCGGTATCACACCGGCCTGAGCCAGGTGCTCGACCGTCACGACGGAGGTGACGAGGTTCGGGGAGACCCACCTGACCACAGCAGTGCCTGGCGTAACACCCGCAGTAACACTGGTGCTAGTTGTGACAGGGTCCTGAGTCGATGATGGCGATGAGGGATAAGCGTTGCGAACAACCTGCTGAATCGCGTGCGCGCAAGTCGGACAGTGGAAGTTGCCCAGGAGGAAGGAGGTCGTTGCAATGTTTGTTGTTGCGGTCGACAAAGTCGGCTGTGTTCTCTGCGACGAAGAAGCGGAAGCTTCTGGAGTTGATGACGATCGACCAGTTCGACTAATCCCGAAAGCACGCCTCGACTTGAACGACCCCAGCACCCCGGACCAGGGCGCGGGCGTGGCCGCGGTACTTGTATGCCGCCCCATGTCTGTCTGCCTCCGCGCCGTCCGGTAGATTGGGTCGCTTTTGGTCCCCGCTACGCTATGCTAGGTAGCCGCGCCGCCCCTCCGCTGCCGCCGGCGTCGGATAGGACCGTTCTTGGGCTGGTCTAGTGTATCCGTATATGGTAGGGCAAGGAGTGTAAGCCCTGCGTAAGCCGTCCCGAAGCCGACAAGACAGGCACTGTGTAGACAGAGACAACTTGTCAAGGAGAGCCAAGCGAAAGGAAAAATACCCCTGCTCGTTGTTGCGTGCAGGTGCAGATGCAGATGCAATGAATCTGATCTGCAAGCTACCGTCCGTCCGCTCTCCCCACTTGTCAATGGAGGTGCGTGACCCTGTCGAAACTGGTCTGGGACAGGAAAAGGAAAATGGAAGACGACAGGATGTTTTTGGTCGGTCCGCGACCAAAGCCGTCTGGATGCCGAGTGATAGGATCACAATAAGCTGGGATGAACTGGCCAACTTGCCAAAGGGCCTCTCCTGTTGGAAAGGGAAAAGAGGTACCTTGCTGGACACCTCGTGCCCTTCCCTGTCTCTATCTGAGGTTGTCTGGTTGGAGTGTTAATGTATGCAACGCTGTGTGTAACACCCCCAACGGCGACTGGCTGGGTTAGAAGGAACTGCAATTAATTTAATTGCTGGTGTGTTTCCCGGTTGGGAAACACGGAAGCCCAATGGATGGCAGACAGGAAGGAGGGGTGACGACGGGTAATAGGCTGAATGAAATGAAGAAGTTAGCGGCTTTCTTGCTTGGAGGAGCACAACCTTCCTCGAGAGGCCAAGGAATGGACTCGATCGAGGTTTGGCGGTGACGATGGACGTGATAGTGATGTAAGATTTCATGTAATTACCGTATTGCCTTTGCTTGAGACACAGTGTATGCAAGTTGCGTAAGTCACAGCGATTGCGATCTTGATCGTGGAGTGACGGGCAAATAAACCACAAACACCTATCGATTTTAATGAAAAAAAAAAGACAGTTGACCTGAATTTGATACTCAAAGCCCTTCTTATATCTCGCCTTCTTGTTCCTGGAATGTTCTTTTTGATTTCAAAGTTTGCCCCAGCCTCGTCGCAGTGAACCACGCACAATTCACGCATTCCCATCTACCTGTTCCTGATCTGGAAAGAGACGGTTGTGGCGGTTGGCTGTTAGTCACGCCAAGAACAACTGTCGAAGAGACACTGTGTGCTGCGTGGAGGATGTGCTTCATTCATTACGGACACTATCAAGATGTAGCTGTAACGCAACGTTAGCGGCTAGGGCGCTTGTCTGTGTTTCTGGACTCGATATTAGGTAGCTGCAGAGTGTGACATTGCTTTGGACAAGTTGAAGCTGTTATGTCCAATGGATGGCCCGATCTTAGTCGAGTATTGTGGTTGTGCTGATTCATCATTCATGGCCCCGCATTCTTTGTGTTGCTGAAGGGTACACCGTGTGACATACGGTCTGCTGTGTAGTTTGGGAAGATCCAAGGACTGTTGCTTGTAAGAAGAGACCTGCAGTTTTGTTTGCAGAAACTTCGCAAAGACTCACTTCCTGGATGGAAGAATGGTTCCGGCAGTGTCAAGAGGGTTATCACCCCAAACCGTTCTTGAGCCTCTTGATCTGAACGTCACAGGGCGGGCAGTATATGACGTCCTTTTCGCCACCGAGATCCAACTTAGCAACCCCTTCCAAGATGCGGAATCGACGAATCAAAACGCAAGGTTTTCTTATCGAGTGGTGGCAAGCTTACACAGTGATAAATTCCCCTTGGCACTTGTCGTTTCCCCTAGTCGGAGATCATCGTCCGTCTGCTATCCCTGTCGTTGCCCCGATTGCTGACCCACCCCGGAGCCGACCTCGGCAGTACACAGGCGGGTGTCGGTCGCCGATTGATTCATCTCCCATAGTCCCGGTCTGTTTTGTGACGTTTGCGAGGGCTTCGGCGCCGTTTGATCAGAAAGGAGCGAGACGGAGAGTGTAAAAGGTCGGTCTTCAATTGGGAGGGTGATGTGAGGTATCTATCTTGAGGGCGGAACATGTCTGCCTGATCATGCTAAGTTCTGAGATGGGCGGTGAAAGCGAAGGGGGTTTAGAGACAGAGTGCCGGATGTTTTACTCTCCTTGGTAATGGGCCTGCAGTGAGTCGGGTCGGGACTGTATGCAGTCTCACGGCGATCGGAGTGCTCGGTGACAGGTGATCAGGACATTGAAGGTGTGGATGAAAGCATCTTCGAGCCTTCAACCATGCATTCAGTCGGAGCCTTGAACTCACCCACTCGGTAAGATGCGGACAGACTTGCCATCCAGGGAGAATCGATCACCAGGAAGCTGTTGATACGGTACAGCCTATCCATCTCGACATGACAACCATAACTAATTAAGGCAGCTCGGGAACTTTCTCGAGGCCTACCTCGGGCTACCTGGTAAGGGAGCCATGATGTTTCAGATCCTGTACGACTCAGCCCTCACTCTTTGTCCAGCAGCTGCTCCATCCACCTCGGCGGCAAAGGATCCCCGATGAAGGCAGGTTTCTGGAATCCGCCCGGCTGCATGTTTGGAGGTTGTGCCACTGATTGGAGTGATACTCAAAAGGGCATCGTGCTTGCTTGCTCGTTGAAGCTTAAAGGGTGTCGGGGACTGGCAAGGCTGACAACATAGTAAGTGAACAAGCTTGAAAGGATGCTTGTACTTTTTTTTAAGCTCTGGAAAAGGTCGGCACCTGTTACTATGCTTAGAGCATGACTTACGGAAGGCCCCGAAGTTGCTCTAATAGAGAGGAACAGTGTCATCAGGAGTTGTAATAGCATGATCTAAGTCACAGCATTCTTCTTGTCAGTATTTTAGTATGGAATTGTTGACCGAGGCGAGCTCTTATCCTGGAAACCGCGCCCATTGGCTATCATCTTTGTTGTAACGGTTGGAGGAGTTGTTCTTTCCTCTTCAAAATGCAAAAGACAGGAGAGCAAACCTGTAAGAACCTTGACAAGTCTGATATTGAGGCGGCATGGATGCGCAAGAAACGGATATCTGAATGAACTTGCTAAAATCTAGAACAAGCGATGGTCCAGACCGCAAGAGCTTGCCTAGAACTACTGGGGCTTCAGCCTTGATTAGAGGTAGCTCGGGCTACTGAACTGTTTGCTTTCTTGGCTGCGGGTGTAGAAAACAAGGTTACAGCTTTAACTTTACCTTGAGTCAAGGTATGCCCAGTAAAATAGGCTAAGTTCAAGGCGTTTAACGTCATCTATGGAGCATGCTTTTACTAACCGCTGAGAGAAGACTGGGGGGATCAAGCTTACACAGCCCTAGATTGATCCCCGCGTGCATGCGAAGGGCTAGCTCTTGGTATAAAAGCCAGTCAGGGGTGTCATTATGAATACAGTAACCTCCTATTCTTGGGACTTGGACGCAATGCAAGAATTAGAGGTAGGCACAATTACAGACAGAGTGCATTGCCATCTTGACAACTCATACGACTTGCTGTATGCACAGGAACGAAGAGGTTACTAGCTGATCAGTAAAAAGTGAATGAGGGAATTGAGCAGTGGCTAAATCCAACTCAAGTGAACTTGAATTAACTCTCAAGCTGTAATATTTGATTGAAGTGATTCCAGGCTATTTGAATGGGTGGCCAATTTCATATTTTCCTGCCTTTATTCACAGCTCAAGTATGGCTGTTTCGAGGATGGTCATGGGAGTTTAAATAGAGCATTCATGGATTGAATATGTTATTGAAAATGAGACAAAAGTGAAAATCTCACCTTGACGCTGTGGTTCGTCTTCATCCTCAACTGCTCGGGAGTAAGACAACTCATCAATCTTCGTCGCTCATGTCTTCCTACGTGGTAGCAAAGGATTGGAAATCCACACTGCATGACAGCCCAACCTCGAAGCTAGACTTGAAGAGTAGTGTGTGCTGCATATCCTGTCTTCATCGAAGAAAACAAGTAAATTTACTCTCACTGAATGACCTAAGAAAGAGCTCATGAAGCATCCTGCTCTTCTTTGGCATTTCAGGGGCAGAGTTGGAAACTTTGGCTTATGGCACAACACAGTAACCAAACATAAGACATATAGCTTGTAATTGGTCAGCCACATGCCCCACTGTACATGACAAGCCACAAATGTGGCCAGCACATCCCGGCCGTTAACCAGGGGCCCCCCACATGGTTTCCAGACATGGTTAGCGTCAATTGCGTGATCGAGGGGTCGAGGCGCGCCTTCACAACGACGTGGACATTTTCCCAAGTTTGCCGCTCGTCGGGCCAGCATTCGCCCGGGAAAGCGAGCGAAATTGCTGAGAAATGATGGCAATTGGCAGGCCGATGGCGGTCAATAGGACGCGGGGTGCGGAAAGGAGAGCGCCAGACCGGCCGTATTGGGCCGGTCTGACCTGAATTTTTTTTTTCCTTTTCTATGTCAACTGCTTTCCATTTAAATATCATCCTTCTTGTCGTGTCATCTAGTTGGCATCGTTGCCTCTTCTGTTTCATATTTGGTCTCTTACTTCCAGTTTGAGGAGCCGCTTGTGCCCTCTTTGTGTTTCAAGCGAGGAGTCAGCCAGCTTTGCCTTGACTGCCGAGTTCGACGTCAGCCGCTCATTTCGACATCACCGGCGACATCCCATCAGTCACCTCTCGTGTCAAGATGTCAGTTCCTCTGAGCGCTCTCGCCGGGCCGGCGTACGCCTCGGCGCAGCTGCTTGTGCAGCAGACTGCCTACCAGGTGTCCGACAAGATCTGGTCCATTTCTCCCGAGACTTTCGATCTCGATAGCGCCGTGCAGGAGTGGGCAAAAGCTGGTGAGAAGAACGCCCAGGGCAAGCCGACGCCCATTGTCCCTTTGCAAACCCGCGCCGGCGCCGGTACGCTCGCTCTCGGCTACATTTTCTCCAAGGACTTCGACCTCAGCAAGCGCCATGTTCCTCAGACGCTTCTGGCTCCATCCCTCAGCCTACGCCATCTCCGAGGCGCCCTCGATCAGCTTAGCCTGCTCTACCGCCTGAGCAGCCCGTTTGTGGCTCACGTCGCTGCCGCCGACTATGCCGGAAGCGATGGTCTGATTGCTGATTACGAGCCGGCTCTGCAGCTAGCCGAGGAGCTGGGTCTAGGTCTGATTGCCAGTACATCTGCTCACGATGCCCAGCACACAGCGCTCCTTGCTACTCTCCTAGCACAGCTCTTGCCGACTCTGCACGTGTACGATGGGGTACGCACGGCGCGCGAGTCGCTTAAAGTCCTGGACGTGCTCCCGGCTGCTGGCATCGCCGACCTTCACGCGCGCCTGGCCCGTGCTGCTAGCACCCTCAACAAGCGCCTTGATACTGCTGGTAAGGTTATCGAGCTGCTGCGCCTGTTCAACGCTGAGCTAGGCACCTCGTATGCCCCATTTGAGTACCACGGCCACGGGGCCGCAGAGACTGTGCTAGTTGTGTTCGGCAGCATTGAGGCCCAGCTCGCGAAGCAGGTTGTTGCTTCTCTCGCTGCTCAGGGCCAGCGCGTTGGTGTTGTCAACGTCCGCCTGTACCGCCCCTTCGTCGAGGAGGCTTTCCTCGAAGTGCTGCCCCGGTCGGTGCGCCGCATCGCTGTCTTCGGTCAGGTGCGCGACGCTGTCGCTGTCGAAGACCCCTCTGTCCAGTCGGTTCTGTACTCTGATGTCCTGACCGCCGTCACCTTCGCCGACAGCTGGTCGCACGAGCCGGCTGTTGTTGATGTCAAGTATGCCGCGTCAGCCGAGCACACTCCGAGCTCCATCGCTGCCGTCTTCCAGCATCTCACCACCAAGAACGACCAAGCTGACGCCGTCGTCCTGTCGCTCCCTGCCCTCGAGCAGGCCCGTCAGTACGCCTTTTGGGACGTCGACAACTCTCCTGCTGCCGGTGCTGCTGCTGCGATTGGCAAGCTGCTGGCTCGCGATCAGACCAGCAACGTTGCTGTTCACGCCCAGTATGATAATCTCGTGCAGGGTGGCGTTGTACGCACTGATGTGCGTGTTTCCGAGAAGCCGGTTGAGGCGCCGTTTGCAGTTGAAGAAGCCGACGTTATTTTCGTCGGCGAAGAGAAGCTGCTGAAGGATCTGGATATCCTTAAGAGCTCCAAGGCGGGCGGCAAACTTATCATCAAGCTTCCTGGCCTCAAGGATGTTGCGGCTGACGCTGAGAAGCGTCTGCCTGCTCAGGCGAGGAGGAAGATCCAGCAGAAAGGTCTTGAGCTTTATGCCTTCGACTCTGCTGTTCCTTCACTCGAGAAGAACGCCGAGCTGGCTGCTATCCTCGCCTTCTTCCAGGTTGCGCAGCCTGATCAGGATGCTGCCAAGCTGCTCGACGGGCAGGATGTCTCTGAGCTGCTTGCTGCCTTGCCGGCCTCTTTGCACAAAGTCGAGGTGCCCGCCGCCTGGGTCGAGGCCGATGCTACTGCCCCGGCGCATGTGTTCAAGGCCAACAGCTTTGTCGCCTTCCAGAAGGACGAGCCGGAGCCGGCGCTGGCCGTCAACTCCTGGGAGGAGGCTGCGAAGGGTCTCGTATTCAAGGAGGCCTACAGCACCCAGGCCGCTCTCCGCCCTGACCTTACCGTCAAGACATATACTATTCGCGTTAAGGAGAACCGCCGCCTCACTCCCACGACGTACGACCGCAACATCTTCCACATTGAGTTCGACCTCGGGGACTCCGGTCTCACCTACAACATCGGCGAGGCCCTCGGCATCCACGCCGACAACGATCCGGAGCAGGTGCTTGAATTCATCAAGTGGTATGGCCTCGACGCCGACGCTCTTGTGCAGGTCCCTTCGCGCGAAGACCCTGCCGTCGCCGAGACCCGCACCGTCTATCAAGCGCTTGTCCAGAACGTCGACATCCTCGGCAAGCCGCCGAAGCGCTTCTTCGAGGCCCTCGCCGAGTTCGCCACCGATGCAGAAGAGCGCAAGAAGATCGAGTTCCTCGCATCCAAGGAGGGCGCCGACGAGTTTAAGCGTCTGTCCGAGGTCGACACCGTCACTTATGTCGACATACTACAGATGTTCCCGTCTGCTCACCCGGCTCTGCCCGACCTTGTGCGCATCGTTGCTCCTCTCAAGCGCCGTGAGTACTCGATTGCTTCAGCCCAGGCTGTCACACCTAACTCCGTTACCCTCATGATTGTCGTCGTCAACTGGGTTGATGGCCGTGGCCGGAAGAGGTTGGGTCACGCCACCCGGTACCTGTCGGGTCTCAAGCCGGGAGCCCTGGTTACTGCCAGCGTCAAGCCTTCGGTCATGAAGCTCCCTGCTCGCGACACCGCTCCTCTCATCATGGCCGGTCTTGGTACCGGTCTTGCCCCCTTCCGTGCCTTTGTCCAGTATCGTGCCATGCAGAAGGCCCAGGGCAAGGAGATCGGTTCCATCCTGCTATACCTTGGCTCTCGTCACCAGCGCGAGGAGTACCTGTATGGCGAGGAATGGGAGGCCTATCTCGACGCTGGCGTCATCACTCTGCTTGGCGCTGCCTTCTCGCGTGACCAGCCCCAGAAGATTTATATCCAGGATCGCATGCGTCAAACAATGCCGGAGATCGTCAAGGCCTACATCAAGGAAGGCGGCTCGTTCTACCTGTGTGGTCCTACCTGGCCCGTGCCGGACGTCCAGGCCGTGCTGGAAGAGGCGATTGCGATCGAGGCCAAGGAGAGGGGTGTCAAGGTTGAGCCGAGGAAGGAAATTGAGAGGTTGAAGGAGGACGGTCGCTATGTTCTTGAGGTTTATTAGAGGGATAGATTTGCTTTTTTTTTGTTGGGATTTTGGTTCGAGCGTTGAATTGAATCTGACTTTGATTTTGTCTCCAAACTCTTCGATACTTTTTTTTGGTGTTGTGTGATCGACCCGTCCCTGAATTCCCTGAACGTCAACTTGAGGTCTGCCAGATGTCAACGACGTCCCATCCCGACAACTGTGGAGAGGTTCCTTTGTGCGGGGTTGCTCCTCTCGCCCCGATGCCAAGACCTGGGGTGACCACTTACAGCGCAGCGATCCCCAGGATTTGCGGACCCCCCAGGTGGACGCGGCCCCGCGTGGGTTAGCCGGACTGTGGGGTAAGTAATGAAGTGAGCTGGGCTGCAGTCTAAACCCTGACTGCTGCAGGAATGCGGCTGCTCGGCTCAAGGCTGCGGCTGGAAGCCGAGGCAAGGGACTCGGGTGAAGGTACCGCCGAGTTATGAGGGGGCTTCTCTGTCTTGAAGGTCTTGAACTCGACCGCGTTTGGCTCAGATCAGAGATCATTTGACGTCAAGACCTGAAAAACTAAGAGTAGGATGACAGCAATCCGTATCCTGCCCAATGTAAGTTTTATTCGACTATTAGCAACAGGGTGTAGCTAACTGGCGCGCACAAGAGGGCTACTCGCGCAATTTCGCTCCTTCGCACAATCCAGTACACACACCCACCTTCCTGCCCATGCCACTCTAACCCAGGCTATCATCACCATCACCCGCATAAGCACAATCCCGCAGGGGAGACTGTCTCGCGGTATGCTTCACGCGTCAACAGCACTCGGAGGGGTTATGCGACTCCCGCTGAGCTTCAGAAAGAGTATGCCTTTGAGATGGCTGCTTCGTCGATTCGTTTCGGACCTGGGGTGACGCAGGAAGTGGGTATGGATTTGAAGAACCTGGGCGCCAAGAAGGTTTGTGTGGTAACGGATGAGACGGTTGACGGGTTGGAGGCTATGAGAGTTGTGGTAAGCTTTCTAATGTGCACATCGTGTGTCAGGCCCCTGGAGGGATGGTTAGCTGACACCAAGTTAAGAGGGAGAGCCTCGACCGTGAGGGCATCCCCTATATCGTCTTTAACAAAGTTCACATCGAACCCAAAGACTATTCCGTCAAGGCCGCAATCAACTGGGTGCGCCCGCACGACCCCGACGCCTTCCTTGCCGTTGGTGGCGGCTCGGTCATCGACACCGCCAAGCTGATGAACCTGTACCTCTGTTACCCGGACGCCGACTTCCTTGACTTTGTCAACGCCCCCCTGGGGAAGGGTAGACCGATTGACCGGAAGCTGCGTCCCTTTATTGCTGTTCCGACCACGGCTGGTACGGGGTCCGAGACCACCGGCACTGCGATTTTTGATCTTGTCGAGAAGAAAGCCAAGACTGGCGTCGCGCACAGGAACCTCAAGCCGACCCTCGGCATCTGCGACCCACACAATACGAAGAGCATGCCCTCTGCTGTCAGAGCGAGTTCCGGCTTGGATGTCTTGTGCCATGCGCTGGAGAGTTGGACAGCGATTCCGTTTTATGAGCGCACTCCAAGGCCGACGAATCCGATCTTGCGCCCGGCGTACCAAGGCGCGAACCCGATCAGTGATATCTTCTCGCTAAACGCGCTAAAACAGTGTGTGAAGTATCTACCGAGGTCTGTCAAGGACCCGGAGGACGAGGAAGCGTTGACAGAGATGATGCTCGCTGCTACGTTGGCGGGCGTTGGGTTTGGTAATGCAGGCGTGCATTTATGCCATGGTAGGTACTCATGTTCTGTTTTTGTTAAGTCAGAAGGATGATCATAAATCTGACAGCACTAGGCATGTCATACCCTATCTCAGGCCGTAACCCAGGCTACCGTCATGCAGGGTACAAGGTCCCCTCCCCTCTCATTCCTCACGGTGTTTCTGTCGCGGTGTCCGCCCCGGCAGTCTTCCGCTTCACAGCTGCTTCGAACCCTGACCGGCATCTTGAGGCCGCAAAGTGCTTCGGTGTCGACGTCACCAACGTCAAGCGCGAGAGCGCAGGCGAAGTGCTCGCCGATGCAATCAGGAAGTTCCTCGCCGATCTGGGCGACCAGCCGAAGGGGCTGAAGGATTTAGGGTTCGCTAAGAGCGACATTGAGGGTCTCGTCGAAGGGACATTGCCCCAGGCTCGGGTGTTGAGTCTTGCACCGGGCCTGGAGAGGGATAATCTATTGAGGGAGAGGGAACAGTTGGCGAAGCTATTTGAGGAGAGTTTGGAGCATTAGTCATAACGGTGGGAGTTGGTGATAAACTTGCTGTATATGATGATTGGGTGAGTCAAGTCATATTGGATAGAGTCATCATTTGGTTGTCATCATCATGAGAAAGTCGCATACCTCAGTCCTCTTCAGGGTTCACTTTACGGTTGTCACATAAATGCGACCAGTTTCCCTACGTCCTCAGTTCTCATTGTCCTTGTGCCCCGACAAAGAGGTTGATATGTAAGAGCATCCATGGATTAAGGCTTTTCTCCCACTTTACTGCTCTTGAAAACATTTAGTGCACTGATGTCACACATATAGGGTTTTGTGGCCATGAAGGCTTATCATCAAAGGCTTTCCGATAGCGAGCACAAGAACCGTACTTTTTTTTTTTTTCATTAATCGAGATCTAACTGAACCAGGGATTAAGTTGTATATGGGAACGGAGTGTCGTTTCAATTTTAATCTATATAACCTCTTACACTTGTCCTACCTTTATTACGTAGTGTACTGACCCGGCTGGTTTATGACGTAAGTTTGAATGTCGTAACGATTTAAGCTTATATCCTGCAGTTTATTGATAATTAAATTGCTCCTTGATGACCTGAAAAACCTGCCAGCATGATGGTGACAAGAGCGCTCTAGCGATGTTCATGCAATCAAGATAAAGAAGAGGAGTCAATAATGGCTTTATTCTGGTTCCAGCCCAACATAAACAGGCATGACACAGTCATTTATTCATCCCACATTCCCAGTTGCGATTGTCGAACATATAAAAGCTGTGGCTAAGGTAAGGCCTTCCTCCACATTCAAGTTCATCTAAGCCTGACGAGTGGTGACTTGCTTACCAGATCCGTTTTTCTCCAGAACAACCTGCACAGTCAATGCAGCAGATGAGCGACGTTTGAGCTTCATGTGGCATGCTATATCTGGACTGATTGCCACACAGACGTCTCGATATAACACCTACCAGAGTCACATGTTTGTTCTGGCATCAGAGTCCGGTGCACGTAAATATTCCGGCTGAACTTAAGTTCTGCCCTCTCCCCACAATGATAGCCGTTAAAAGTTCTTTTATCACTTACACATTGAGAAGCAAATTAATTGTCTAACGATCACACTCCTCCATGTCTCGTCTGTCGTGGTCATGAGAGAGGTACTTGAACCTCTCTGCAGCCACGAAAAACATTAACTTCATAGCTAACAAAAAACCACACAGGACAAAACAAACAATACTCTCAAAATGGACATCAGCGATTACACCCAACCAGAGATACTGTCTCAGACTCGAACAATCCCGGCAGACTCGTCGTTTGCTGCCGTCTCTGGGGACACTCTGGCTTCCGCTGCTACAACTTCTCAGTTGGTGCCTTCCCGACGGCTGGCTGGACTGACTGCCATACGACTCGATCTTCGCCGACTAAACCCTGGACTCGGTGACGCGTCATCTTGCGCTCGTACGCAGGCATCTGCCTCGACCACTGGGAGGGGTGGGAAATTCTGCTGTTGGAGCAAAACCTGGTCGAGGGGGTCACTCAGTTCATCAACACGGTTTTGGATGAGCTGGGTGACGGCGGTTTTAATGTTCTGATGGGCACGACGAGGACTCCACTAGGGCGAGCAGGGAGTGATCTGGAAGATGGGACGGAAGATGGTTGGAGCTGTTCCGATGGAGATGTTGATTCCGTCGAAACTTTCGGAGAGACAGACGAGTATATTAGGGGACGAAAGTTGGAATGAGAAACGAGGATGATGAGGCCGAAGATACCTACCGGCACGAGACACCGGCTGCGACTACGCCTGGTCAATACAGCGCCTGCGAGACGAAAGGTTTTTTGGCACTTGGCGAGGAGAACTCGGGCTCTAATAGAAGAAAGCCGCATCTGCCTCTGGTCTGGTGTCGGACAACCATGACATTGAGGCGATGCGGGTGCTGGACCTTGTTTAGCGCACCGAGTTCATGATACGAAGGGTTAAGCGTGAGGGATGTAAGGAGAAGGTGAGAGGGTACGACGGCAAGGAAGCTTACTGTGGAGGAGAAACCCGGGAAGCCAGATCGTGAGCGTCGGGCAGATTGCTTTTACTTTCCAACTTTTCAAGGGAGACTCAGGCTCTCTGAGAACTGACAAGGCATTCTTTCATGTGACGCATGTGACGCTAACAGCCTTTCTCTCTGGTAGCAAAACAACATCCAATCTCATTATAGAACATGGACAAATCTCAATGCTTACCAAACATTAGTCGGACAACGCCTTCATCCTATTCCAGAGGAAGCCGATGATCGATGTTGCATAAAAGAGCAGTATTGAAGCGCCTGTCATCATAAGGGCGTGTAGCTCATTTGGTAGAGCGCTCGCTTAGCATATCTGGAGCTCCTAGAATAGGAGACTCTTAAGGTTATGCGAGAGGTACTGGGTTCGATTCCCAGCTCGTCCATTTTTCCGATTTTCTATCACCTTTTTCTTTTGCTCGCGGCAGTTGTATTTTTATGTTTGGCGCGTTTTGCGATTTCAAAAGAATTTTTGATGCTGATAAGCGTAGGTGCCAGTGTTTGCACAATGATGGGCAGGCATGTGGATGGTGCGAGTCCTCACGGGAAGTCTCGGAGTCCGTTTGCATCGCCACAACAGGTGCGCAACAGCGACACTTCTGAACACATTGATTTCTCAGTGTGTCTCGTGTGCAACATACACTATCTGTAGCCCGTAAGGCGCACTGGATCCCAGTGAGGGCGCGGAGTTCCCCTGCTTCTGTGCAAGTAAATACAGCAACAGGTCACCACAGCAACAGTCCTCCATTTCAGCCACCCCCTGATCTACACAGCCACAGCTTAGTTTTTCGAGCCACACACAGGCACAACCATGAGCCATCACAACTTAGTTGGTCTATCTCCTAGCAGTTTTGTTTCCTTTGGCATAGCTAAGTAGATATTTCTTGAATTTGATATGTCTTTTTCTCCGCCTACATATCTATGAGGAACCATATGTGGCTGTTCTGCCGGTTGGCGAGGACTTCTTGACCCACCAGTGGTGAATAATCAACTCGAGCTTCGAGAGAGGTGCGGACAATAGGAGACGCCACGCGTTTGTTGAATCCTTGGCAAATAACATAAGCTCCTCATCATGCCGCAGTTGTATGAGTGGCAGTAAGCAGATAATGGAATGAATGCGTTTCTGGATAGTTCCGCCACCTCGCGTACAAACCCGAGATACTCACCAGTGATAGCTCGGAACCGGAGGTCGTCGTGAATTCGTCGCCACATCCGCTATCAAATTTTGGAGGGAAAGACAAAAAAACCCGGACCGATGCAAACGCTAGCAGAACCGTTCTCAAGTCATTCCCACGGTGACCAGGTGGTGCGGCTCGTTGCTTGACTGGGCTTGACTGACTTCCTGGCTCAGTGTCGTCAAGACTAATCGACCTCATAGAGCCAACCAAGCAGGCAAATCATAAGCCAAACAGAGTTGACGACGTGAAACACGAACCCAAGCAGAATTCATTAGAGCAACCAAGCCAACATAGGCCATAACACAAACATATACACCCTTCATCTTAAAGTATGCCCCTCTCCCTCACACAACCCTAAACCCCGGTGTCTCACTACCTCCCCACGCCAGCGAAAGCAGCCCTGACCTCCTGCCGAGGCCACTCAAACAGCACATCACCGCCATATACCTCCGTCGTGACCCTGCCAATCCGCATCTCCACCTCACCATAGAACCGCTCACACTCCCTTAGCACCTGGCCCACCAGGCCGTGACTGTGTGCGCTCTTCTCTCCCACAGCCCCGGGTGTTTGCCCAGCACCCACACCACCGGGTGTGAGATTCCCGGAGGAGGAAGATTCCTCCTTATCATCACCGCCAAAGTGCTTCTCCACGCGTTTCCTGAGAGCCTCGATGCCTTTTCTCACTTCACGGGCGTCATACCCTCCAAGCACCTTGTTAAACACCTGCCTTGAGTTGGATGGCTGGGCAGCCACCTGCGCGGCAGTCTTGCCCGCAGCAAGCTGCGCCTCCACATTCTCCAGGTGTTCTAATAACTTGCCTAGCGGACGACGCATCACAGCGTTCAGGTACAGCTGCATATGCTCGGCAAGCTCGCGCTGTGCAGCCTCGCGCCAGTCGTCCAGGACCTCGAGCGGGCGCGGGTAGAGACCACTCTCGGGAGAGGTCTCCTCCAGGAAGTGGTGCATGTTCTCGATGAGGAGGATATGGAAGTTGAGCGCCTCTTTATCCTCCGGATCAGCTTGGTGCAGCGCCGAGATGGTCGTGGTGGTACCTGCGGTCGTCGACGTAGCAGAGGTAATGGTGCTGGCTGCAGAAGAGGCCACGACAGCGGGGTTTTCGCGGGCAATAACCTTAAGCGAGTCGAACATGGACTTGAGGATGCGATCGTACTCGCGGTCGACCATCCGACGGATGGGCAGGGCGTGGGCGTCGGCAGCCGAGAGCATGTTCTCAACGGCGGCGCTGAAGTGGGGGAAGATGCGCACGAAGTGGATGACGCCCTTGCGCTTCTTGATCTTGACCTTTGTTTCTTCGATCGCGCGCACCTGGTCGTCGACGAACTTCTTGAAACGGGTTTCGAGGTTGCCATGGAGTTTCTGGAGCACATTGTTGAGGAAATCCTGGTTGGACTGGTTAAGATCGTGCATCTTGCGCTCGAGCGTGGCTAAGATGCCAACTCCTTGTCTGGGAATGGTTAGTGGATATTATAGCTAGGCGACGAAGAGCAAGGGGGGTGGGGGGGGGGGGGAGGGGGGGAAGGACTCACAAGGGATCCTGAACCAACACCCAATCAATCAACTGCTGCAGGCTTTGCTCCAAGAAGCCGAAGATGCCCTCCATGGTCTTAGTTACCCGCCTGGCTAAATCACGATCAGGCTCCATGAGCCGGTGCCTCTTCAGATCCCCTCCTCTCCGATCATGCGGCCGGGCAGCAGCCACCAGATCGGGGAAATCTGACTGCTCGAGCGTAGTAGCATGGAAGAAATCGACAATAAAATTCTGCTCCATCTCGACCAGCGGCAACAAGTCGTCCACGACGCCGGCGAACACCTCGTACGGGAGCGCGCGGTGAGCATGGGCGTCCCTGTCCTGCAGGTTTGACCGGCTACCTTCGCCACGCAACGTGCGAGCCAGGGTCTGACTGCGCTTGACAGTCAACTTCCTCGCCGTCGTGGCCAGGCCTTCCTCCTTCTTCTCCTGGTAAGCCGTAAACAGCAGGTCAGCGTCGTCGCCGAAGGCGGGCGTCTTGCGTGCGTTCTTCTTCCAAGCCTCGACCGCGTCGCGGAACTCTGCTCGGTACACCGGGGCGCTGCGCTCCTGGTAAACCTGCAGGATGCGGTTCCAGTTGTCAAGATCGACATCACGCGCGTACAGGATCAGTGGGCTGTACATCCACAGCAGGTCGCGACCAGCGTCATGATTGCGTGGATCCACCTTCTTGGCCAGGGCGCCGTCCAGGGCAGCGCGCGTCTCACGGAAGGCCTCGGTGAACATCTGGTCCATGCAAACTACCAACCGGCGCATAAATGCCGAGCTCTCCTGCAGGTACATTTCCTTCTTCTCCTGCACGATGCGCATCTTGCCATAATCGCTGTTGTCGAGGCCAACATGGTCTCCGGCTGCATCGTCGCCGTTCTTGCGGCCAAGCGTCGGGTCGATCTTGATCATGGCCTTGTACAGCGTCACGAGGGCGGCCTCGATCTCCTGAACACCGTCAGCTGTCTCGATCGGCGCGCTCCTAAGCGCGGCCAGATCGGACTGGCTGATAGCGCAGGTCTCAAGCAAGGACTCGAGCTCCTTCTTGAGCAGTTTCTGGTTGGCGGCCTGTACCTGCAGACCCTGGCCTTGGGCCTCGATGTAGGCAATATCCTCTGACAGAGTCGACAACTCGACGCTGTACAGCGTCAGTAGGTTATCCAACTCCTCGCACTCGGCGATGGCAAGATCGATGCCGCGCTTGATAGCCTCGACACGCTCGTCGTCGTCCTGGAAGCGCGCGACCCAAGCGCCGGCCTGCGCCTTGCTGATTTCACGATCGATATCGGCGCGCAGGTCCTCAAAGGTGCGCGTACGCATCTTGTCGCCAGGCACCCAGCCGAAATAGTCCAACCACTTGGTGAACTCGCTCGGGCGCGCGTCCAGGATCGACGGGTCGATGCCAAGTGTCGCCAGGTACTTGGCGTCGTTGCCGGCGACGACAGGGCGCTGCTCCTCCTCCTCCTCCTCCTCCTCCTGCTGCTTCTCCTTCTCTTTCTCCTTCTCCTTCTCCTTCTCCTTCTGAGCCGTCGTGGCACCGTCAGACCCAGTCACCTTGACCTCCGGGACAGCCGGCGCCTTATCTACCTTGGGCGGTTCAGCAGGCTTCTCCGGCTCCGAGGGCTTCTGAACAGGAGGCTTAGGCGCAGGCACTACGCGAGTTATACCATCGGGTTCGTCGTCCTTCTTCTCTTCCTTCTTAAGCAGACGCTCCATGGCACCGCCAGGACGCGGCCGGAACGCGCTGGCAGCTGTTGCAGCTTTCCACAATGCGCCAGCAATTTCGCCTCTCGACTTCTTCGGCCTCACCATGGGCCCAAGACCAGGCTTCTCCTCTGGCTCAGGGGGTGGTGACTTCGGGGTCTCAGCCGAGGGCGCTGGCTGGGGAGCCGGCTGCACCGGAGGAGTGGACTTGGGAGTACCGGCCGCTGATGGCGGAGCAGAACTACCCGCGACAGGGGTGGCCGCCCTGCTGGGGAATTCGGGCTTGATATTGTCAATAGGCGTCACGGCTTCACCTCCCCGAGACGGCGGGGGCTGGTCGTTTGGTCGGCTGATAGACGTCTTCCGTGGAACAATGCGATCCATGCTGCGCGGCGGGATGGCCATGGGCTGGCGCATACCCGGGGTCAGCGGCGCTGGCACCAGGTCTGGCTCCAGCGGGATTGACCTGATAGGTTCTAAGGGGGGCCGTTTCCTCTCCGGTGGCTTCTCATCGGACGGTTGCGGGCCAGGGGTGCTGTCGGGGGTTCCGTAGGGAGAAGAGCCGTTGACTCCGTTGCGGGTACTGGGCCGTAGGCTGCTGGCATCATCATTTCTCCCGATCGATCCGCCGGCGGCGGCGATAGAGTCCTGGCTGCGGTTGACCGAGGCCAGGTTCCTCAGGGATGACTGGGGACCGGGTTGTTGAGATTGTTGTTGTTGCTGGCCGAAAGAGGGACGACCCGAATCGATGCTCTGCGCTGGGGAACCGGTTCGCCCATTGCGGGCTGTCATCAGGGGGCTGCTTGACGGCCCTTTATCAGAGACCGTCGGGGCATTATAGCTACCGATCGAACTGGTAGAGGTGGCCGGTCCAGGGGGTTGAGGAGCAGCAAGCGAGGCAGCCGTAGTCGTGCTGGTAGCACTGCCAGTACTGTCGAGGTGTCTCGGCGGCGGACGGTCTTGTCTGCGAGATGATGGTGGCGGGGCCTGGGCGCCTCCCAAGACCTGGTCGAGCTCGCGTTGGTCGAAACCAACAAGATTCGGCGTTCGTCCGCCGGTATAACGGTTGAAGATCTTGATTAGGCTGGCAATAAAGAACTTCTTCTCCTTATCTGAGTGGGCCTCCCAGTAGTAGGGCTTGCCCAGCGTCACTATAAATCCGACATCTCGGGCCCATTCGCGGAGGTTTGGGTTGGCCGACGGGCTGGTGAACGACTCGATGCTCTGCAGGTCGTCGAGCCACCACGTCTTGCCGATGGAAAAGGTGCCGTTGGCATTCTCCTTGCTCTTGTGCACGCGCAGGCGGCCCGATTTGCGCACGGCGACGATGATGACACGCGGCTTCTCGTATTGCGGGGCGCGGGCGCTCGGGGGCGGCGGCGACGACGGGTAGTTCTGCCACTCGGTGATGCGGATGTGAGTGATATACGTCTCGGGCACGCTGCCGTCCTCGTCGCGCTTGCTGAAGCAGCTTGCGATGATGCGCTGCTTCTCGTCATCGAAACGCTGCGCGGGCGTAAGGGTGCTCATATTGGGCGTCTAGTATATCGCCGATCTCGCCGGGCGTTGGCGTCGTCGGCGTCGTCGGCGTCGTTGGCGTTACGGTCAACAACGAAGGACTCGATCGAAAGGGTGCGAGGGCGGGTCCGACTGCAGGCGCCGCGATCGCCCCGTCATTTTCGAGGGGCAGGAGATCGACCAATCGACCAGTGCCGGACTGGTGTGACGCGGACGAGGATTCGGCTTGCGCGAAGACAGTGTCGTGGGTTTTCGTTTGGTGAGAAGATGAGGCGTTGTTGCAGCAGGCAGCACAGAAGCACAACAGCTCAGCCAGCTGATCTCAAGATGGAATGTGGAGTCGTAGGGTCAACCATGAGCTTTGCGAGCTTGGCGGCTGGCAACTGCGGGACCTGACTGCTGTTTGGTGGATATGCCCTTTTCGCTATCTGCGGGGGGTTGGCGCTTGGACCTCCCTGTAAGTGGGTCACACAGACCCATCGCCAAGAAGGGTCCGTTTCCGTTAATCGTTACGGAAAACAGCCGTTACGCGATCGTTACGCGATGATTAGAGACCGAGGGCGAGCGAGCGAGCGAGCGAGCGAGAGAGAGAGAGAGAGAGAGAGAGAGAGAAAATGTGTAGTAATGAGTAATGACTGTCAGATCTGATAAAAAGCTCTTATTATGAGGATGCTCACTCGGTCTGAATGGTACAGACCGCAACATCATCCCAAGGATAGACTGTGTAACTGCTGTAATGGGTGGTAAGAGTCCAGCACCCCTAACCCTAATCAGAGGCTACACAAGCCTAAAACCTTGCGTCACCAAACCACTTCACTAACATGATGGACGTCGAGAGCACCAGGAAAGCAACGCAAACAGGATAAAATGAATACATGAATAGAGAGTTGCCACTCCAGTCAAGTTCTATCTATCTATCTAAGTGGTACCTTGACCAAACAAAGTTCCCTCCCACAGAAGTTTACCAAACTCAAAGTGCCAACCCTCCTCCGAGCCTTAGCCTGGAAAGACCTTATCCTTCAACCCTCCGTAGTAGGTCCTTGTTAAAACCAAAGAAAGCCATGAACGCCCTATCCTACCCATTCACCTCTGTTGAAGCTATCTCGCATTCCTGGCCTTCAAAGTTCCTCTTCGTCTGAATCCCAAAGTATTGGTTCCGGCGCCTCTCGTCCGCGGTCAATTAGCAGACTATCTGGGGGAAGAGACGACGATTCGACCAAAGGCAGCTCGACGCCCAAAGACCCGCCCTCGTTCTCCCCACTTCCATCGTGATACGCAGGTAGTGACAACGCAGGTTGACTACTGCTGAGAGGGTGTTGAGGTCGAGGAAACGGAGTGGGGGTCGGTTCTTCCTCGTCATCAACGGTGGGATCCTGGCCGTTGTCTTTTCGCGGCGAAGGTTCGTTGGTTTCAGAGGACAGGACGTGAACTTGACGAGGACGGTTGGCGTTGGCCCTGGTGCGAGCGTTGCGAGGAGGAGGGAGCATCCGTGCTGCAGCAGGCGGAGGGGATGAAAGGGATGGGTCCTCGCTGGCCTCGCTCGCCGTTGTGGCCTGCGAGGGACGCACAAAATTCGACGAGGATGTTTGGATAGACGGCCTCGCCCTTCCAGTCCCAACCTTCGGTTGCTGGTCCTGCTGCCCACGATGACCCCTGCCCTTCCGACTCGCCCTCGGCGCAAGGGGGCTCTGGCTTGCGGGAATGACGTCTTCCTCCTCCCTCTCAATCTCCCGCTCCTTGCTTTTGTCACCCCTTTTTGTCGAACCAACCAAGTCACTCAGCAATTGCTCTTCCAACTGCTGCGAGACCGTCCCGCCGGCCACGTCCCTATCATCATCCTCTACCCGAATCGCGTTCTCATCCTCCTCCTCGAACAACGGACATCTCAAGTTGCCCAACAGCTGCCCGACGATAGCAGGAGGTACATACCTCCAACGGAGCGGCGCCCCCCTTCCGAGGCCATTGTCCGGCATGTCCTTTGCTGGCAGGGGATTGTTCAGCCGATACACCTGCTTCAACTTGTGCGCGAAGCGCATCTCTGGTGACTTTCTCATGTTGAATTCCGCATTCCCGAGCCCAGTCCGACTATCAATCTCCCCTGGCTCCTTAGCTGGGCCGAGCGTAGCCATGTACTTCACCTCGCCCTCATCTTCTCGGCCGTTGGGAACAGTGTAGATCCACACGCGGCACACCTGCGTGGGGAAACGGTACGGCCTGAACTCATGGTCCCTCAGGCCTTGAACGATTTCATCAACGATTTTGTCGGGAATGGCGATCAGGATATCGGAGCGGTCAGTTTGTGGACCGAGAGAGCGGATCACCTCCAAAGGCACGCGCTGGCTTTCGAGCTGAGAGAAGTACTGCGAGCGTTGAGTTTGGCGGGCATAAAGTGGGGAGGATTTAACTGTTTGCTGGGCCTGAGGACGGCGGGGTGTTTCTTTGTATGCTTCTTCTGCCTCTTCTTTGGCCACGTTGTTGTTGTTGTTGTTGTTGTTGTTGTTGTTACCGTGCCTGCTGGCTGACGTAGGAGGAAGCTCTATCTGCACTCTGCGGACAGCGGGGGTCGGTGTGCCTGGCGCTTTGAGGGCTGACTTTCTTGTTGATGTTAACACCTGAGGTGTTGGCTTCTTTACGGCTCTGACTGGGGTCCCCTGCTCTTTCTCCTCACTCTCGCTAGCAGTAGCCTCCTCATCATCTTCCTCGGAAACCCTCTCTTCCACCACCGGGGTAGCCATTCTGGCAGCCGGTGTCGGCGTCTCCGGCACAGGCTCGTTAGACTGCATCCGTTGTGACGTCGCCAGCTTAGGGGATCGACTCCCTAACTCAGAGGAAGCCTTGATAACAGACCTTGACCCGGCACCCTGGCTGAGGCGCATCGCTCTGCGGGAAGCAGGCGTTGGTGTTCCGGGTATCTCGTCGTCACTCTCATCTTCGCTGTCGTGGATCTCTCGCGGGGCGCGCATTTCTTCCAGAGGGCCACTGTTCTCCTTGTCTGACCTCATGCTCCGGACGCTTCCCGGGGGCTGAGGATCATTACGTCCAGATCGAGAAGAACCCGAGTCAGCGAGGACCTCGAACCCTTGCCCGATGTTGGGCGCGAGAGGGGTTCGCTGTGTGCGACTGAACGGAGTCGAGCCGAGACTTAACCCATCGTCATCGGAGTCCGGGATCTCGACATACCTTCCCCTCCCTGCCGAACCTAAGACCCTCCTCGTGGTCGGCGTCATACCATCCTCTGCCCCACCAGCGGCCAAACTCTCAACAGGTATCTCAGCAAGTGGAACCCGCTGAGACTGCGTCCCCTGCCCAGCAGCAGCCGGAGCCAGGCTTTCAACGGGTATCTCGGCCAGAGGCACACGCTGTGACTGTGACCTCCTCGCAACCCCAACACATTCCAAACTCTCCACAGGTATCTCAGAAAGCGGTACCCGCTGAGAGGCCTTTCCCTTCCCTCTTATCTCGTCCAACCTCTCAAGCGGTATCTCAGCGAGCGGTATACGCTGCGACTCCTCTTTCTTCTCCTCGTGCTTCCCGCTAGCTCCCGGACCAACAGGGCCCTCCGCCTCGGGCTCACTCTCGCTCAACATACTCGCGTAACTATCCTGTACGACCAGCGTCCGTGGCCTCTTCCCCCTTCCTTGTGCCACGCTCTCTGGGATCGCCACGCCGACGTTGGTTGACTTCTGTGTCAAGGGCGAGCGTACAGCCCCTGGTACGAGTGGGCTGTACCGGTCGAGCATGGGCGTCAAGGGGGTTGGTTGTGAGCAGGGCACTTCGTCGAGGGAGACGCGGATGCGCTTTGCGCTGGGCGTGTGAGGGTCTGTAGTCCCGGGCGTATGACTGGAGGTAGCGAGGGGAGGTTGAGGGGAGCGGCGTTTGCGGCGGTTCTTGGGACGGTCGGGGTCGTTATCGTCATCGTCGTCAAGGCGAAGCGTGTCTCGGCTTGAGTCGGGCATTGTGGAGAGCAGCTGTGTGAGCGTTTGAGTATGGAACGTGCTCGCTTTGCTTTCCGACCAGGATGGTAAGTCACCAGTCGTCCTTCTCCTCCGTGTCCGGGCCTTCTTCTCCTCTTTACCCTCCGCAAACCTAACCCCCTTCTTCCCCATCTTGGTGCTGCCGCTCCCCTTTCCCCTCGGAGCCCCACTCTTCCCCGTCTCCGCTTCCTCCATGACCTCCTCCATGTTATCCTCCTCATCACTAACTCTTAGCTCGCCTCTCCCTTCGTCCTCCTCCCCCAACCCGGACGAGCTCCTCACATACCCGACCTGCGTGAGTGTGGCCTGCCGTAGACTCCTCCGTCTTGTCATTGGGCCATTTTCCTCTTTTCCCTCATCATCGGCGATTCCGATACCCCCCCCTTCAAGTTCAGCTGGCAATGACCTCCTGCCCTTACGCCCATAAGTCCTAACCATCTTGCGGCGCGGAGGGAAATACACTTGTTTCGGGACTGGCGCGGAACGGTAAGTTCGAGAAGCAGGCGCATTGTTCTTATTTGTCGTTGACGTAGACGTTGCTGAGGTGCTGCTCGAGGCAGCGGATTTCTTGCGGGGTGGCATGATGTAGGTCGAAATTGGTGCTTTACACTAGTCTTTGATGGAGTCTCAACGACAACTTCTGTTGCCGTGGCGTATTGTGTAGAATGGCGGACCACAACTGCGAGTCAGGGGATTATGATTCTCTCAGAAGAGATCTCGTGACAAAAGGATAGAAGTAAGCGTCGCGTTGTGCGCATCGATGTCTTGTCGACGATTAATCAGAGGCGGCTGGTTCTTCTCCTTTCCTTCGGATGCAATGGTCAAAATTCAGGTTGAGCTGAGCAAAACCGAATCAGTTCCTCTTCAGACAGAACTATCTGCTTTTTGATTTGCGACTAAAGAGGCTCGGATGGAATTCTCGTGGCCGTCTTTTTGGGCCCGGGGTAGCCACAATGTGCCGATGCGCTCAGGAGACTTGGAGGCTGTCCAAGCCGCAGTGGCCAAAGCTCCAGGCAGCTGTGCAGTGCTCAACCAAGTTGAACTTCGATTTGGATTTGTCTCGACCTCGATAAACTTAGTCACTAGCGATTGTTCTCCTGACTGACCACCGAAGGTGATTGTTGGCAGATCCAACAGGTAGGTGGGAATCCAATGGTCAACCATTGGGTACCCATTTCCCTCTGTCCCCGAAAAAGGACCGTCATTGGTCTGGGTACCAAGGAGCACACAGTGCGCAGCCGCCCTGACGCGTCACTCGACGCGTTGAAAGTGGGGCATCACTACGTGCGACGCGATGGCAAAGCTGATTGGCTAAAGCCTCCCGAATGATGATGTCATCGAGCCAAGGTTCCTCTCATGGGTGGGCGGAATGCGGGTGCCCCAACTGCGATCTTCACCTCAGCGAGCAGGCATGCAAAGTGCGACGAAGAAGCCAACAACGAGACACTTGTAGTTGTTTTCATTCTGTAATCGAGTACCTACTCTAGTTTCCACAGAAAGGGTTTTTAACTATTCTCCCCCTAACTATTCTCCCCTAAGCCTCTGAAGCAACGTCTGCACCTGCTGGTGATTTTATGACCCTCATAGTAGCCCAGGAGCCCCCTCCTCCGGCCCCTTCGTGAGCACCGAGGGCTTCCTGTTATGCCTGAACAAGGCAACGGCCTTGACAATCATAATAACCAGAAACCCAGAAATGACCGCCGAAATAGGCAAAATTACAATGTGCCTCGTCTTGAATGTCGGCCGTGTAGCCAAGGCGGTCCCCGCTGTCTCGGCGTCCTGAAATGCGCTGAGGACGAAAGCACGGACGAGACAAGATGAGAAGCCAGAGCAGGGACAGCACCACGGCGTGTACAAAGTGATGGTTCCAGAAGGCAAGCCAGCCAACTACCAAATCCGTTAGGTGACTTATAATCAAGCTTTGGCCCAAGCTTTCGGTCTCTTTCAGCTCCTCTGCGGCGTTTGTCGTTAAAGGTGCTGTCCGAAGCGACGGCAGCCATGGATATAAAAGGTTGGTGCTCAGCGAGAGCCTGCACGACCGAGTTCCAAAGCATCACATAGCATGTCATGTACGGGGTTTTGGTAAAAGCTCCAGAAGAAACCTGACGACCATAGGGCTTTCTCGATACTAAGCTTGTCGGCTAGGAACCTCAGAAGGGTCGGGGACGGTGATGAAATCGGACCTTATAACCGATATGATGAATAGGTTGCAATAACTACTGTTGTGCAGACTTGGGACGCTAGCAAGACTGAGAAATAACGCGAATGAAGTTGTCACGGGGCCCACGACTTTGCCTTTGGCGCCGGCACGTCCGTCCCCTCCCCATTGAGTTCCCGGATCTCATCGGCATCGCTCTGTTTGTTCTCATCTCTCCCAGCGGATTACACTCCCTTTGTATCAGTTGTCGTTGCCTTTGCACCGGTGTCGATGACAGTTCGTCCAGGGCCTCGGCTGATTGTTCCTCCGCTGCAGATGTTGAGCATGGTTCAGAGTCAGTAATGTCTTACGTATCATCGGATACCGCCGTTATCGTTCCGAAGTTTTGATCGGCACATGGCTTTGTTGTGAACTCGGTATTTCTGTCCGCTCTGAAGTCGATTCAGATTGCATAGTTGACAATAACCGTCGCAACGTCAGTGCCACCGTCCAAGGTTCTACACAATAGAACACGGTGAAAATCTATGATCGAGTGAACCTTAAGAGCCTTCTCGATGGATATCGCCCCGAGGTTACAAATGGACTGTCACATTCTCATCTACCTATAGACATTATCACGGTAGCAGAGATCAGCCTTCTACAGAACATTTTTACCCTGCTGCCACATTCCTTATTACCTGAGCAATCGACCATGAATTTTAACAGTATTTGGGCTTGCCAATATGATAGAGAAGACAAAGTCATTGGACTAACATGAAATCGGTAAGGTGTTTTATGTTTTTTTTTTTTTCTTTCTGAAGAGGCTAGTGCCTGGCATGAGGACATTCCTACCTAAGTTTGCTTCAAGCTATCCACTCTCAGGTGAGCTAGCAAGGCTGGCAAGCACGTCAGGCAATACACAACCACTTAAACGATGCAGGTCGATTCATCGAATGCTATGGATTTTGGAAGGCCGAAGTCAATGTATTCCCGCCATCCCATTCGCAGACGACTGGCTTGGAGGGATCACATTCTTCAATGAGTGTACGAAGTTTTACTTGCGGACCGAGCAATGCTGGGAATAGGTATTGGAGGCCGATAGAGAGGAGTGCTAGTGCAAACAAGAAGCGTTCGATATGATTCGCCTGTGGGCCACCCGAGTTCTCGCCGACGCTTGACAGCCAACAACATAGAGTACTATGGGGCTGACTATGGGTATAGATGCCAAACGAGGTACGAAAATGCCTTTAGAGTGCCCTATTTGACAATGAGATAGAGCGCATCATTTCAGGGGGGGGGGGCATGCTGCCTGCGACTGACCAGTCAGTAGCATGCCCGATTGTGTCACAATACCCCCCCCTTACCAACGTAACAGCGACCTTGGACTTGGAAGACTGCACCAATTATGTCATGTTCTGTAGCAGCGTCATCAACAAGACAAAAGGAGTGTTCATCGTTGAGTATCCAAGACTGTAGACTTCGTCTCAAGTGTTTTCCAACTCCAGATCAACGTCACGTCACTCTATTCATCTTGCCCGCACGATCGTTACATCTCCTGCGCGATGTTGAGCATCTCTCTGAAGGACTTCTCAGCTTATACCATCTGTTTCTGTTCTCGGTTCCAGAGCTCGATAGTAAGTGCCTGATCACTCGACTTACATGTTTTTTGCAAAGTATTTTTTTTGGAAATAATCACCTAACACGCGGGTGCGTGATGTGGATGTCACATGGGCCAGCAGAGCTCTCTCCAGCCTTCAGCGTGTTTTCATGGTCAAGCAATCCAAATGCAGGGGAGTCTTTCTGAGACTAAGCCAGCCGCCCAGACACTTGCAGGCACCGCCACACCCAGCAGAATGCCGGATAGGTCGAGTGGTCGGATTAAGCCTTTTGCGGCTGAGAAAACCGCTCTTTGGTAGCCTCTTCATCTGGATACTTGTGGTGTTATTGGGTTTCGACGTTTTTCACAATGCATGAAAATATATGCATTTGTTCCTCGTAGTAAAACGTTCCGAACGGGGCTAGGGGAGTGCAGCCCCTGAATCGGTGCAATGGAAGCTAGGCCATTTCACAGCTGCCTTCAGCCCTATGGCGTGGCGTAACCCGAAATTAAGACTCAAACGTCGTTATCAGCTAATTGTTGTTTGCTTTGGGTGTATACAATAAAGAATTGGCTGACCCGATCATTAAAACAGGCGCCGCAAGCACATTTCCAGAGCAGTGTGACATGATCGGCCAGCTGCTATTGGCAGTGCCATGTCGTATGAACTCAATCCTAGGCGGTAGGGCTCAGGAATGACTCGATGGCACTCCCGATCTCTCAATCTCTAGGTGTTCCTCGAGTTGTGTTGGCCAGTCTATAAGAAGGTAGGAACCCCTCTTGCTAGGTTATGCTGCAACGTCGATGACAAGCTTGAATCAGCCGAGCCTGCACCCACAATCGCTCTCTTTCTGCAGAACCGACACACTCGCTTTGACTTACACTCGCTTCAAGAGGACGTACACTCGCTTCAAGAGCACACTCATTGAACATTTCTCTCAACCTCGGAGGCACCATGTATGCTCTCAATGTGAATCCGTGGCTTCGTCGAACATGTGCTAACCTAGCACCTACCTTCGCCTAGGCACCTCCTTACTCACGGATTGATTTTCCTCTCGGCCGGTCTCACTTTGGTGAACCGAGCCTCTGCTATTCACTGGGCTCGACAGGAGCAAGACAAGTCTATCTGCGTCCCTCTGGGTGCTTGCCATCGATTCCGGCAATGGTGGCCGCAAGGTCGGCATTGTGATTGATGCGTCGGGGTCGATGGAAGATAACGACCCAAGGAACCTTAGACTGCAGGCCGCAAAGTTGCTTGTTGACAAGCTTATCTCCCCTTCCGAGGTCACGGGTGACCAGACAGCCGACGAAGTGGCTGTCATCGAGTTCACCCATACAGCTGATGTGCTCTATCCCCTTGGTGATCCCAGCGGTGCAGGACCTGCCGTTGACGGGATCATTGCTGATGGCGGCACATTCATCGGCAGCGGTGTTAATGCTGCCATCGATGAGCTCACGAAGAACTCGGCAGCGGCTGGTCAGACAGGCATCCTTGTGCTGACTGACGGCGTTGATGATCCCTCTTACTTCACCCCTGAGACCATTGCATCCATCGACCGTGCACAGGAACTTGGCATTCGGGTTTCCTTTGGCTTCTTGTCGATCGATTCCACTCAGCAAGACCCAGAAATCATTGAGGCCATCCTCCGGTCTGGCGGTATCTTCGCCACAATCAACACTGCGGACGACATCGGCAAGGTCGTGGCTCAGGCCCTGCTTAACGGTTTGGTCGGCGAGCCGGGCAAGACAAAGGTCATTCTGCTGTCGGACGTGGAGACAGCGGGCATGCTTGACCAGACGGGATCTAACACCTTCACATATACAGCTAAGGAAGGAGAGGAATTCAATGTGACTCTCACATCCGATGACCGGGACCCCGTCTCCCTCAAGGTCACTCTGCGGGACCCATCTGGAAAGGAGGTAGCCTCAGCCGTGACTGACCCCGACACCGGTGTTGCCTTCGTGGAGTACACCGCCCAAGCAGCTGGCACCATCACTATTGAGATCACACCTGAGGGAAACAAGAAGTCGGGCCTGTTCTCGGTTAAGCTCCTTAGCTCGCTCGATCCCTGCGCAGAGAGCCCTGTCCAAATCCCTCCGAGCAACTCAACTTACATCCCAACACAGTCATACCACCCGCCTTCCCCTACTGGCACTTCGGTGGTTACAGCAGCGGCTGCTCCAATGGGCAACGCTAACCTGGCCGTGGGATTCGGCCTTCTTTTGCTTCCGACCGTCTTTGGGGTGCTGTACTAGTTGACTTACTAGCAGCAGGCCTTTTCATCCATGTATAATAGATCATAGCTTATAACTCCCCTTCTTCCTTTCTTTTTCTGAGATGGCTTCCCTTTTTTTTCAATTGCTTTCACAGGTCACAACTGAGTTCTCCCCTTCGAGTCCCGTTAGTACACTACACCCCAAACGGCCAATTTGCGATTCAGGGTATGATCATGAATCTGTGTTGTCGATGGTCTCCAACGGTGTTGAACTATAATACTAGTTTAGCTTGCCACATTCTTCTAGATTGTGATTCTCCTATCGCTATGGTGTCAAATAATCCCAGGTCGTACCAGTCCTTGAGATAAGCTCAGCCACGAGAGTTAGCATCTAATGACCCAATGTTCACACATGCCCTATTTCCGCATTCGCCTGCCAAGTATGGGGCTACGAATCAAGATACTCAAAATATGTGCACAGAACTTGTGTAGTAAAAAGACTCTAGGTGATTGCTTTAGGCAAATGGAAGGAAAGTTTACTTACAATTTCATCCATATACTTCGACCATGGTTCGTTTATCTGTGATATCTTTGTCTTTTTTTTCTTTTTTTTTTTAGAAGCAACCCATCATATACGATCATAATTTAACATGATCACAATTTCTGACCGCACGATGCCTGAGCATAGTCACAGAGAAGGTTGGTTTGACAGGGTTCTTGGCCATGATGGAAACCAGCACAACACCTCCATTAGTATCCATTAAAGCCTTTTGCATATCTGCCTTAAAGCCTTCTGAGCATGTCCTCGAAGCTTACACTCAAGTTTATAAGCTTATTTCACTGGATAATGCCCCTCCTGTGGCTTGCAGAAATAACCGCCAGCTGCATGCTGGTCTCCTAGTGTCTAGCAGAGCCCTGCGTCGCGTGCAACAAACAAACTGGGGTCGAATATGTACATCATGTCCAAACCAGCTATTATCTCTTACTAAAGGAAGACTGTGCTAGCATTGTGACTGCTTTTGATGAGATTGTATCAGGTTACAGGTGGTATAACTCAAAATCGTAGTGCCGGATGGAGCCTTGTCCTCCAGTTCCCACTTCTCCATCCATCATCTACCCTCCCGACTCCCACTTTATTCTTTTTCCTCCGCACAGACTGAATCTGAGGCAGTATTGTCAATTTACATAGTGTATTCACGGTGATATAGGGCTTGTGGTTGTTCTGGGGCTCTAGGACAATGCAATCAGCGGAGACAAAGTGCTATTTCTAGCAATACAGCACTGAGGTCGGGGTTGTTTTCTTTGTCTTCAAGTGAAAGGGGCTATTTACATGAGCAACGTTGTTGTACAAGTCGTTTTGGAACCTTTTACTATGCCGATGAAAGCTGCGAGAGTCAAAGGACGCATTGATTTTGACCACCTGCGCCAATCACTCTTGGAAGGAGAAGAGCGAGTTGAAACGTGTCGCGCCAAAGAAACTGTATCGATACACTGAACGGTATGTCATTCTGCCTCATTACAGTCAGTTTGGGTTATCAGAAATAGTTATTAACTGATGTACAAACCTGCAGAAGAATGACTGCCTGGGAAGCCCACGGTGCTACAAGCATGCTGCATATCTCGATACTTCCTGCCCTTGTGGAGGAACACACATAATCCGAAATGGAGTGCTAACCCCATTAACATCTCCTGGATTGCCACCTCGACTCATTATACCCGGTGTTCCCGACAGGATGCAAACGACAGACACTGGGCTGCCTAGTCTTCGATCTGGGCCTGGGTCGCCCTCTGAACTGAATAATGGTGGCAGTAAGTCAAATAACGCCGGAGGAGAATTGTCCTCAACTGGACCTCGCAGTCTGAGTATAGCATGGATGGGACTGAAACCGCGCTTTGCAGTCAGAGGTAATGAAAGGTTTACTGAGTTTTAATAATTTCTGGAATTAAATCGATGGCATCTCACTTGAACCCTCTTGCTAGGTAAGCAAGGCGCTGAGCAAAGGGACCCCTCATGTTCTCTCGGGCTGCATGTCGCGCTATCGACGCGACAAAAGCTGCCCGATAACAGAAAGATGTCAATTGCTCCCGTACGGTTATTACTACCCTGTGTAATGCAAAGATTCCCAGTGGATTAGGACACAGTTCACTACTCATCAGGTGGACAAATTGGGCTTTTCGATTTTCATAGTATGATGAAAAAGGAAACTTCGTATGTCTTTCTCAGGGCCCGGGGGGAGCGCTCACGGCCTGATGATGAGCCGAAATGTTAGTGACAGTTGACAGCTTGGGAGCGAGAATTGCATGATCAGAAGAGCAGGCCATGAGACCAGAAGATCTACCTAGGAGATGCACTCGAAGAACGAGTTGCAAAAGTACCAGCACTTCATTTGCTTTCAGGCTTGACCTTCTAGAAAGGCGTGGGCGTTGATCACACAGGTGGAGCCTGTCGCTTTTGCTACAAAGTACCAACCTTTGGACAACATTTGGCAAGTCTACCATATTTTCCATGGACATTTTTCTTATTCAGAAATGGCACCATATGTGTCGTTGCCATAGCAAGCAGCGAATAGTTCCATAGACGCGGCATCGGAAGAACAATGAACTATTACAAGATTATTCAGGATTATCAGCCCACTGACACAAGGCTCTAGATGCAAGATTCATGATACGCCTACCAAACTGTGCCCAAGTCTTCCAACGCAAAAGCCGATACAAATATGGGTAACTACTGAGGCAGGTTTATTATCGACAACCTCATCTCCAGGACTTTTCCTCGACCCAGGGCTGCCCACATGTACTCCAACATCAAAGGCTGGCAATGATCTCTCAGAAAACGATCCTTGGCCTGTGGATATTCTGGCTCTCTGCCAAAATTCAAGTTGCTCGAGCATCTTGCTGGTTCAAGAATGGTACTAAGGCCCGGGATTACTTCCCTTGTGACCCAACAGACAACACCAGCTTATGTTGTCCCGGCTTCACGCAAGCTACCCTCTGTTATAGTGATGACGGCTGTTTCGTTCCAGAAACGGGATGGGTTGAGCCAGCATGTACCATTGAGGGCTGGTCCAGTTGCATCTTACCAAGTGAAATCTGTGCTATCATTCACGAGAAATATCGTCAGTTCTCCAAATACGTGGGGGAAGGGCACCGAGCCAAAGACACTAACGTGCTTCTTCTAGCCAGTTACGCACACGTCGAATGCCTTGGAAACCCACTTCGAACCTTTCCATATGCTATATGGGGTATGACCGAAGAGGAATTCGAATTTATCTTTCTTCTCCCAACAAAGCATCCGACGTCATCTGCTAGTACAACTCGACAACCCCCGCCGATAGCATCAGAGCAATCGAATTCTTCACCCACACCGACGGCACCTAACCTCTCCAACGAATCCTACACCACATCATCATCTCTCGCGGCAGGCGCAAAGGCAGGGATAGCTGTTGGCGCAGCCAGCCTAGCAGTCTGCTTAGTTGTCATTGTATGGCTGATCGTCAAATTGAGAAAGAAAGAGGCTCAACTAGAAAACGCATTGGCAGAGAGCCAGAGACATGGATCCTCGGTGGAAGGAGCTCAGAAGAAGACAATTGAGTCAGGAGCGTCAGGCATACAGACTGGATTTCTCTCTGAGCTCGATAACAGTAGTAGTATCCCTATTCGTCTTCAGCCACCATTTCCCGTATACGAACTTCCAGCCACCTTCATTCCAACAAATAGGGGCTGAAAAAAAGGTTTTCAGATATCTCGCCTGATATCACGGCGTTCGTCTTTCCTCGGCTTTTTTTTTCTTCCAAGAGCTGCAAAATATAATAAATGGCTCAATAGGAATGATTCTCGATTAAGTAAACCATATGTTTTGTGATACTGTTTGCGCACGGAAGGCAGAAGGAGGATGAAAGAACAGAATTGGCGGCAGGCCATTAATAGGGGGTACCTAAGAGATGGTAGTCGGGTTAGAGACGAGCGAAATACGATACGATCGGAAGAGAACAGGACAGCAATCGTAGAGAAGGAAGCGTTTGAGACTTCAAAAAGTTCAAAAATCAGTGGATATAATTACTGTATACTGAAGATACAACCCATACTCCTATCCAGTCCATTCCGTTTCAACAACCGATCCATTCTACTTCATGCCAACAACTGCCCCTGAAACCCCCATCCCGCAGAACGCTGGCTTCACTAACAGAAGCTCAATCCCAACAGAGACCATGGAACTCCGCCCATGCTGCGCTTTCTCCCATCTTTCTAGGCTAGGTGCTGAAGGGCATACTGAGCAGTAAAAACACCGAGAGCAAACTGAAACCATTCTCATACCAGAACTACCCCGCTATCCGATCCCAGGTCCAATACCAAGCAAAACATGCAATGACCAAGCAAATCCATGAAACCTAGCATCACGCCGAATAGACACTCCTCTCCAACTCCGTCCCAGACTCAGCCAGCTTTACATTCCCCTCGCTGCAATTCTCCTCATCGATTCGATCCAACGACGACCCATCCATGCCACTATGCCATCTGCCACGTCTCACACGGGGAAATATCCCCAGAGATGTGGACGACGGAGACATCGCCAATGGCAAAGGTGACAGCACCACCGTCTGGTCATCATCACCATCCCCCTCCCTCAACTGTCCTTCAAACAACTGCAACAAACTCCCCCAATCCTCGTCACCTCTCTCATCTTCCGACCCCGCAAAACTCCTCAAGCCCCACCCCTCCGCAAACAACAGGTATTCTGGCCCCATCTAGTGACCGTAAACCCCATCCTCCTCATCACTCTCGCCACTATCGTCACTATCACTCTCCGCGCCCACCCCGGGGACACCATACCCTCTGCGTCTAGCGAGATCCTCCTCCAGTCCGCCGGCTCCATCGCCCGCGACGTCGTCGTATCCCTCGCCTCCAAGGAGAGACAAGGCAACGGGCAAGAAAACAAGCGCATGGGATGCGGCGAAGACAACGAGCGCAACCCAAATCCGGAAATAATAAATCTCAAAGATCTTGCTCCTCGTGAACGCAAGAACTGCGACACCCAGGATCTTAGTCACCGTAATTCCCGAGAAGACCGAAGCGCCAACATTCGCCAGCGCGGTCCATGCCCTGGCGTCGCGCAAGGTCTTATCCCTCCCGCTGCCGCTGCCATGGTTGAAGCGGGCCTTGGCACGTGAGAGAAGCGTTCGCGAAGGGAACATGAATGCCCGAGCAACATGGGCACAGAACTCGACTGCGATGCCGACACAGATGATCAGGTTGACAAGGGAGACGGCATTGAGGCTGACGCCCATGACGGCCATTGCACCGATGATGTCGACGATGGTCATGATAACAGTCATGGTGACCACCGTGGCAGTACGCACGGAGCCAAGGAGGAGGGAGGACACGATGAAGACAATCCCAACCGCTGAGCCGAGGAGGGCGGTAGTGAGCCCGACGATGGAGGCGTACTGGTCGAAGAAGATGTAGAAGAGGCTGTAAGGGAAGACGTCCAGCCCCGTGGCACGGGAGATATCACCTGCGATGCGCCTCGCTGCGGCGTAGGCGTTGATAAAATCGGCCTGGCTGCGGAGTGGGACGTGGCTCGTACGAAAATGGCTCGCCAACAGGGTATCCCGTTCGGTATCAACCACGACCGCATCACCGTACGAAGCCTGGCCGGCAAGGGGGCAATCTTCGCTTGTTGGCGCGGTCAGGAAGCGACGGAGATAGTACACAAACTCCTCACCCTCCGGCATTCCTGACAGGGTGATGTTCCAGGCCGGATCGCGACGTGCGAAGCAAGGCTTGCGACGTTCGACGCAGCATGCTTCGTTGTCTGGGTTGAGCCACATGAAGAAGTCATCAAGCCAGCCAGCTGTCGGGGACGAGATGTACGAGACATCGGGGCGCTTGCGCTCCTGCTCGAGGATGTTGGTAAGAGACATCGTCTCGCATGTAGTAAACCGCGAGCAGATCTTCTGTTGGCCCTCACGAGTCGTAGCATTAAACTCGCGCGTAACAAAGAACACGGGCGGGCCGGCATCGAAGTAGTCGTAGAGATCGTTGAAATACGGGATTAGGTAAGAATCATCGGGGATGGCCACTCTCTGATCCAAGCCAAGCTCAACCTCCGGTAGTAGCGCCACTCCAGCGGCAAAGAGACCAAGGAAGACGGTCACGATGACAGTCTTGGCTTTCTTGCTCAACAGCGCGGGGGCATACGTCTTGCGAATGAACTGCTGCAGCAGGCTCTCCGACGGCTCTTCGTAATACCTAGCCGCAGCGCCAAACCCGTTGCTGTTGTTATCCAGATGCACCCGAGCCGACTTGACCTGCACGCAGGGGAAGCAATCCGCCCTGGCATCCTCAACACGGATCTGGTTGAGCGTGAGCACTGAGATGAACATCGTAACTTGTAGAAGGGCATTGATGAGGACCGCACCGGCGGCATAAATCGCAAAGTTCCGCACAGCAGGCATACCGACAAACGAGCCCAGAGAAAAGCAAATCGTCTCCGTGATGGCTGAGAACAAAATAGAGGGTCCCATCCGGCCTAAGGCTTTGGCGATCCGGATCTCAACCACATCATCTGGATGGCTGATATTGACCCGCTCAAACTCATGGACAATCAAGAAAATGTTGTCGACGCCGACGGCAAGTACGATGAACGGGATGACGTCGACAATAATCAGCGTCGCGCGCAGACCAACCCACGAAAACAGCCCAATCGAAGCCGTAATCGACATGAGCACGATGAGAATTCCCACAACGCCAAGCGTAAACTTTGACTCAACCAGAGCGATAGCCGGGTTGCGCAGCAGGTCACGGAGCGAAAGGGTTGTCGAACCGAGGGCGATCGAGGCGTACAGGAACATGATGATGTAGCTGATGACTACTATCTTGGCATCCGTGTTCGTCGACTTGTTGAGCTCTTCTTCGAGGCTGATCTCTGTCGAGAAAGAAAGCCTCAGACCGCGATCCCTTGCCTCTTCCTGGACATCAAGGAGACGATCACGTAGCGCCGCCTCCCAGTCCATAGCGCGAGTTGTCTCGTAGGAGCCCTCGGCGTAGTTCCTGAGCACCCAGGTGACGGTCATGGCAGTTGCCTCGACCGGGTCGCCGCCCTCAGGGTAGCCGCCGAGGATCATATTCGGCTCCAGGGGCTGGCCATACGCGGGACGACAATTGACAGGCGACTCGGCGCACTCCCTCAAAGTATCCTTCCATGTCCAGGGGTCCACGAAATCCGGATCATCCTGGAAGTATGCCGCCACCGACTGCACGACACACGCGTCGCCGGTCGGCTTGAAGCACAGATCCTGCAAGGTGCTCCCAAACTTAGGTCCCTTCAAGGCGCGAATGCTCTGCTCAACGCTCATCCACCACACAATCGTCTCGTAGCTTAGCACCGGACCAGGACCCGACGGCAGAGTATCATTGACCAAAAAGATCTTCTCGCTCCGATAGAACGGCCCGAAATTCTCATCGAAGAACGCCTTCTCCTGCGCAGCCGCACTCGTCGGGCTAACCCACAGCCGAGCCGGGTCCTTCTCGATCTCGAAATGGAACCACCCCGCGCTGAGGATCATTACAATTAACACACACGTTGAGATGGTCAGGGCCGGGAATCGCGCAGCTGTGTGTCCGAGTCGGGAAAAGGCAGTGTCGCACCAGGTATTGAGGACGTAGGTCTTCGCAGGCGGAGGCCGTATCCTATTTCCCAGCACGTCGCGGTCGTCATCCTCGTCTTCGCTCGCAGTTGCGTCAGCCAGCAGCCTGAGCCGCTCTCCACGGCGCTTGGTATGCCTCTTCCATGCAGCTCGGATGGCCATAGCCGCGAACGTCAGCAAGAGTACCAAGCTGTAGGTCAAGATGGATGCGAACGACAGGCATGGCAGCCGGCCGACGTGACACGAGCCAGCCTTCTCAACTGCGGGCAGCTCGGGGCAGACAGCCGGACAGTCGATACATGCGCAGCGGAATGCCGGGTCCTCATCGTTGCACTTCTTCGGCTTCATCGGCAGCGGGGACATACTACGTTCGGGGTATGTCTCGGGGTCAGGGAAGTTGATCTGAAATGGGGAGCCACCAAACCGTTCCTGACCCAAGAACCTCAGTAGCTGCGTGTAATTCCTCGCGCCACCGCCGATGAGATCCATCGCCCTTGAATTTGTCGGACCAAACTTGACATCCTTACAACTGTCATAAAATCCCTCTCCGTAGTCCTTACTAATAAGCTGATCTAGCTCCGTCACCAACAGCTTCCCTCCCTTCTCAATTGCTTTCGTAACATTGATAAACAGACTCTGATCCGGCGAACACGTAAAAGTGCAAAACATGTTGTAGAAATTCTCCTTGCACGCGGGACAGCTCGCAATGATCTGGTTCGCAGTCTTCAGATTGCCTCTCAGGGTATCAACCTGGTCGGCATCGCAGCACACGGGCCCCTCAGCCCATTTCGGCCCACACAGCTCAACGAGCTGTTGACGCAGCGCATCATCGGGCTCGTGCGCGGGGCCGTTGTCCACGCAGGGGAGCTGTGGTCCGAAGAAGGACTTGGAGCCGCAGTTGTGGCGGACTGCGCAGCGGCCAGCTTCGTGTTTTGGCGTCAGGAGCATCGTCTCTGGCGCTGAAGAAGCTGCGACGAGGGGAGAGAGGGCCGTGGTGAGGAAGAGCCCTCCTGAGAGGAGGAGGGCTGGAAGGTTGGTCATGGTGAGTGTGGGCGCGGCATGCGCCGGTTGTGGGGTGTTAGGTCGGGTTATGATTACGCGATTGACGGCTGAGCTTCGCGCTGAGTTCTGGTGGATCAATGGACAGGAAATCTAAAAATAACCGGGAGAACTGTGGGAAGAAGTAATAATGATTTGTTGCCGAAAGAGTTGATGATGATGATGGAAGGAGCAATACTCCAGGCAGCGAGCTGTCCTCGCGGAGGCGGTATCAAGTTGATCCAGTCGCCCTACGTTGGACGTCATGCGTCATGCGTGAGGTTTGGCGGTCGCTCATTGGCGGGTTTCTCCGTTCCTGATCTAAGGGCCCGCTGAGAACGGCCACGCAGATCTTTGTGCCAGGGTGTTTCATCAGCGACCGCCGAGATAAGGGTTAGGGTTCACCAGGCACGGATCCAGGTCGTGACAACATCAAGGTCAGACCTCCCGCGAAGCTCAGAAGTGCTAATGGATGTTTCTGACGAAGAACTCTCTGTAGTCATGGACCATGGAACGGCAGTTAAGCAGTAAACACTAAATTAACATCAGCATTCATGGCTGACTGTCTCATCCATCACTTGATCCCTAGAATTCCGAGCGTCAACAGCATCATTGAGTACATTAGCAATGTCAACAACCTCTCTTAAACCAAGCTCTAGCTCTCCTTGAGGTGCATCCAAAGATGCCAGATTGACAATGCAATAGACAGACAACATAGCCCATCCACATTGCCAGATATTCGCCCATGACTCTGGTATAACACCACATCGCCTGACGAGATTTGTCCCTCTAGCCAATACTTAAGAAAGAAACAGAAACATGTCAAATACCGCGCTCCGGGGTATCTTGAACCAGACACCAACCAGACACTTATCCATAACGCCTGAGCTCCCAGCACTCAAACACCGATCACTATGTCCGTCCTGTAACCAGAAATCCTCCCGTCAAGACCTCAAACCGCCACCCATTGTTCCTTAAATACGCCCCAACCGTTTGTCGCATCGGACTCACCCCACCCTTACTATGCTTCCCCTGGCCAGTAATCACCGTGAAGCCACCTCCCCCTTCCCTCACAGTCCTTTTTGCGCCGCCCCTACGGGCGCTACTCTCGTCATTGCAAATTGCGTCCCACCAAGCTCGCAGCCTTTGGTCTGCGATCCGCACGCCGTCTGCGACGTTAACGCCGTGCAGGTCGACGCTTGTCTTGGTGGAGTTTTTCGCGACGATGGCGTCGGCTTCCCGGGAGATGTGGGCGCGTTGGAGGGAGAGTGCTTCGCGCAGGCGTTCAGTGTACACGACAGCGCCTTGGCGACCAAGGGGGCCGGCCCGGCCTCGTAGAAGGGATGAGGCTTGCGAGGCGGAATGATTGATCATGTCGGAGGAGGGGCAAGGAGGCAGAGCTGGTGAGATGGGAGACATGATAGTTGGGGACGTAGGCGTGGAGAAGGAAATCGATGATGTCGAAACAGGAGGGGGGCGGGGTTGAGGGGGCAGCCGGCGAGCCGGACGAGCCGGTGAGGGCAGGAAGTCCGCAGCTCCCTGGAGCTCCTCGTCCTGGCCAGTCGATGAGACCGCCTTATAGCTGATGGTAAGCTTGTTTGCATTCTTGGAGGACTTGCCCTTGGCCTTCTTTGTGCCGCGCGAGCCGCTGCCATTCGCTCTCGTATACTCCTCCTGCACGAAACCGTCGATCCCCTTAGGCCGAGCGCCTTCTTCGTTGATGGCGGCGCGCGACAACAGATCCTCAATGGTGCCAACAATGTCGCCGTTGTTCTCGCGCAGGACGATCTGTAGCGTATGGTCCTTGAACTGACCAGGGAAGACCAAGTGCAGCGTCTGGAGCTTTTGCTCATCGGTCAACTCACTCTGGTCGGTCAGGGCCAGTTGCGGCTGGGAGGAAAGGTCGGACAAATCGGAATAGTCTGAGACGCTGGTGCTGTTCTCAGGCACCAGCCAGTCGGTCGTCGAGACCCCGTCGCCGCTGGCGTTCGTGGTACTCTCGTCCAAACGCAGACCCTCGAGGGAGTCGGCCAGGCCGCCACCCGACCCCGATGGATCGAAGCCCGTAGCGGCCTCTGCGCTGGCTGTCTCAGCGAGAAGTCGCAGGTCGGCGCGGATGGCGTCGAGCTCCTTGACGATGTCGCGGTCACCCGAGAGCGCGAGGATGAGAGACTCGTCCAGGACAGAGCCGAACTCCTCCTAAAAAAAGATAGAAGCCCGGAAGGGCCAATGATCAGTGATTGGTTCGCCTTTGCGTCGCCTGAATTTTCATGGGAGTGTCTGTGGCCCGTATCTCATGGGCGTCCCGTCTCCGGGGTCGCGGCGCAGCCAGATTTGGATTGTAGGGTTGTGAAAGTAGGGACGGTGAGGGACACGAACCACAAGCATTCTTCGGTTCTGCTCGGCGATATCGCCGGCAGTGGTATCGGTTTTCGCGGTCATCCCAGTCCAATTTTTGCGTTATCGGCCGTCGCTAGGGGTGTGAGCTGGTAGTAAAGACGAAAAAAGTTTGAAGAAGCGCTACAGACTCGAAGACACATGGTGGATAGACAGCCGCCGTTTGTTGTTTGGGGGACAGGGTGAAGGGATCCAGTCTTGGTTTTCAAGGCATGCTAGCATTGGCTCGTTATCGATAAGTACGACACTGGAGAAGCTAGCGTTTGCAGTCGACGGGATTCTGAGATTGTGATGAATGCGACAATATCACGTCAGGCATAAACACAATCTCATGCAGCAAGATACGGCATCTTGTAGCTAGTCCACGCGGAAAATGCTGCAGAATGTATGCGGGATCACAGCGGCGAGTGGATCATTTGAACTGTGATGCCAATGCGGGGAGTCGCCGTTTGCATCTGGCCCAGGTCAATCAACTGAAGCCAGATCACACAGTAGCATAATGTTGTAAATGCTTGTTGGCCTTAACAGCTTCATCGTATCGAAGCAAACAGGTTGATTCTAGCTATATCAATAATAATTGAGCTTTTCAGTAAGAAGACGGGGCTAGCATGGCGCAACAGACCTTTTCTCCCTCCCCCCCCAAAAGCTTTGACCAATGTAGCTTAGAGAGTAACACATTTCTTCCGTGTCTCCACGTGGTCATTGAAAAGGTCAAAAAGCGGACAAGACGATGTTGAAAAGTTAACTTACTTCCGAAGCCTTACATGTTCCCACTGACCTGTGGGCCATGAGGTAATTCTCTACGAAAAGAACCAATTTGGCGACTTGCGATTTTAGCGATATGCTTCTCTCCCACTGTGAAGTCATCGGGCAGCAACCCCCACGTAACTCGCATGAGGTTAACAACTCGTCCAGTTACACTCCTTGATGCACTTCCAGGCCTCTCAAGACTGCACTGGTGAGCTCTGCTTCGGATTATCGGCGAGGACAAGAGAAGAAGCTGGAATATCCCACTTTCGGCGGTTTCTCCATCATGGGTCCGAAACAGGTGCGCATTCACAGGCCGCATTCCTCGGGCCCAACACCAATCTTTTGCAATCGGTGGACAACACCATACTAGAAGACCGATACAAGATGTTACTGCATGCTCAAGGAGATGGTTCTGACCTTGTTCCACATGGCCGATTCCTGTGCCATTATGCAGGCACGACAGCATCTCCTCACGTAAGCACGTTGCCGCGGTTTCGGCCTTAAAGCTCAGAGATAGGCTTTCAGTGCTTCTATGCAGAGCAACATGGGAACTTGTTCGAGTTCTCAGAGCCGGTTATTTCGTTCCCAGCTCGAAGCAGGAGAACTTATGGTATTGCGAGCATCACAACAAGCCGTCAGTGAGCCGGCGGCAAGACCGCTTTCGGCAATCCCACGGGCACGCTGGGGGCCGCAGGCATAACTTTAAACGCCGGCTGTCGGGGGCGTCCCGGCCTCCGCGGCGTTCCGGCCTTTCGGAGAGGGTCCCACCTTTCTGTCGTATGAAGGCTGGGAACTTCTGCAACGTGGAATGCGAACCCGGTTGGGGTTGAGGCACTTGCCATTGAACTAAAAGGCAAGTGGGGGGAGGTGGTAACCTCGGGCATGTGTTAGAAGCTCCAGGTTTCTCCTTGCATGTTTTTTTTTTTGGACGTAGCCAACGACTTGTATAATGCCATGAGCGTCCCGTATCTCTGCTAGATGTGAGAGAATGCATCAGGCTTAAATAATCTTACTGCTGCACATAGTTACAGAGTATACAAACAAGCGCCATGGCGCCATCCAAGAAATTTGTCAACGGCCCGGACCCGTTGAAAGGGCAAGTCTTCCAATTCCATGTTTACAGAGCTCGGGGCATCACTGACAACCTCAGGCCTGATGTCCCTTATGCCGAGGCCAAAACGAAAAAGAACCCGGTTCTCCGGGGTATCTGGTTATTCTGCGCGGCCTTTCTGTGAGTGTAAGCACCAAGTAACCTTCAGGGCCTGCCACTAACAACTATACACAGTATGGAGTGGTTCCGCTTTATCCGCGAGCGCATCTGGCGCCACACAGGCTTCGATTCTCTTCGGCGCATTATCCCCTATATCGAGGACTACGAGCCGTGGTATGAGCCGCTCGTGATTCCTCGACCTGATGATCTGTCGCAAAAGGTCGATAGCTTGGACAGTGGCCAAGCCCAAACCTCCCCGACTAATGAGAGCCAGGACGAGGAGGATGATGAGGAAGAGAAATTCCCGACCCCGCCCCTGTACTACACCATTCAGGACTACCGCCGCGCCTACCTCTCTGGCACTCTCACCCCCACGGACGTAGTCCGCTCCATACTCGGCCTCATTCACCCCAAAGACGCCCCCCATTCCCAAGCGGTAACCGCCACACTCATACCCAGCGCCCTCGCAGCCGCTGAGGCCTCAACTGAGCGCTACAAACAAGGCCGGCCTCTTGGTCCCCTCGACGGCGTGCCAACCGTCGTAAAAGATGAATACGACGTCGCAGGCTACCAGACAACCCTCGGATCGCGTAATATCTATGCTTCAACTGAAGATGGGCATCCTAGCACTTGGTGCGTGCAGCAGCTTGAGCAAGCCGGTGCCATAGTCATCGCAAAATCGGCAATGACGGAGTTTGGGCTGGACGCCACGGGGAATAACCCCATCTATGGCACACCAAGGAACCCTTACAACCGCCGTTACTACACCGGAGGTTCATCTTCGGGAACGGGATATTCTGTCGCAGTCGGGCTGGTCCCCGTCGGGCTAGGGAGCGATGGCGGAGGAAGCATCCGGATTCCGGCCGGGTTTTGCGGAGTGTTTGGGCTCAAGCCGACACACGGCCGGGTATCATTTCGCCCTGGGCAGAATCATAGCATCACATGTGCTTGTTTGGGGCCGATGGCAGCTGATATCGAGTCGTTAGCGACTGTATTCGAGGTGATTGCGAAGCCGGACCCGTCGTCACATTTTCCCGAGCTCAAATCCCCTCTTGACCTACGCATGCCTCCCCCGTCATCCGACGAAGAGGATCCGAACCGGCTGCTAGGCATCCCCATAGCCTGGGTTTCCCAAGCATCTCCAGCCGTCCAAACCCTCATCAACTCCCTAATCCGCAAGCTCACCACCACCCACGGCTTCCGCACAGTCCCTATCTCAATTCCCTTCCTCCCCGAAGGCCAGCTTGCCCACGCCATGACAATCCTTACCGACGCAGCAACTCTTCTCCCTCCTCCCCCTGCAACACGCAATCTGACCCCCGCGAACAGGCTCCTTCTTGCTCTGGGCCGAACTACGCCCGCAACGGATTACCTCCTGGCGCAGAAACTCCGCCGCCTGCTGATGCAGCACCTGGCCTGGTTGTGGGAACAGCACCCAGGCATGTTAATCATTACGCCGACGGCTGGATGCGCAGGACTCAAGATCGGGCGCGAGAGTGATGCCGTTCAGGGAGGGTTTGGTGTGAGCGACGGAGATAGCACGATGGAGTGCATGCGGTATGCATGGCTGGCGAATTTCTGTGGGTTGCCGAGTTTGAGTATACCCGTTGGGTTCGTCCAGGCCAGAGGAGGGGATGTACCTGTGGGGATGATGGTCACGGGGGAGTGGTGTGCGGAGGAGAGGTTGCTGAGGTTTGGGAGAGTTGTGGAGAGGGTTTTATACGAGGAGGGGATGCAAGGGAGAAGGAGACGGCCTGGATGCTGGGTGGACGTTTTGGAGAGGGCGAGGGGGAGGGCGAGGGAGAGGGCTGCGGAGTCCGGGGAGGAGAGAGAGTAGAAGGGGGGGTATTGGATTAATCAGTCAAAGGCTTTGGGGTCAGATCAGCCAGGGCATTCCATTTGGGGCAGAGACGTGAAGTTATAGATAACAGTTCATGAACCTGTTCCTTTACTTTGTCTACCAAGTCCCTGATGCCCAAAAACTTGACACTCCGGGTCTCCGTGACGATGTCCGGGGCATCTCCCTGCGGCTTAGCACCTTTCCTTGGCGCAGCTATCCAGCGAGCCTAAGAAATGCACAGCAAACGACCGCTCTTTAACTGGCAAAGCTATCCGGCCCATCAACCGCCGGGACTCCAAATGGCTTCAGACCCCGCGACCTAACTTCACAGCCCGGAGCCAGCCAGGTGCCTGCGTAATGGTGATAGCCAAGGCCGGTGGCAGCGGGCTGCGGTGACGGCATCACACCGTTTTATTGGCTGCGGAAAGAACCACACGCTGCCAGAAGTAACTAAAATTGGCGCTTGCAGCCGTTGTTGCGTCATGGCGGCTGTGTCTCAGCGCCAAGTCGCCAACAGCGCGGCATCCATTGTGCTGACTTGCTGTTGAGGACGGTTGGTTAATCTTGCACTTGCTAACTTGCAAAAGAGACTCGCAGCCCAAAATAAAGATCCGAGCAATTCAAAGAGTGAGCCGGGAGAATCCTTCCGATCGACAACGGCTCAGCTGGCGGATGGATCGGTCGTCGGTGGTACCGATAACAGGGATGGCCTGCGAGCCGTGTACGAGCGCGTCAAGATCATACTTGGCCTTCGGGCAGATGATGTGCAGCTTTTCTTCTTAAAAGCGCACTGCTGCAGGCCCTTACGATGGAGGGGGAAAAAAACGAAATTGGGCCTGTGAAACTACAGAGATCCGCATGGGGTGACATCAAAGTCTCTTAGCGAATGATACGTCGTCGAAGACTCAGAAAAAAAAAAAAAGTGGCATCAAGGCCGCGGAGTGAAACAATCGCGAAAACCGAAACATCAAAAGTGGTCCAAGTCGCCGTTCACGGGGAGGAGACGAAAGAAAAAAACACGCAAATAGATGCGAAACAAGCAGCATCAAAAGAACATATACCTAACAAACTTGCGAGCTGAAAACTGTTTCGAGGTTGTAGCGTGTTGACCGCCTGGACTGGGACGCGGGTGCGGGCAATGTCCGTCGAAGCCGAACCATCGAAGTTGACGTTGAATTTGGCGAATAAATCGAACGGAACCTGTGAATTCCCTTGAGGCCAAGCAGAACCGCAGCGGTCATCCTTGCACGTGACGGCGGTCTCTTGCCAAGATGTCGTGTGGAGTCCAAGTAGGGGCAAAGATCCAGGTTTGGCCTGATCGAACCGTTGGTCGCCCGAACTCCCGACAGAGATGGAAGGAAGAGAAAATGCCTGTCCGGCGAGCGGGTAGTGGATAAGCAGCCGCCTAGGGTCATCAGCCCAGGGTCAGCCAGGGTTGACAGGGCCCAGCCAGGGCATCAGCCACCCCCCTCTCCCTTCCCCCCCCCAGCAGGCAAAGCGCCCTATCGCCCTATCGCCACGTCTGGACTGCGCTGCACCGCAGACTGCGCTGCACCACACTTGGAACCTCTGGAAGTTTTGTTGTGGAATCTCGAAGTAGAAGCACGGACAACTGAAAGTTGGCATCCATCAGTCGACAAGAAGATCGACTCCTTTTGCTGTTTGGCTTCTGGTTTTCAGTGCAGTCCCAGCTTCAATTTCGAGTTCCGTCGACCCGCTTTCGAGCCCTCCAGCACTGCCCAGAACAACGAGCCCAGCAGCCACATCAACCGCCGTGGCGCATCGACATTGAGAGATCGACGCTGACGAGAATCGCGGCCGCTGACCATCATCCATCCCGTGGTGAGACAGGGCCCGTAGCCAGCATTAACACCAGCACAGAACGAAGCACCTAGGCCTGGACATTACCCCAGGCCCGGCCGCCGAGCATCCCACAGCGATCATCGCTCTCCATGGCGATCTGAACACTCTGGACGTTCCGAACTCCCAGTGTTCATTGTGCGTCGTGTTCCCCGCTTGAGCTGCTGCCGTTTTGTTCCCGCCGTCCCGGCCGTTCAAGAACAAGATCGTCTTAGCCCATTCGAGCGCATTCTCCCCGACACGATCCTGCTCCCTGCCTGCCGTCCTGCTCTGAGGTGCCCATGATAGACTGTCGCCCGGCTTCCACGACGCTCTCAAGTTGCCGCAGGAGCTTCCCAGGCGCTTTGTCTTGGCCTCTATAGCCCCGCCTCGTCCCTGTCGTCGAGCATCCGCGCGCATATCAAGGTCATATATAAAATAAAAATAACAGTCGCCATGATGGTGCGTGGTTGATCCTGAGTTTGTTCTTATTTTCGCCATCCGTCTTCCATGTCTTGGTCTGCACAACCCTCAATGCCCCGGGATGCTGTGCTCCCAGCGTTCGGGCGCAGTTGCACATCTCTCCCCCCCCCCTTTCTCCCCCGTTCCCCCATTGCCCCGGTTTCCCCATCCTTCGAGCCCCTTGAATCCCTCCCCTGGAACATGGACATGGAGGCCCTCGTATCGCCGGAAGCGCGGCTCGCTGCGTTTTCGCATCGACAAAAAAAAATAATGGATACCCAGTGGAGCAGCAGCGTTTCGCAACTTGTGCGACCAGCGGCTAACATTCTGATGTGGTGCCCTGCAGACCTCGACCAGACCCCGTGATGTTGGCGGCGGCAGCAGCTTTGGAAGCCGTCGTGGCCACGGGAGCCAACTGTCCATCTCCGATCCGAGCCACCACGTCACTGAAGCCATAGGCACTATGTACAAGGAAGAAGACGACGAGTCGGGTGTCGAGGATAACAACACCAATACCAACTCCCGTCCCCTGAGCTTTATCGCCGCGGCCTACGGCGGCGAGCAGCTGGATACAGCCGTCCCCCAACACGACGAGCCCAGCAACGAGGACCGCCTACGCCTAGTGCGCACCACTTCGGACCAGACCTCCGCTGCCAGCTCTCCAGCCGACGCTTCGCTCCCGACAAACGGAACCGATCCGGCCGTCAGTCTCAGGAAGGCACAGACACTGCCTGCCAATCTCGCCGGCGAACAAAGCAGGCTGAAACCGTCCTTGCATCCTCTGAACACCGGTCCAGCCACGCCGACCTCGCCGACCTTTGCCAACACCAACTTCGAGAACCCTAATGACATCGCTCAGGAGTTGAGCAATCTGCAGGCCCTCCGTCGGTTGTCCATGGACGTCAGCAACACCACCGACCCCGATTTGCTCCAGTTTTCGAATGTTTCCATCCTCGATATGGCTGCAAGACCGCCGTCTGCCGAAGATGACGAGGCAGACCCATCCCGTTTGCTTTGGGTGCCCGCGCGGGTACACCCGGAGCTCGAGCCCACTGCGTTCAAGAATTTCCTTGAGAAGAGGGTACAGCAGATGCGTCGCCGGTCGGGCGAGTCGCTGCTCTCAGTAGACGGCTTGGAACGCAATAACTCGGGCCTGCGCAGGAAGAAGTCGATGCTTCGTCGCGAGATTAATCCTAATACTGAAAATGGCGACACGTATGTGGATGGCGCAGAGAAGCTGGCGCGGAAGCGGTCACTAGCCGAGCAGCGCATGCCGGAGCTCAGCCTGTCGGATTTGATGAGTGATCCGGAGAAGGTAGTGCAGAAGCTCGCGCAGAATGCGTCCAAACAGTGTACAGACGATGACAGTCCGATTCTTCCGGTCGCCCCTGGCACGGGGCTGCGCCGATCGACCAAGACGACATATCGAAAGGGAGGTAGTCAGAGATACGGTGATCGTGCACCGTTTGCGAAACGGCTTGCTGCCAGGCAACAACAGTCGCAAGGCCAAAGCAAGGAGGAACCGCCGCCGCCAGTGCCACCTCTGGACCCGTCCATCGGGAAGCCGTTGACCCGCGTGAACTCGGAGCCGGTGTCGCTGGCAGAGAACTACTCGCAGCCAACGCGAGATCTCAGGAGACAGCAGAACTTCTCTCGAGACTCGCCTGCGGGCACGACATCACCCCCACCACCAGAGAATCAGGAGCCAGAGCTATCTGCAGCCCCAGCGAAGCCCTCATCTCCACCCTCTACTCACTCTTTGCCCGTTAGATCATCCTCTCCATCACCAGCCAACCGGACGCCCGTCCCTCCTGCTGCAACTGCTGCAGCTCCTGTCCCATCCATCGTCGAGACGCCGCCGGCCGAAGAGCCAACTAGATCAGCTGCTGAACCGCCGAAATCGCCACCCCGGAGAGCTCATCCGCCACCTCAGCAGCCCCTCTACCCCGACAAGCCCCCCGTTGATGCTCCACCTCCCAGGTCGAGCAAACGGCCTCCTCCTAAGCCTATTCAGCAGTCATCGCCTAGCCCTCAGGGTAGTGAACTCAAGAGAACCCCTTCTAGCACCGCAGAAGCGCTCAGTGAGATCAGGCATCCCCAGCCACTACCAGGCAGTGCCAACTCGACTACCAGCAGTCTTACATTTATCCCGACGTTCGACACAATCCCTGACCGCAAGCCCGAGAAGAAAAAGGACAAGGATGAGACGGATAGTATCCTCTCAGTCAAGTCTACCTCGAGCTGGAAGTGGTTCAAGAGCGACGACAAGGAAAAGAAGAAAAAGGAGAAGGAGAAGGAGAAGGAGAAGGAGAAGGAGAAAGAGCGTGAAGAGCAGGCTCGCAGGGCCAAGGCCAATGCTGCTCGGCAGGATGCCGTACCCCCTCTCGAAGTCCCCAAGGGTCGCGAGAGCCTGCGCCTCGACCGCGACAGCATCGAGATCCCAGACGAGCCAAGCGGGAAGAAGGGTTCTAACCGCAAGACAAGCGAAAGTAAAAAGGACGGTTTCTTCGGCGGCTTGTTTGGCGGTTCCAAAAAGAAGTCTGACAAAGACCATTCCCACCACGGCCACAAAAAGAAAGACCGCGACCGCGATCGCGATCGGTCCTCCGCGCCCGAAGCTCACTCCGCACCCCGCGTCCTGCGCCCGGATATTGATTATCCTTGGACACGCTTCCCGCTAATCGAGGAACGCGCCATCTACCGCATGGCACACATCAAGCTGGCGAACCCGCGCCGCCCGCTGCTGAGCCAGGTGCTGCTGAGCAATTTCATGTATTCTTACCTCGCGAAGGTGCAGGCCATGCACCCGCAGCTGCAGATCCCGACTAGCCCGCAGCAGAAGAAGTTGTTGGAAGAGTCGCGAAAGAAGCAGGAGGCTGCGTTGGCTGCACAGAGGGAGAGAGAGCAGCAGTTGGCTATGCAGATGCAGATGGAGCAGCAACAGCAGCAGCAGATGGGGATGGACAGTGGGTATGGGGGGTTTGAATACCATCGGGTAGGTTCATCCACTTGAATTGTCTATGTTTGAGGAGATGCTGATGTTTGTTGATGCAGTCTGCCCCTGGATACGGCGACGCCCCCATCCCGCAACAGCAGCCCAGTGCTGATAATGACGTGTATGGAGACGACCCGCAGCAGATGTATGCTGCGTACGATGACCCTATTGACGGTTCCGCTGGCGTCGCGGACTTAAGTCTGGCGCTGCAGGCTGGGCCGAACTATTATTACACGCAGGATCCTGGAGTTGGGGTAGGCATTGGAGTTGGGTATGCGGATGATGATGGGGATGATGGGGGAGGGATGGTCCAGGGACAGCACAGACAGGGACAGCATACCGCTGGACGAAGTGACATGTGGTAGCGCCGCTTCGTTACTGGTTTCAGTTGGGGGTGAAGGGAAGTGAGTGCTTCTTTATAGGGCGGATAGGATGAATTGCACAACTTTGGCGTGAAGTGGATAGGTAGTTGAGCACGGCATGGCATGGATTGGACTGGTTGGACTTTTATGTCAATTGTCTATTGTTGTTACCACTTACAAAATCCCTTACTTACTTATCTACTATAAGGAAACATGGACTGTGGGTAGTGGCAACGCGGGTGGTTGGCGGGATGGATGTACGCGGCTTTACGAATGATGGCTGTTAGGCTTATCGATTGCATGTCTCCATCTTATGAAAAAGGGGAACAGGGAACTAAGCGTGGTGCGTGCTTGCTTATCGTTTTTTTTTTCTATGATGATAGTGGTCATACATGTCGCATCCTGCATGCGACCCTGTGTATATACATGAAGTGGTAACTGGCTTGGCCCCTAGACCAAAGCCTGAGCCATCTCGCGAACATTGGATACGAAGACTTATTGGTGTTCTTATAACAGTCTATATTCTTAGATAGTTACAGAAGACACACTTGTATCATGAGAGGTGTCACCCTTGAGACGGATCAGCACTAAGAGTGTAACTGCAAGATGATTGACCATCTCGTCAACCCCGTACAGCGTACATGGTAAGCATGTTTGGATAAAGATAAGGGTGGATAAGCCAGTATAATCAAGCTCACTAGTAGGGTAAGAGTTCGGGTTGGACAGGAAAAAGAAACAAACAAATTCTTCGTTCCACCACCTGCTGGTAAATTGAAGTTCGGGCACTGAACTAGATTCAATGTTCCTTCACCATACATGTACTTGGCCTACATTTTGTACTTTCCCTTTCCATTATTGATTCCTTTTGAGCTTATCCCATTTTTTTTCTCTTCTTACCCTAACATACCCATTGCCTCGACGGCCTGTTTGTTGCGAATGGCAATCTCCAAACTCCATATGCTTGACTACCCCCGCTCTCCGACTGCCACTTGATACCATCAAGCCATCAATGATCGGGTTGTTGGGCATCGATGCAATACAACAGAATCACTCAGCTCCCAGAAGGTTCTTTGGCGCATTGATTGATTGGAGGTGTCATGAATTTGGGACTGTGATAAGAATTATCCAGACTTCAATTGGTCTGTTAAAAGAGATCAGGAGGGAACAATGCTTGACAATTGAAGCAGCATTTACTGGAAGCGCCTAACTACCTATCTGCATTACCCAGATATTTGACAAACCAGCTAACATATCGATGTGGGCTTGATTCAGTCATAGGGTGCTAGTTGGTAATGGCCTGCCAGTGAAAAAGTTCCCGAAACACGCCATCCTTTCCAATGGGGCAGGTGAGCTTTTGTTGCTCTGCTCTCTGCTACTGGAAAGGACTCTCATCCATATTCTTTATGCACACATCCGGGCTTGAAGCTTCAAAGTAGGTATTCAAGACCGAACCTTCTATTTTTCTTTTCATGGTGTCCATTTCTGCTGCCCTCCCCAGTGTCTCTCAAACCTCGAGCCTCACACAACCCCGCTGGACTCTCCGCTGACAGCGCCTTTCCATTCCTAGTACAAATTTCAGTCTGAGTTCCGTCTACGATCTTTGTTTGTCCTTCGATGAGAAGAAGGCTTCGGTTTCGATCCATATTCAAGCTCAGAATGCCAGAGCCTGAACATGAACAGTTCCATCTCCAGAGATAACTGCAGCATCAGTCTTCTGCCACGCTTCTGGCAAGTTCGCCAATGCACATGCGGTCCCAGCCTTCAGTCATACAGTCCGAGCAGAGTTCAGCACCATTCATGCTGTCAGGTGAAGGAACCGACATCATGATGTCTGCAAAGTCATTCTGGGAACGACACCACTACTAAAGACTCTTCGGGAAGAATTCCGCTATTCTATGTTATTGAAAATGGCGATGAGACTGCTTGCAAACTTTTAATCGATCGTTTTTGAGCCAGTATCCAGACCAACAGTCTCAGAGGCCTCGATCTGGAACAGCTGGGATTCCGAAATGTCATCAAGACAGCTGTCATGGACGGAAGCAACTCCATTTGCAAAATGCTCTTGGATATTCCCGGAATTGATCAACTCTTTTCCGAGAACGAATATCATAAGTTGTATTCCATGCTCCTGACGACAGCTGTTAACAGGAATGCGTCCCTTATGAAACTTCTCCTCGATCAATTTGACTGCATTGAGTTCAAGTCGACATCTATGTCCCTATTTTGTCTGCTTTTACAAGCCACCCGAAATGAAGAGGAAATGCTTCCTACATGCATAGACGCCATAGTCAAAGTTCTTGAGCGTGCAGGAGCCCTGAAGACGAATTGAGGATAAGCGACGTTGGGAAGCCTGGGTTTGCGAATGCATTAGGTAGTGGTGCATATGCTGCACTCTTATACACCTTGGATCTAAAGCCGTTTAGTACATCTAGGAACGTAGTACTTGTTGGCAACCTGCAGATTTTTCTTTTTCTAGGGGACTCAATACTGCTGGTTTTTGACCATCTTGGAAAAGTTCATTCACGTAGTTCTTGCAGAGAGTTTTTCTTTTAGGTACCTGTTGTGATTAATAGCAACAATGGAGCAAATCAAATGCAACACAACATTAGAATGAAGATCAACATATCTGATCCTTACATATTGACCTCGAAATAGTGACCCGCGCAGGAAGTTTAACCATATCAGCAATACCGACCTGTTGCAAAGATAGCGTAGGTGGAATGTGAAGAACGTAATTAGATCAAACCGCTTTTCCCTCTCCCATAGGCGTTTGAGTGAATTGTATGGGAATTTTCCCATGCTTACACTTACGTACCACAGTGGGGCGTGGAAGACTCTGGGGTTATGATAGGAAGAAATTGAGTAATTGGCATTCACTCAGCCATTACACAATGTCTCGACACTGAGTTATTAATAATACCAGGGATTCAAACCCTAAGTCTTGAGAAGTCATGTTCGTCCAGGCCCCAGTAACTCATAGTTCTCGCAGACTCAGAGACCTACTACCCCTAAGTTCAACTTTTCCCGCACCTTTTCACCCTAACAGGCAACCCCCCCTCCATAGGCAACGTCAAACTGCTCCCACTTATCCTCTCTCTACTCTTATCGACCTCCTCAAACTCAAACAACCACGCCAACACCGCAATCACCTGCACCGCGACTGCCTCAGCCATCCTCCGTCCCAAGCAAGTCCTTGATCCACCATAAAACACAGGAAACTCCCCTGTGGTCTTTCCCAACTGAAAACTAATCCGTTTCCGCCCATCTCCCGGCCCGTCTACCTCAACAAGAAACCTCTCTGGCCTGAAACGATCCGCGTCCTCGCCCCACGTAAGTTTAGACCTTTGCAGAGCGAAGAGACACCAGACCAGGACTGCGCCATGAGGGAGGACGGTGCCATCGGGTAGGGTGGTAGTTGTTCCGGGCGGGGCTTTGCATTGTCGGATTTCGAAGGGGATGGGAGGGTAGAGACGGATGGTTTCGTAGAAAACTGCGAGGGTGTAGGGCGCTGAGGAGGGGGTTAGGAGCGTGGGGTTGATAGGGAGGGGATTTTCGAGGTCGGAAGGGAGGTCTTGGGCAAGGAAATGGGTTAGTTCTTCGCGAATTTTGGTCAAGTAGGTTGGATGGCGTAGGAGGAGGTAAAATGCCCAGGTTAGGGCTTGAGCTGTGGTGTCTCGGCCGGCGGAGAGGTATGTTAGGGCGGCGTTGGCGACTGTGGCGTGGTCAGGGATCGAGTTGAGGAGGGATTGGATTAGGGAGCCGGAGATCTGGTCAAGTTTGCTGCTCTTCAAATCGGGGTTTGAGAAACTACGGTCTGTAACTGCCCGGGAAACGATGTGCTGACCGTAATCTTTGACGGTTGCGATAGACTTGCGCAATTTGGAGCCAGTAAAGCGCTCCGTTAGCTGCCAGAATGGGTTTTGGAAGCGCTCTGCTATACCGCCAGAAGCGAAGTCAAAGGATTTTGTAAAATCCTCATCGGCATGCATTTCCATCTGTGTAATGTTAGTCAGGGCAGGAGAAAGAATCCTCAACCACTCACGTTATAAGCCATCTTCCCCATTATCTTAGAAGTTATTTCGTGAAATATGTGCTGTAGGTCGACTATTGTTTTACCATCAGCCTTGGCGGTAAGTTCGGATACGGCTTCTCCCAAGTACTGCGGGAGAGCGACGTCTGTCAGCACTCGAAGGTTTGCTGGAGTCAGGAACGCTGCGCCGGCCTTGCGCTGCAGCTTCCAGAGATCGCCGTCTGCGTTAATGATGCCATCTCCTGAAGCGAAAATCAGCCTAGTGTCTTCATGATAACAATGTTTCAGCACTTACCAAAGAGATCCCATGTGCGTTTCTTGACAAATGCGCCCTTGGCAAAGAGTCCCTCATTCTTGAATATGAAGTTAAGGACTTTGGGATCATGAACGAGGACACCTGGAGGCAGAGTGGGCACAGTCAAGGCCACGGTCTCATAGCCAAATTGTTGTTGGCATTTGTTAAACCAGCTGAACAGCTGCCATCGAGGCTGCAGGAATTTGAAACCATTGCCAATTAGAAGGAGTGTGCCCGGAGGTTTTCTGAATAGTTAGCAGGACAATACGGTGATATTTAACATGACAGAATGGACGGTACCTTAAAGGCCTGCCATTGCGTGTAATGACAGGTCTTTGTCTTGAAACAGTCCTGATGAGGATAGCAAGGAGGGCTGCGAGGACAAGGTGAGGGATCATATCAATGATAAATCCCATGATGATGATGATGATGATGATGATGATGATGAATGTTTAATACCTGCTTATTGGCTTTTAAGAATTGAAGTACATGTCGAGCTGAGATTCGTGTCGGTGGAAAAAGTGAGGTCTCAAAACGGCCATGTTATGTGGATGTGTCACAAATCCAACTCCCCTTTCGTTTCCATTGGCCGGTGCCCCACTCAAGACGATCTGATGGTAGGGTGTGCTGGTAGCGAATTCACTTTGATGAAAGGCTTCAAAACTCTTGAGACATTCCAAAATGTGCCTTCATATATATCTCTTATTCGCTTTTTTTTTTTTACTAAGCACATGACATGAGGACGCATACTTTGTAAGACCTCAAAGGCATGTGCTGTCCAAAAGTTTGTTTACATCAGGGGTTTTTCCTGCCAAGTAACGGAAACTTGGAATTGTCATCTTTTTTCATCTACCTTCCTGTATCATCCTTACCGCTCCCCTTCTCCCACCATTCCAGTATCATATTTGTGGACCGCTGAATTATTTTTGCAAGTTGTCTACTTTAACCCCTGAGCCCCTGATTCCCCAAGACGTTGTTTACTCCCAGGAACTTCTCCAAGGCAACTAGAACGCCAAGACGCTAAAAGCGGGATGCTGTCATCGCTGGGGCAGCTCTCGCTCAGGCCGCAACCTTGATGACCACGTCGACGTCATTGTTCAGCGCTAAAAGAGAAGAGCTTGTTGCTCAACACAAATGATCTGTTTTGCAAAACTCAGCTACAGGGTTTTGGGAACATTCTTGAGTAATCCAAATCATACAATACACTCAAACATATCAAGATGCCTGTTATCCCTCGAATGCAAGTATTTGAAGTCGGGGATGCGCCCTGGTAAGCCCTCCCGATCGCCCAACTTCACCCCACGCCCTCACTGACACCAATCTCAACAAGGTTCCCTCCCTTCCTCCGAGGCTACTTCCAAGCAGCCCTAACGGCAGCCTGGACAACCCACGTAAGCCACAATCTACCCCCAACACTCCTCATTGAGCTAACCTCGAGCCCAGGTACCCGGCCTGCAACGTTCCGCCCCCTCCACAATCGTTGCCCGTCTCCTGCAAACCCACCTCCCCTCCCCCGTAAGCAACTACACCTTCATAGACCTGTGTGCCGGCGGAGGGGGCCCAACCCCAGCCATCGAGCAATACCTCAACACGACACCGCCCCAATCAACCTCCCAAGCTGCCAAAGCCAAATTTATCCTCACCGACCTTCACCCGCACACCTTGTTATGGGAACAAGCCGTGGCCTCTTCGCAACGGAGGAGAGACGAGAGGACGCTAGATTACGTGCCGCATCCCGTGGACGCGGCTGATGTAGACAAGGAGTTTGTCGAGAGAATGAGGGAGGGGGGCAGGAGGAAGGTGTTTAGGATATTCAATTTGGCGTTTCATCACTTTGATGATCGGTTGGCGAGGGGGATATTGAAGGGGTGCGTGGAGGGGGCGCGGGTGGGGGAGGGGTTTGGGTAAGTTCTGCCCTTGTTATCCAAACCAAGTGCTTGTGGGAGAAGAGGGGCTCACAGACACAGAATCTTCGAGCTCCAAGACCGGACCTTAACAGGCTTCTTGGCGTGCTGCACCTTCGGCATCGCGACGATGCTCCTGGCCCCATACTTTGCGCTGATCCTCTGGGGTGAACCCCTCGCGCTGGTGTTCACGTATGCGATGCCTGTGTTGCCTGCGGTGTTGGTGTTTGATGGCTGGATGTCGTGTCTACGGACACGCACGCCCGATGAGGTAGAGGCGCTGCTGAGGACCTGTGGCGCGGAAGGTGGCCAGGAAGAAATTGCCAGGCGCTGGGAGATCAGGAACGGGAGTGAGACGTTCATGTGGCCTGTGGGCAAGGTGAACTGGGTAATTGGCTTCAAGAAAGGGGAGACGCAAGGAAATGGTAGGTGACTTGTACGCAATTGGTTGCTTGATACGTTGGTTGTTGTCTTTGTGTGTATTGCTAGATGCAAAAATGCCCGATTGCTTCAATGCTGCCGTATATCGTAACCCAGAATTTCGAGCCGCCCAATGATGTCCCATTCCCGTCGTCTTCGTCCAGTCCATCCTTGTGGGATGGGGTATCTTCTTCTTGCCTACCATCCATCCAACAGCCATCCACGACACATAATGAACTCCGTGAACAACGTACCCCCGGGTATCTCATTTCTTAGACATCATCAACCTCAAAAACTCATCCTCATCGACTCCCCCCTTCCCATTGCTATCAAACTCCTCAATCATGGCTTGGATATCCGCATCCGGTATGTTATTCCCCACTTGCTGGCACACCTTCCTCAGATCATCCTCGGTGATCATACCCTTACCATCGACATCGAATAGCCTAAACGCGCGGCGCAGCTCGTCGCGCGGGTCTCGCTGGCGAATCAGTGTGCCGGCCAGCGCCTGAGCCGTAGCCAGGTTGAACTGCCGGTAGACTGGGGGGCATTCCTGGTCATGCGGCCAGTTGGCTGGGCGCTGACCATGGCGCACCAGCATATCGTAGGTCTGCTGCTTGGGCAGATCGAAGCCCAGCGCGCGCAGGACGAAGCGGAATTCCTCGTAAGAGAGGAGGCCGTCTTTGTTGGAGTCGAAGAGTTCGAACTAGAGAGCGGTTAGAGGGGTTTTCGGCTAGGGGGAAGGTGGTAAAGGCCATACAGCTTCAGAGATACGTGTCTTCTGCTCATCGGAAAGCTTGTTATAGTCTTCCCTTGGCGGGATGGTGTATTGTATTTGGCGGGTGGCGGCCATCATGGGGGCAATTAAGACAAATAGTGACAGACAGGCAGGACAGGGTAACTCGATAGAGGTGTATCAGGCAATATAGGAGGAATTTTTATACGACTCGAGCGATGCTCGCTGAGGCAGCGGTATATTGTAGGTGAGAGAGCAAGAATGATGGATGAATGAGGATCAACAAAAAACAAAACCAAGCGTCGACGGGAAAGGAAAAGGGAGGGACTTTGCGTCCGCAGGTGTCGTCGTGGAACAAAGCTGCAGCAAATCGATAGTATTGTCAGGATTTGTGTTTATCAGGAGGGCTTGTCGCGACCTCAGCGACCCTTCCCGCCTCCCAAGCCAGCAGAAAGCAGTTCTCGTAAAAGGTCTTCAGTTTGATGATCGATGCAAGTGTGGATGCGACGATGCAAAGACGTCGGGAAAAGACCGGGCGAGGCGCGTCATCCCTGTCCACTTTACGCGTGATCCTTGCACGCCAAGACAGCTTGAACCCACTTGCTGCGGGATCATGTGGGGCATCTGAACTTCAAACTTTGGACCCGCCAAAATTTCGAGACGGCATCCAGATCTTCAACTTTGTGTTTGCCTGCGACAAGTTCTACAACGAAAAAAAACATCTAAAATCGTGGAATCCTTCAACAAACACCAATTCGTTAAAATAAACAAGTTTAGATCAGTATAAACCAATTTACTGGCAAATATGCCCAAACGCAAACGCGAAGACACCTCCCTCCCCGCGCTCCTCTCCAAGCACCGACACCTCCTCTACCAAGCCTTGAAAACCGCCAAAGGCTTTGAGCGCCAGCGTCAATCGAAGCGCCTTCGCGATCCTAAATCGACCCCGGACAAAAAAGTACGCATTGAGAAGGAAGTTGTTGTGCTGAAGTCCCTTGACCTACGCCAAGCAGCGCACGCACACCTATGCCACTCCCTCCTGCGCATCAAGGGTATTGCCGAGAGCGACAAGCTGCCTGAAGAGTTCAAGGCGGGCGTGCCGAAGCCGCAATTAGAAGAGGAAGAGAGAGTTTTGTTACATAATGTGACGAGTAATCTGTATAATCGGAAGCCGGTCATTCAGGCGATTGATCGGGCTGTGGAAGAGGTGTGCAAGGCCATTGGCGTGCCGGTGCCAGAGAAGAAGAGAGGAAAGAAAGGGGTTAAAGATGAGGGGGAGAAGAATGGTGCTGTGAAAGTTGAAGAAGAGGAGAAGAAGGATAAGAAAGAGAAGAAGGATAACGATAAAAAGGAGGAAAAGGATAAGGAAAAGAAAAGTAAAGACAAAGAGGATAAGAAAAGAGAACAGGAGAAGGAGAAGAGAAAGGATAAATATAAGAAGGATAATAAGAGGAAAGACTCCGACTCTGACTCTGAACCAGACTCTGACGACGAGCCCGAACAACCCGAGATCGACGAGTCCGAGGAAGAGCGCGCCGTCAACGAGCTGGACAAGATGTTGGGTCTGGCATCCGACGAGAGTGAAGACGAGGGATCTGAAGAAGATATACTGGTCAAAGGCGGCAGGAGACGAGCAGACCTGGACCCCAACGAGATCACAACCGATGAAGAAGACTCCGAGTCAGAGAACCTGGATCCAAACGAGATTACGGATAAGAGCAGCGACAGCGAAGAGTCTTTCGCAGGCTTTAGCGACGCCCAGCCGGAAGGCCCTAGCTCAGAGAGCTCAGAGAGCCAATCCGATTCATCATCAGACTCCGAATCCTCGGCTTCCGAATCTAAATCCGAATCCCACTCCGACTCGGATTCTTCATCCAGCTCATCTTCATCATCCTCCCGACCCTCCAAGAAGCGTAAACACGACACCTCCAAAACAACCCGTCTCCGTCCCACAGACTCCACCTTCCTGCCTACGTTGATGGGCGGGTACATCTCCGGCTCCGAATCCGAAGCCTCCGACCTGGACATCGCGCCGCGCAGAAAGAACCGGCGAGGCCAGCGTGCAAGGCAAAAGATTTGGGAGAAGAAGTACGGTGAGCAAGCCAGGCACCTACAAAAGAAGCGCGCTGAGGAGGAGGCGAAGAAGAAGGGGAGGGATGCAGGATGGGATTTGCGACGCGGTGCCGTGGGCGAGGATGGGGTTAAGCCTTGGAAGAAGGGGATCAAGAATCCGTTGAAGGAGAAGGAGGGCCAAGGGGAGAAAAAGGAAGAGGGTAAGAAGGAGGAGGGGGGCAAGAAGGGCGGTTTCGGCAAGCATCAAAGGGGAGGAGATAATAATAAGAAGAGGGATGATACCGGCCCATTGCATCCCAGCTGGGAGGCGAAGAAAAAGCTGAAAGAGAAGGAGAAGCTTACAGCGCCGTTCCAGGGGAAGAAGATTACCTTCGATTAGAACTAACTACGGCTAGGTACTGAGTTGGTTGTCTGGGTCATGTTAACGCTATTAATCACGTACATTTAGACTCTGACATAGGAACGTGGGCAGTTAGCTCAGCAACTTGTCCTTGTCATATTAATAGCATCTCTTAGATATAAAGGCAGAGGAAGAGCATAAAAAAATAGAAGGTGAAACCACAGGAACAGCCAGACCAGATTCCCAGGTTGACTCCGATAGATGCCATGCCATCTGCGAGAACCTCGACAATTCTGGCTCTGACTTTGACTCTGACGATGATGACACCAAGTCCGAATCGAGTTCCGACTTAGATCTTGACATTGACCTCGACGATGCCCTGCTGGATAAAGTAGCTCCCCAGATACGGCGATCAACCTCGAGAATTCCGACTCTGACTCCGACCCTGAATCCTGGCATGGATCTCGATAAGGCCAACGACGACGAGGGATCGAGGTATGATTCGGAAAGAGATAACGACACCGACTCTGGCGAGTCCAGCGATGACCACTCTGGTTGAAGAGACGAGTCGGATCAGGACCTGGACATGAATCTTGTCGTCCGCGGGACAAGAAAGACAGCAAGTGCTTGTCCCAAAACCCGGCGTCAACTCGACCTCAGCTCAACTCATCCTCAACCCTCAATAGTTCATTCGAGTAACGTTACTCGGCGCCACGAATTCCATTCGAGCATCATCCACGCAAGCCCACTGGGATTCCTTCCCTTCCCCTCATCCCGAGCACGCTCTTCCGACGAGTTCTTGACAGGCCTTGACGAATGTCAAGGAACGAGAATGGCTTATCCTATGGGAAGGCAATAATTGGGAAGGGCTCTAGAGCTTTTTCCTTCTACCGCTGGGTTCGAGTGGGCTCTTCATATAGGCATTGAGGGGTAGGTTGGTTGATCGTTGTAACTGGGCAACTGCCTTCGCCGGGGGGGGGGGAAGGGGGTGAGGGCGACATCATCGCTGGAATCCGAATCAGAGCTCGAGTCGGAGCAGGAGTCGCTATCCGTCTCGCTGTCAATGTCAGTGTCAAAATCGGAACCAGAGCTGAGGGAGCTGGCAGAGGCAGTATCGGAATCCGTGTCATTGTCAATATAGCTGTTCTCATCTGAGTCGCTGAGATCCATTTCGGTGTCGCTGTCAAGTAGGGTCTTCTCTTTCCCTTTACCTTTGGACTTTGAACCGTCTCCCATCTTCAGGGTAACCCGAGGTTGATAGCACGAGAAGGACCTGCGACTCCAGCCGCATCACCGCCCCTTAGGCTCTCCTTCCTACTCTCATCATCAGAGAGCAAAAGTCAGATCAACCGGAACTGGAACTGTAGTACCTTTTGGGCTTGAACAGCCTGTCCAGCGTTGGGCGAGGTGCACTAACTCCAACACCTCCAGCCCCAGCTCTACCATTGCTTCCGCCCAAACCAGACCCATCCTCAGAAGTCCGAAGAGAACCAGCTTGAACCTGTGCCGGGGGATTCGCACTGAAGTTGGCGCTAGATGCAACCCGCCGATTCAAAAACACCGTCGTCGACACAACGTCCAAAGGCATAACTTCATTCTCCTCATCCTTGATCTCTACCGCAGTCTCCGGTAAACGACCATCCATTTTTCGCTCACTCAGCTGCGGTTGTGTGGGAGTACGGGGACCATTCTGCCCTTAGCCATGGCCGTACTCAAAAGATCCACTATCAGAAGGATAGCCCGACCTGTGAAAGACCTGAGAGGCATAGCGCTGGGCTCACGGAAGGTAGGAGTGACGAACAGCCCGCTTGTAGCAGTCGACGAGCGAGCTAGACGGTTAATACTGGGGTGATTGTTTTGAGCTAAACGGACAACTGATGGTCTCGATGCGGACGCAGAGGTCGTAGTCCAGGTTACCGAGAAGGAAGAGGATACCTCCGAACCGGAAGAGGTCGAAGCTGAACGGCTGCCTCATGACCCAGACTCGGAGTGTGACAACCTGGGATTTTTTGCTGGAATGATAAAAAGATCGTTTTCGCTTCTGCCTTTGGTGGCTGAAGAAGCATGGCCGGAGGAAGAGGAGGTGCCAACTGTTGTGCGGGATTCGGTTCAGCCGTATCCTGTGGCTGGGATTTTGCTCTTAACTTCATCTTTGGCTGAGTTTGATGGGCTTGTGGTTGTAGAAGTGGCTTGGTCTGGGCCATTGTCACTCTTGTCTTACAAGGCAAACAGGCCACTTGGAGAGGATGACTAACGCAAACCTGGTTGGTTGTTGTCAGCCTGCACAGGATGGAGAAGGCTCTGGGGTGGACTGTTTCCAGAGACGGGGATAATGGCTTGCAATTCACTAGACGCGAAGCCGTCGTCATCATCATTGCTCTGAACATCAAAATCATAATCAAGGTCCCTTACAATCAGTTCCTCATACGACCAGCGCCCGTTCGCGGAGAGGTAACCCCCCTTGACAAGGACCCAGTCCTCATTGCCCGGCATCCATGCCTGTCCCCTTGTTTTCCAACAGTGGCTCCAAGTCCTCCAACCGAGCTGCTTTTCCTCATTGCTGAGCACTTTAGGCATGGTGGTCACATTTTTGGCTCCATCAAACAAACGAGACATCCCTGATTAGGATGCGGCTCCACGTCCCTTAAGGGCCTTGTTAAAGGCACATCAGCGTATGAAATGCAACCCACAAAGTGTGAGAACCTAGTTCTTGCCGTGAGGAATTCTCATGTCCCTATATCCTCTTTTGTCAGGCTTTCCCTTTTCGTGCTCTTTTATGAAGTTTCGGATGGGGGGTAGCCTCATAAGAGCGGCGTGGGTACGACTTATCGAGATGAATGACATTTTTCTTCACCCTCCGCATCTTAGGTAGCCAGATCAAGGGATACGTCCTCCGTGAAAATGGATCATTCCCATTTGAATCGCGCAGAACGGTGAGGACCTGGTTTTCTGTCCAAAGAAACTCAATATGCTGGATCTGAGAGATGCGATGGAGTCCAGTGCCCTGACAGAATCGACCGAGCTTCCCTAAGTAGGGAATTGAAAAGGTGTTTAGGCCATAAAAAACGTGGAAGTCAAGGAAATACATCCGGAAGCTGACGAGGATGACAAGGGCTTCATTGGCTTCTTTGGCTTCTTTGCTGTCATGGGTGATGTTGCAATAACGACCGCCCCAGAGAAAGTGGTTTCTGAAACCACTCTTATGGTCAGCGAGTTCCTCACGGGGCAGGATTATTGTCAGGGGGGGCTCATCGGTCGAGACGGGACATGCAATGGATCAACTAGCCTTCCTTGTGGAGTAGATGCCTCAAAATCCCGATCTGAAGGTGCTCTGGAACCCGTTCAAAATGGGAATTGCGTAGTATTCGGGGCCTGAAGGAAGGATAGACCGTCACCAGGGGCTACAGGAGCCTCGACATGCTTCTGAACGCCTTTCTGTTCAAGAAGAGGTGGCGAAGGAATGAGTTTATGTCTGGGCGCACACGCTGCAGGATGCTGTTCATGTTATCCTCCCCTCAGGATTTGCAATAGATTGCTTCGTACTGCAGACCGATATGCATTAAACGTCCCTATTTGGAGTAGAAAAGATTGCTGCTTCCAGGAGTAAAGATCGCAATTCCACGTCTGAAAGGAATGTCAGCCTCTAGTTCCACTGCCAAGTCGTTGTCCAACAGCAATGAAATGTATGTCTTACACGTTGTGTGCTTTCAGTGGTTGAAGAAAGAACTAGCTTTATTCAAGACTTACAGGGTTCAAAGTTGGTGTAGGTCTTTAGCGTCACCTTTAAGGTTTACCTGTAATAAAATAGCTTCCTAGTTGTCGGACGCGCTTGAGGGATGAAATAAACAGAGCATCAAGACTTTGATGGTATTCCGGAGGGTCTCTGTGGTGTTTAATATCAGCGCTGTGAAGGAACAGAAAGTGAGGGAGCTGTAGCGAATGGTGACAGGGCATTCAGGGGCACGGCTGAGTTTCGTTGGTGGAAAGGCCTGATCGTAGTTGATCGGACCGCACTGTAGAAGAGTTAACAATTGAAACTTTGAACTGTCTTTGGAATGTTCATAGGGGCTCCAGCGTAAAGGAGTGGCTGAGAGCCAAAATAAGTCTTAAATGAAGGTTGAGCGTGAGAAGACGGAGTGTAAGATAAGCTTGGCTAGGGACAGTCTGCGAAAAAGAGCTGCAGTTCTCCAAGATATACTTGCCTAGCTGTTATTCTTTAACACTGAGAGGGAGGTATGATATGAGACAACAGGTACATCCCTTACTTTGTTACACTGTTGAACTGTAATGATCGGGCTGTCGGCAGGTCATGAATAAAATGGCATGGTATAAGATCAGGCCAGTCCGGAGTTAGTTAAGGAGAAGCCGATTGCTGAAGTGCCCTGAGGAAGCATGTAAGCGATAAAATTTTGGCAGAACCTCCTGCTCCTTGTCATACTGTAAATATCTGCTTGGGCACACTGTAAGATGTTGGAGGAAGATGAAGAGGCCAGTGAAATTGATGATAAATGATTGAAGTCATAGGTTCCGCCACTCATGTGAGGAAGTGACTTGCAATGCTGAGGATTGGCTGAGCATAAAACCAACAAGAGTTGGCTCGCGAGAGGCTCAGATCGTGGCAAGATCTAAAAGATTTGGACGCAAGTGATGAGGGTCTAGGCTGCAATTAGTCTGCAAAAGAGATAGCCACAAGTTGGTGAGTACTTACCTCAGGTAGTTGAGGTGTAGTTCGTAGAGTGTGAGCAGGCAGGGGCCATCACAGAAAGGAGCATAGGCTTCAGGTCATGGTCATGTAAAGATAAAAAGTCTGCTCTGGTGGCTCGTGGCTGAGTAAGAGAGCATCATCACTTACTGACCAGGTCGGTCGAGAACAGATAGCATGTTAGAGCTTTTATATGACCCGAGGTCGGTTACCGACTTGATGCGCAGGGAGCACCACTCTGTTTAACACTCAGCAAGGCTCAGTAAGGGTCAGGTACTGACCGTTGCCGCTCCGTGTGGCCTACCTAGGTAAGTGGTTGCCAGCCAGCCTAGGAAGTACTAGGATTTTCAGCCAGGGCCGAGCTCTGTTGTATACGAGATAGTTGCTTACTGACCACTACAGTTGAGACCAGTTGCTAACCGGCCTGCTCGGGATTCTATAGTAGGAGCGTTTCTGTACCTATAAAACTTTGTCAGGTACCTAAGCGCTGACCAGCTTTTTCAAGAAGAGTCGCCCTGGCAAGATAATGTTGGACTTGCCATTGGTTGCTGACCCTATCCCCAGCAGAGGTTTGGTGATAGATAGTTAGCTGTTAAACAAAATTCTGGCAGCTACCAGTTGGGGCGAAGCGTATTTCACACCTAGACTTCTTCTTTTTCCGCAGAATTCAAAAAAAAGGTAAAATTCTGGGAAGAACAAGAAGCGTGCAAAGGCATGTGAAATAATCGCTATAACAACCATGGCTATCGCACTAAGCTGGTGTCAGTAAGTGATAGTTTTCATGGCTTTCCAGCCAAGGTAGAGAATGAGATTATGTTATCCAGGGAGAAAGCCTAAACTAAGATTCCGCAAGGGTCAAACAGCATATCCAATACTTGGATAAAAGCCACAAACCGCCATCCATACGCAGCAAAGTCCAAATCACCCAAAAACATAGTCCCTACAACCGAACCAAGCTGACACTCAAAATACCCTCCGCCTTCGCCAACTCCTTTAACACTTCATCCGTCACCTCACCCGCGACTCCCAAAATCATGAGCGCCTCCTTCGCAGCCTTGCCCACAACATCAACCGGCCCATCCACAACCGGTGTCCCCGGGGCAGGCTGCCCCTCAAGCGCGGCAACCTGCATAAAACTGATATTGATCCCATGCTTACCCAGCACCATTCCCACATTGCCAATCTTGCCCGGCTCATCATAGTTATGCAAGATCAGCAGGGTCCCCTCAGGATGGAAATTAGCAGTAAACCGATCCAACTTCGAGATAAAGATCGCGTTTCCGCTTACATAACCCTCAATCACCTGCTCTCCAAAACCACCTGCAGCTTGTCCATCGGCGGGGACGCTCCTTAGAGTCACAGCGCTGGCGAAAGTGCGAGAGCCGTCGTCCCCACCGTCACGGACGTGTCGCTCGTCGATTACAATCCCCCGCTCCCGGGCGATGAGAGGGGCATTGACAATGTTGACGTCGCGGCCGCCGAGGGTGCTGATAGCGCTGACTAGGCCCTTGATTAGGGCTGCGAAGAGGGGTCTGGTGTTAGTGACGCCGGCCAGCTCGCCGCGGTAGACGAGTTCGAAGCGTCTGCCGCCGACGGAGCCGCCGCGGGAGGATGAGCGGGTCGCGAAGTGTTGGGTGTAGAGGCTGCCCATGCGTTCGACCCTGGAGGAAGTTGGCATGTTGTAATCCAGTAACTCAGGGATAAGAGGTCAACTTACAGTTTGACAAAAGGCTGAAGCTTCCGGTATTCCTCCGGCAAGATCAACGGGGCGTTGACGGCAGCAGTTGGCATGCCCCCCTTCAAAATCTCCAGTACTTGTGTGCACACATCAAGTGCGACATTCTCCTGAGCCTCAACGGTGCTCGCTCCCAGATGCGGTGTGCTGACAACCTTCGGATGCCTGGCCAACTTCTCCGCAGTTGACCCAGGCGCCGGCGGCTCCGAAGTGAACACATCTAACCCAGCACCCGCAATCCAGCCCTCATCCAGCGCCCTCAACAACGCCTCCTCATTGATAACCCCTCCCCTAGCCACATTTAGCACCCTCGCTCCCTTCTTCATAGCTCTCAACTCCCTCTCCCCAATCAAATCTTTCGTACTCGCCAGCAGCGGCGTGTGCACAGTCAAGAAATCCACCTCCCCCATAAACCCACTCTCGATCAATCCCCCCTCTCTCAACTCAACCCCAACCTCTTTCGCAACCTCTCTACTCGCATAAGGATCAACCACAACAACTTTCATTCCCAACCCCTTCGCAAACCGCGCAACTCTCACACCAACCTTCCCAAACCCGATAATGCCCAGCGTCTTTCTTCCTACCTCAACGCCAATTAACTTTCCCCTCTCCCATCTCCCTTCCTTCACCCCACGATCCGCCGCCCCAACATTCCTCGCCACAGCCATCAACAACGCGATGGTGTGCTCCGCTGCAGCAAGGATGTTCCCGCTGGGGCTGTTCACCACCACGACACCCGCTTTTGTTGCAGCATCGACATCGATGTTATCAACGCCCACCCCAGCACGGGCCACAACTCTCAATTTCGTGCCCGCCTCGAGGACGGCAGAAGTGACTTTTGTTTCGGAACGGACGATGAGGGCGTCGTAGCTGGGAATGAGTTTGAGGAGGTTGGCTGGGGAGAGGGGCGATGGGGTGTCAATTTGGATGGGGAGAGGGGAGGAACGGAGGATGGAGAGTCCTTCAGGAGAGAGTCTCTCGGGAATGAGGATTTTGAAGGGAGTTGAGGTTTTGGAAGAGGAGGGGGGGTCCAAGGCGATGGGGGCCATTGTAGTGGGTGTAAAGCTTGGGGGAATGGGATGGAAATGCTTAGGTAGGTGATATGGACTGATGACTGCTGGAGTGAAGTTGATCGAGGAATGAGATCTTATGATTAGGAGGCAAAGACGATGTTGAGGCGATGGGATCCAGGAAACTTATACCATCCCGTTTCCCTTAATAGGTAGCCAGCGGTCTCCATCGAAACGGCTCTACCACCTTTTCTTAGCTTAATAAAACACAGTATTTGCATGCAGCTCTCGCCCTCTCGAATCTGCAAGCCTCCCAACTTAGCACGATAATCATACGCCCGCACGAGAGGCCTCACTTCAAGCCAGGCAGCTTTCATCGGACCAAGCTGTCGATGTAATAAGAAGCAATCCCAACCCCACGCTCAACGCCCAGACCCTCTCTCTCCTTCATCCGAACAATCGACGCCAACATGACGACACCTCCCGGCCAGCCAACCAACCGCTCTTTGTCCTTGAAACCACTCCAATTCATTCCCTTATTAAGCCTCATACCTCCCCACGCCATATGTATTATCCATACACAACATGTCATAACCAATCTACCCCAGACGAAGCCAAGCCCTCTCGGGATAAGTCCCATCCGGAGGGCTGCACGCCCGCAGGGGACAAGGCAAGGACCTACAAGCAAACGTGCTCACCATCAACGATCCGGAGTAACACCCACATGCCGAGAGCGCATATCTCAGATCGTTCATTGGAAGCTTCGTTGAGGCTTGCGAGTGTTAGCCCCGTATAGAATGCATCGACGTCTGACTTCCCCGCGGGGCCCCTCACTTTCCCCCACGTTCGACTAATGCGGGCAGCTGCAGGTGAGAGCGCTGGGGAGGCTTAGCTCAGTGACGTGCGGCCGTGATGTGCATTCGCGTATCTGGTTGGTTGGAAGAGTAAAACAGATCGGCAGAGCGCAAGAGTTTGGAAGAGGGAACGCAGCAATTCTATGGACGGCGTTGTTAGCTTTGTAATACTATGTAGGCAAACTATCCGTTGCACATTGCGGAGGGGCCGAATAGATGCAGACGAAAGATTGGTGAAGCATGGCATCGCGTGGGGTTGGATGAACTCGACCACTAGTTGACCAGATCTCATCCTTCCGTCTATGTACAACGTCTTGATCAGTCAGCATCACGTGCCCAGACATCCTACCCCTCCTTCTAGTGCCCCCTCTCCTATTGCATCCTCTTAAGAGTTTTTGTGTGTGGCTAGCTCAGCAGGTGTGCGGGAAGTTAGGCTTGCCGCTGAACCGCTCGTTCTGCACAATCTCAACCCAGTAACCATCCGGGTCAAGGACAAACGCCACATTCTTCATGCGGCCGTCCGTGAGCCTCTTCTTCCAGTTGACGTTGAGAGATTCCAGCCGGGCGCAGGCGGCCTCAAGGTTATCGACCGAGATGCCTAGACCGAAAGTTAGCTTACTCTCTTACAGTAAGTGGAGAGAAGGGGGAAAGAGAGAAGAGGGGAGGGGGAGGAGGGGGGGGGGAGGGGAAGGGGGGGGGGAAAAAACACGTACAAATATGCCCAAAGCCCTGCGGTTCTGCATTACCATTGTGGTAGGAAAAGTCAGGATCCTGCTCCGTGCCATAGTTATACGTAAGCTCAAGCAGGCCCTCACGTTCCTTAATAGCGTCCACACTCTCCGGAATACCCTTCTCCCCAGGATAACCCAAGAAGTAGAGGTTAAACTTGGCCTCAGGCTGCTCAATAGTCCGGAACAGCTTCATCCCGAGCACTTCCTGATAAAACTTGAGACTCTTCTCAATATCCTTAACCCGAATCATGGTATGATTCATCCGGTACGTCTGCACATCGGTCTCAGTCACGCCCTCGGTCTTCTCCACGGGGTTCTGCCCAATAATCTCCACCCAGTAGCCGTCCGGGTCCAAGACAAAGGCGATGTCCTTCATGCGCCCGTCGGTCAACTTCTTCTGGAACTTGTAGCCAGCATCCTCGAGGCGCTTGCACGCGGCCTGGATGTTGTCGACGCTGACACACGTGTGGCCGAAGCCCCGGAACGGTTCGACGTTCCCATTGTTGACTTTGTAGTTGGGGTCTGACTCCGTGCCGTAGTTGTGTGTCAGCTCGATCAGACCCTCGCGGTCCCAGACATTGTTGCCGTGAGACACAGCCTTGGGCGAATCGAAGCCAAGGAAGTAGAGGTCGAACTTAGCCTCGGGGAAGGAGAGTTTGTTGAGCACGGACATGCCCAGGAAGGAGTAGAACTTGACTGGGGTTGAAGGTGAGCATCACCACTCAGCATGGTGAGAAGTATGAGGCGTCTTACTGGACTCATTGGGGTCCTTCACCCGAATCCTAGGACGGTCAGCTGTGAATTCTTTGTGATCAGAGTGAGAATACGCTTACATCGAGTGATTAAACTTGTAATTCTTGACATCCGTCGCGGTAGCCATGGTTGCAAGACGTCTTGTGACTTGAGTTTTGTCAGCACTCTCCACGTCTCACTCACAGTCCTCTCACATGAACAAGAGAAGACAACCAACTCAAAATTCCAGCTCTGCTTCGAAAACGTACCCGGACCAAAATTCTTCGCCTGAATATTTGCAGCCCTCCTGGAAGCCAAAATCGGCACAAGAAGCTTCAGTCGCTGGGCAGCACCGAATGAGAAGCCCATTGGTACCCTACGCGAAGGAAAGCTTTATCGGAAATGCTTTTGCTGACTGATCACGGTATTTTTGTCCACTGCCAACTAGCACGCGACAGCAGCAAGCACAGGGCGGGGACCTGAGCTCCTGCCGCAGCTGCCAAGTTTGATCCTCCTGCTGGAGCTTGTGTTCAAGCTTCCATGAATGCTTCGCTAAGTCCCCACTGTGTTACATCGATTACGGTAATCTTAACTGCTGAATGCTACGACAAGAATCTTCAAGTCTCTAGTTTTTTTTTTTTTGTCGACATCACATCGAGTCTTAAATAATGAATATCCGGATGTCTTACTCAAACATAAAGCTAAACTGCTTGTCAAAGTTAAGGTTCAGAACAATGCCTTCGTTTGGCAGCTTGTGTCTTAAACAGATTGACGATCCACAAACTTGGAAGCGTAACTTACAGCGGGGTAGGAGGTTTCAATCTCGGAGACGGCCACTTCCGAAGCCAGCTGTGCTACCCCGTCATCTGCCGGCTGTTGACGTCAGTGCTCGAAGTGGGGTAAAGAGTAAAAGGCCGAGGTGAAGGGAGGGGTTCACTTCATCAAGGTCCGTCAGAGAAAAGACTCGAGGTTGGGATCTCATGCTATCTGAAGCGCCGACCATCCAAATCCAAGGCGTCATGAACAGGAATGACTTTAGAATGAGAATGTACCCAAAATATTGCAATATCAACTATCAACAAGAATTAACATTACCTCACTCTAGTTATGTACGTGAATAAAACTCATGCATACAATCTCTGTCAACGCCAATGGTTCCCTGCAATCATGATCCCAGCCCCTCATCCCATGCAAATCCAATCAGCCATCATGTCTTTTGACTTTCGAACAGGTAAGGTTAGGTATGCAAAAAAGGGAAAAAAAAAAAAGAAAAAGAAAAAGAAAAAAGAAACCAACCACCCAAAACCCAAAACTTGCTCGATCGGCTGGTTGGTGGGTTGGTCAATAAGGTGAAGGTAGGTAGGTAAATCGGCGTCATAAACCAAACTTCATCCAAAAACTTAAAAAAAAAAAAAAAATTGTTGAATAATCGTTCCGCTGTCCCGTCCAAAACCTTTCCTCATTCAAGAAAACCGCTCTTTTTCACATCACCGTAGACGACCAGCCGCCTCCCTTTCTCTTCCTTCTCCTTGTCTTCTTCTTTTCCATCCCTCCCCTTGACCCAGGGCGTGACTCTCTCCCCGACGCCTCGGCTGCAAGCCCCCTACTCCCTTCAAGAAGGGGGTCATCCTCCTCATCATCCTCATCGGCTGACGCTTCCGGTTCAGAATCCTCCTTTTCCTTCTCTTTCCCATTTTTCCCCTTGGTCGACCCCGAGGGAGAACCCACCCGTGAACTACCCCGTGACCCAGCACTCTTCTTATCCTTATCCTTGTCCTTATCTTTATCTTTATCCTTATCCTTATCCCGTCCCATAAACAGCCCAAATAACCTGCTCCCGTCGAAGCTGGATGGTGTCGACGCCACAGCCTCCTCATGATCCTCGTCATGGTGCGTGTCCATCGTCTCAAGCACCACCTTCCTCACGCCGCGCGACTCAATAACATTCTCCGTAATGCTGCCGCTGCGCACGTACGGCTTGCGCGGCACCGGTATGTGCTCTGTCTTACTGGACGAGCCAACGCTAGCACTGCCGACGCTGGACGCGCTGGTAATGCGGCGGAGGGGCGGTGGCGGCGGTGACTTTATGGGTACTGACGCGGACAACTTATCGAGGTTGCTGTTTACGTTGTTGTTCCCATTGGCATTTTCGCTGCCGTTACCGGTAGTTTGAGTCGACTTGTCGATTTGCTCGGGTGATGCACTCAGCGGCACGGCAAGAGATGGTCCGTAGCGCTGCCTAATCGCTTCGTCGAACTTAGCGGGGGTCGATTTCGGCCGAAGCAGGCTGGTCGTTTCGCTAGCATCTTCGAGGTGAGGGGACTCCTCGATCGCGCGGTCGATGGTGGAGCCGGCACGAGTCGATGGCGGCGGGCCGCCGATGCCCGGTTTGACCTTGACCGTCGTCGAGCGCGTGTCCTTGGGGTGCGAGGCGGGGTTTGATGGGCCGAGATGCTTCAGGTGCTCCCTGATGTCTTCGAACTTCGCACGTACTGGGACCGTAGTTTGCACCCACTGGCCGTCAAGACCAGCTGAGCTGCGCCGCATCATGATTGTCGTCTTCGGGCTGCCGCTCAGCGCCGGAGAGTCGAGCGATCTACGCGGAGGTGCACAAATGCTGGGGCCATCGGTGCTGCATTCGCAAGGCATGGTACCGCTACGTGGTCTGCGTGGTTGTTGATCGACAGATGGCCGGCGAGGAAGGCGGGCCTTCGGGGCGGGAGCCAGACGGCGAATGGCCTTGTGAACGTCAATGTACACGTCAGACTCGTCAATAATTTCCCTGCATCGTGTCAGCAATCGCTCTCTTCTTCCATCCGAAATCATACGTACTCTCCAATCAACTCCTCGATTACATCCTCGAGGGTCACAACACCAAGACATCCGTGGTCTTCACCTGGATATTCTGACACCAAGACCATGTGCGACTTGCCCTCCTGGAAGAAGTTCATGATGTCGAGACAGCTCGTCTCCGGGCGCGTCTCGGGCAACGTGGCCAGCGGGAAGTCGCGTACACGCTTGCAGTCCTCTGGGTCGTAGGTAATCAAAATCTTGACCAGAAGCATACCGACAAAGTTGGTAGGATGTCCAGCCTCGTAGATAGGGATGCGAGAGTAGCCAGCCGAAAGAATCATGTCCATGGTCTGTTCATCCAACACGGTATCCTCAGACATAGTGAAGACGTCTTCCATCGGAGTCATGACACTCGAAACGGGCTTTTCCTTCAGATCGAGCACAGCGCTGATGATAGTGACTTCGTCCTGGTTGAGCCGTTCAGATACATCGCCCAGGCTTTTGTGTAGCGTCACAAGCGTCTTCAAGCCGCTCTTCTTGTACACGGTGCCGTGGTCTTCGCCGAGCAGCCAGTCGAGGAGCTTCGCGGTCGGGTAGGCGACTGGAGCAAGCAGGTACATCAGGCCGAGGACGGGCTTAGCCATGGCACCACCAATTGGCAGGCCGTAACGCACGCAAATCGACTGGGGGAGGACCTCTCCGAAGATGACTGTGGCGGTCTATCAGAACAGTCCCAAAGTAAGATCGAATAAAGCCCGATGTACGCACCGATCAGAAAGGTCGACCCCACGACAGCAGCCACGCCGCCACCGAGGCAGCGGTCTAGCACAACGGGGAGAGTCTCGTTCACAATGACGTTGGCCAGCAGTAGGGTCACCAGAACCCAGTGCTTGCCATTCTGTAACAAGTCATACACTCTCTTTGCGTTTTTCTGCTGTGGTTCGTTCGGGTCGCGCGCCATGACCTGGAGATAGATGCCGTCCTGTCCCATGAGGCTGGGCCTCAAGTCAGCTCACCGTAAGATGTTATGTTATCCCCGTCCCTAACGAGGGCCTCCGAAAAGCAGAAAGTAAGTCCTTACGCGATGGTCAGACCCGCGAAGGCACCGCCGGCGAGGACGAGCACGACCGAAATGAGGTAGAGCACCCAGAGACTGGCGCCCTTGGTCTCGGGCTTCTTCTCGCCCAGATGGTGTAGGGGGGCAGCATACGCCACCGACATGGTCATGGAGAGCAGACGGGCAAGACCCACAGCCGTGGAGCGCAGGGCGAGGAGTCCGGATCCATGAGATCGTAATGATACGCTGCGCGAGGGCAGCGGAGTGATGGATTGCATGGTGAGAGTTCAGGGCCGTGGTGACGGCCACGCGCGGGCGCGACTCGATCTCAGGGGGGGGGGTAGGGGGATCGTTGGGCGGGCGTGAGTCAGGCTGTCGGCGGTTGAAGAACTATCTTTCCCAGGAGTCTAAGCGCGGTGGATCGCGACGAGGAGCGGAATCAGGCACTATTAAGACGGCAAGAAGACTCGACTCCCACGCCGGCAGTCCTGCGTCTACAGTCTCCTGTTGCACAAAGGAGTGCAAGGAGCGGCCGCGGTCGGGAAAGGGTGCAGGGCAAATTCGTAGTGGGACTAACCACTAAAGGATGATGACGACTATCCGGGTTGCTGATTGGCCGGGGAGTTCGGGAAACGCACCCACACCGTTCCATGGTGCATGCCGATCCTGATTGCTGGAAACGGGGGCGTGGGTTATGTTGCTTGCAGGGTTAACATCCAAACGGTCGCGATAAGCACGATGCCTTTTGTTTCCCAGCAGGCGAAAGTCATGCCCTAACGTTTCTGCAAAAAAAAAAAAAAATAGCAATATTCAACCAATTTTTGCCGCCACTTGATTAAAAAAATGTTGAGGGAGTCGAAAATTCAGAAAAACTTTCGCGCATTGCGCCTGGCCGTTGGGGAACTTGGCTAGCCGCATGCGGTGTGGATCTGACCAACCAGATGCAGCCGCGGGAGCAGCCGCCCAGCCCTGCAGGGAGGCTCTTCCATCATCTGGATTACATGGACAACATCCATCAACATGCTTGCCACACGCGATGAACGCGCATGTGTTTTACCTTTTGCTGAATGATTGGGTCGTTCTTCCGTACTGACCTTGTGTTCTGCATGCTGACGTAGGCCACCTACTGCTTGTCTCATTTGAGCTCCTGCAAAGTCCACAACCTCGAACCGCCGAGATCCTGCCCGACATCTCGTCTGCCGTGACACTGGTGATTGTTGAGCACCAAATCACCAAACACCATGGCCGTTACCACGCGGAGCAACAGTGGGAAACCAGATCCTAACACCCACTCTGCTGCGTCAGAAGCAGACGTCCCAGCTGCCTCCAGCGCTCACCAGAATGGCCAGTCAGGCTCCAGCAAGAGAGGCGCGTCGGCCTCCCCAGGAGAGCGACCACAAAAACGAGTCCGGACAACGCACGACGTACCTCCCAACGAGAATGACGCCATAGACCCGCGCGTTCTCGAGGTACTCAATAAAGATCTTCCGCAGCCGAGCACAACAGAACTGAACGGGAGGTCAAATGGCAAGTCTGATGAACAGCTCCCGAATGGGATAGAGGTTGCCCTTGCTACACTACGAAACAGTGACAATGTCCCACTCAGAACTTATAACCCTGCGCAGTCTAAAGCTGCAACTGAGACTAGAAGAAGGCTACAGACGAAGTCGCTTCGTCGCACGGTCAACTCACGGGAAGTCATCTTTCCATCGTCTAGAAGCCCCAGAGCACCAACTCCAGGCCGCGAGGATATACGTGGGGAGGAAGGTCATGGGGCCGTTCCGGTTAGTTCTCCTCTAAGTCCGGAGCTGCAATCATCTCCGGCAAAGCAATTCGCCCCGCTACCGACTACACAAGGCCAGGCTTCCTCGATACTTGCCCCGACCAACAAACCTACCAGTGCTCCTGTTTCCGAAGATAGAGAGGGTCCGGAACATCCCGAACATCAAGAAGAAGACTGGGATAGCCAGAATGAAGCAAACGATTCCGATTCGAGCAGTCGGGTTTCAGATCGCACGCCCTGCACGCTCACAATCCAGGACATTGAACCTACTTTCCTTAGCGACGACTTCCTACCCAAGGATAAATTCAATCTCTGCTTTGTGTCCCCAGGCGCTTCTCGGTATGACCTGAACGTGTCTAAGTATTTTATGACCAAAATGGTTGAAGTGGTGGGGAAGCCCTACTGGACAAATGGCGGTGCGAATTGGCACAACCAAGTTCTGGACAGGGACTGGGAAGCTCAGCTATGGCATCCCCTGGCTAAGATATGCTTCCAGGAGCTGAAGCATCTTCGGGCCGGACTGTTGTCTCAAATACCCTCGTCCGATAACCTTGCCTACCAGGAGATGATTCTGAAAAGCTTGGAAAATGAGTTCAACCTGGCCATGTCTCGGATCTCTAAGAAGGTCAGGTTGATCAGCAAGAGGATGGATATCTTGAACAAGAAGAACGCAAACCGAAATGCCGAAAATCAAGATGGCTTGAATGAAAAGACGGAGCATAGACAGCTTAAGAGAGACACCAGGAAACACCTCATCCCAATGGCTGTGTTGGTCCTGCAGACTTGCTTCAAGTATGGGTTATGTCTGGACTACCCACTCTCTCGCTTCACCATTACCACTTTTCATATTTTGCGGTGGACTACCGGTTGGCTGCTCAAGTTGGCCATGCCTTTCAGAGACAAAACTGGCGGCAATAGCGATGGCAAAGGTGACGGCAAAGCTGAGAACAAGAGTCGGGACGCCCCACCAGAGATAAAAGACTTTAACCTCGCCCTCGACTACTGGCAGGCAGTTCTCGAAGCAGAAGGGAAGTCCTACAATAAAAAGGTGGAACGGGAGATCGAAATCCGCCGGATAAAACAGATAGATGAGGCAATACGCAAGGCTAAAAAGCAGAGGGAAGAGGAACAGTGGGCTTCCCGTGAGAAGCGCTGGGATGCGTTCTTCAAAAGTGCGCTCGAGATTGCGTCCAGGCCAAATCCGCTGGATGAAGAATACCGCCGCGCTTCCCAGATAGGATGGCCCTCTGACTCTTCCCTTTCAAGGACTCAACAGCCTCGGCTCCTGGCTCTAGGTCCGGCTTCTGCCGGTTCCAGCAGTGTGCCTACCCGTCCTAGCTGGTCATTGGAAAAAGTGGCCCAATTTACTGCGCTGCTGATCTCGCGAAATCCGCCCATCGAACAGCTAGCCGCCGCCCTGGAGGTGCCCGTTCGCGAAGCATATGCGATGCGAGATTGGCTAGAAAAGGAGGGGACGCTCAAGCCAACGACTTCTGCTCCGTCTTTTCAATCCTCCGCACCCATGCGCATGCCTGACTGGCCGCGAGCGGATGTGGAATGGTTCATCAAGGAGCTGAGCCTCCCTCACCCTTGCCCAATCGAGGATTTAGCCGAAGTACTCGGCCGCGATGTCGAAGAGGCAAAAGCAATGGCAAGAGTGTTGCGGAGACAAGGAAGACTGAAGATGGATCGTGGTCCAACTGCCGCGGCTACTAATGTGACAACGGCGCAACATTCTGCTCCCAAGTCGAAGCTGCTTATAGCTGGCGCCATGGCTGAATCGACTGCTGCTCCCTCGTCTTCAGCTCCTCCCGATCCTCAGCTAATGCCGACACGCCTAACATATCCGGCTGCTGCCAAACGAGCAACGGCCGTCTCCTCGCGACCAATTGCTGCACCTCCGAGCACAGCACCCCCTCGCCCTGTGCGCAGAGAGATTCCCGAGACGCCAGCCCGGCCTCCGTCCACGTTTCCTGCCGCCGCCGCGCGGCACAGGGGATCTCCCCCGATCTCTGCTGTGCGCGCCAATGTCCCTCAGACTCCTTCAAGACATGCCCTTATCGGGCAAGCCGCGTCCTCCTCATTGGCAGCGGCAGCGGTGAAGAGGCAGAATCAGGATCGTGCCGGTCCATCGGCTTCGGCTCCTGCCCGGGTTAAGAAGAGCCCCCCTCTCACCGCCGCACCCGCTGCATCAGCTCCTGCGCATGCACCTACCCCTGCGGAACAGCAGAGGCCCGAGGTTCCTGCTTGGATGAGGAAGGACATTCCTCCTCCGGGTTCTAGCTCTGGCGAAGAAGACGAGGAAGAAGAAGTTGAGAAGGTTAGCAAAGTCGGCAAGGGCAAGCGGGTTGTCAGAGAAGAGCAGGATATCTCAAACGAGAGCGTTGAATGGGGGAGACAAAAATAGAATGAGACTCAGTTTAAAAACGAGCAACAGTTAGAGCATTCAAAAGAGGATGAACAGTCAGAAGAAGATGACGATTTCGAGGCTCTGGAGCGCCAGCTTTGGAATCAGGCACGTGTTAAGCCGATAGAAGAGGGGAAGGGAGGAGGAGTGGGAGGTGAATTCAGGAGAGGTGGATGATTACGAAAGTCTGAAAACGAATACCAATTCGGTAGAGACGCGGATGACGACTCAATTAATGAGACTGAACGTAAGTTTGACCCCGAAAAATGAGCCCGATGCAGACGGTTATCCCGGCTGGTCCGAGCGCGAGCTCAAGTTACTCATCGATTTTTATCAGCAATTTGAAATTCCCTTGGTCGCTGAAGTTCTGAAGAAACCGGAACAGGAAGTTCCAAGAAATGCCGCGAAGGCTTACCGCAGTAGTAGGAATGGTTCTCCGGAACGTTCGGATCCATTCCGGAGATGAGTGGTGGTGGAAGATGATGAGTCTTCAGCTTTTCATGTGAGAGGTTGGGATTGGTGCTCGAGATACCCGTTTTTCTACTAGCACTGCTGCTTGTTTACAAACAATGAAAGGGATGTTGGAGCCTGGTACGTTGCTAATAGCTCTTGTGGGCGCGCGAGGATATGGCTGTATGCAATCAGCAGCTCAGTTTAATCAGGAGTGTCCTGAATACTGGTCTCATTCGATAGTCCCATCTCCATATTTTACACCTCGAAGCATAGTACGGTCAAATCCGTACGGCGTTACCAAGACAGGCTGTGGCGTTGATTGGTGCAATGCGCCACACCCCGCCACATGCCGCAGGGCAAAACTTAAGAGCACTTTTTTGCACCACGGCAAAAACTCCTTCCGTTCCAGCTCCTCCCAGGACCTCGGAGCAGACAGTTCTTCCGCAGCGACAAATGAACCCAGATCCAATCCGACCTGGAATTGGTTCTTGACCAACACCAAGGTGCGTTTCAGCCTCGCCTGCCTTCCTTAACCAGATCATCAATTGCGCCTCTGTACCCCTCCCTGCCCTCACTCGCGTGCCGCTCGAATCCCCCAGTTTGCGCCCATAATGGGGCCACTCAAACAGAGCGCGCTGCCGCAAATCACATCGCGGGCGGCGGAGGAGGAGCCGCATGCATGTTGACGTCGATGGCCGCTTGTGTGGTTGCTGTCGGCGCCCATGCCCCATGTGGATGCATTTGTTTCTGCTTCTGCTTCTGTGTTGTTTTCTGTACATCGCACATGATAGCGCCTCTGCTAATTGCCAATTGATGCACAAATCTGCGTTTTGCCTGTATGGACCGTTGGCTACATCGGCCTCGTGCTGTGGTGTGCTGCCGTCCCTCCTGACCATCATGGCTAACGTCCTGGTGTCGCCAGTTATAAATCCCTAGATTGTATTACCATACTTGACTGCACCTAGCTCGTACGCTGCCGTTGATCCTTCCAGTGATTCCCTTCCCTCCCAGATCAGCACCAGCTCGTTATGGACGAGAAGAACCCACCCCAGCCGGCGGGAGATGTCGCGATGCGGGAGCCATACCCTGAGCCCATGGTCGCCGATGACGCACAATACTACCAGCTAGCCTCGCATCAAGAACAAGAGCCGCAAATAGGCCAGCAACAAGCTGTCAAGCCCGAGACGCCGACTCTCCCTAACATCGCGATGGAGCAACAGCAGCCAACCCAAGAGCAGCAGCATGCTCCTCATCCTCATGAACTTGAAGGACTGCAGTCGCTTCCCGAGCAGCAGGCTCCCCAAGAGCAGCAACAACCACCGCAGGAAGCACAGATCTCCCCACAACAGCAGATCCAGGAACAGCAGGACCAGACGCAGCAGTCCCGTCCGGCGGCAGACGCGGTTGACGAGTTGCAGCTAGCAGCCCAGCTGACCCAGAACCTTGCTCCAATGATGGTCCCCGTGCGGATGGACGGCGTGCCGAGCGAACCGCAAGATCAGCAAGCTCTACCACAGCAGGACTCCGACGTGTCCAACAACACCGAGACCAACCTCCAGGAGCAACTGGAAGCCTCGCTGCAGCACCATGACCGCGAGATGCAGAACCATGCTGCCGAGCTGCAGACCCCACAGGAGCATCACCAGCATCACCATCTCCAGAACCACGAGCTCCAAGCCCACGGCTTGTCGAACATGCTCTCGCCGACAACCCAGCCGCCGCAACATCACTATGCCCAGGCGCAAGGAGCCCCAGCGCCGCCGCCGCCACCGCCGCCGCATGCGCAGATCCATCCCCATCTGCAGTCGCATCTGCCGCCAGAGCATCATCATCACCTTGGACCCGGCGCCGGCGCTCCAGGCTACTCCATGGGACCTGACGGCACCGGGCCGCCGGCAAGGAAGAGGACCAAGGTGTCGCGAGCATGCGATGAGTGTCGGCGCAAGAAGATCAAGTGCGATGCACAGTGCGAGACGAGCGACGAGCCGTGTTCAAATTGTCGGCGGTCGAACGTGCAGTGCCTGTTTAGTCGGGTACCGCAAAAGAGGGGGCCTAGTAAGGGGTATGTTTTACGAATTGGGGCACGTGCTGTTTGTCAGATGCAGGCTGACCGTTTGTCTGCAGGTACATCAAGGAGCTCGCTGATCGGATTAACAGCATCGAGGGGAAGCTCAACAGTACACGGGTGGAAGCCCTCGATACCCTGACTAGGAGGGCGTCGAGCGATATGTTTGGGACCCCAATCGGCGATGAGAGCAGGAAGAGACCTTTCTCGAGTATATCGAGCGATGGCTTCCCTGCTGCGTCGCCGACACGTATGGCGGTTGCCGGTGAGCACCGTCCGATTGTGCCTTATCCCCCGGATTTTCCCCCTATGAACCCCAACCATCCGAATCACATTACCTCACGGCTGCTCGACGGCATTCAGGTCAATGCGGATGCAAGCGACATCAGCTTGCAGCAGCCTGAGGCCGGAGCGAGCGAGATCGCTCCGGCTCCGGCTCAGGAGCAGCTTCCCGAGGTCGAGGATACTGTTTTTGAAAGGTACGTCGACCCTCTTGATGATTATTAGCCGGGTGTGCCCCAGATGCTGACGACTACACAGCTATCTACAAATTATTCATCCAACCTTCCCGATCCTGGCCAGCACGAAGGCCAGAGTACAATACCTGGTCTTCCAGACGCCTCTCACGCTGCAAAAGGCATTCTATCATGCCTTCTATTCCATGATTGGGCCCTTCCTCCCGTCTCCAGAAAGCCAGCCGTACGGCAGCCCCTCTACAGCTCGCAGGCTCCTCAGCTCTTGGGAGGAAGAGTGCATCCCTCGTACTGCCACAACCGACCTTGTTCGTCTCCTGACGCTCATCATGCTTGGCATCGGGCACGACCTGGACGGTATCCCAGCCGTCAAGGGCCAGCTGGGCGGCCCGTCCAAGGCCGAGATGGTTGGTCGCGCTGTTGGGCTTGCACATTCGATGAACCTGCGCGTCAAGGCCGCGAAGTTGGATGCCAGCTCGCCCTTGGATCCTGATACTGACTCCAACTGGGCGGTCCGCGCGTGGTGGGTGCTGGTCATGCTGGATCGCTGGACTGCTCTTGGCGCGGCGACACCAGCATTGATCGACAATGACAGTGCGGTTATTGTGCCGGCGCTGAAGCAGCTCGTTGGGGAGGTGGTTTACCACTTGATTCGTGAGTACTCCTTGCTCTTCTTCCCTTCAAGCGGAATGGGTCTAACAATAATCACAGGGATATCGGTCCGCCTAGGGCAGATCATCCCGCTCGCCATTACCTCCCCTCGCGAGCTAGGTGCCTCCAGCAAGGTCATCTTCGACTCCATCGTCGGCATGAGCGTCGAGGACGTACGGCTAGCCCTTCCCAATAACGAGTCCGATCCTATCCTACTCCTCTCCTACTGGCATCTACGCCTCCTCTGCGACCTCCTCTCATCCTCACCCTCCCGCCGTCGTAACATTCTCCAAGCCGCCTCCTCCTTAGTCTGGCTCCTCGCCCAGAACCATGACCTCCGGAGCCCCCTGACCCATCACTTCCTCACCCTCGCTTCGGTCGCCCTAAGCGAACTTCTCGCCTCCTCCTCCTCCTCCACCAACACCCCCGACGAAAACAATAAGCTCCGCGACGAAGCGGCCAAGCTAATCGACCTCGTCCTGCAGTTCCGTTTGTCGCCTTCGCCGTGGAACGAGGCTGTTAGGAAGACGCTTGCTGATCGCTTGGGTGTGCCTGTCCCGCAACACCCAACGGCTGGGCCCAATGGCCATGAGAATGGTGTGAACGGTGCTGGGACGGAGGCTGCCGCTGACCAGAATCTGCAGCAGCTGGCTGATTTGGCCACGGCGGCTAACCATGCCTTTGCTACCGCTACGGCTCCGACTGGTGAACCTGCTGGGCAGCAGGTTGATGGACGTGCGGCGGAGCAGCAGCCCGTTGCCTCTACTCCAGCCCCCGCGCCAGCTGATGTAAACAGCAATAGTACACCCGCTACAGCACCCGGGCTAGCTCCTGAGCAGGCCAGCAACCTTAAGAGCGAGCCGGGAATGTCTGGCGGGCCCACGCCGCCCGCAGCTGCACTTGTGGACGGATTTCCTGCTGTTGATGCGGGCCCCAGTAATACCGATGCTACCAATCAGGGAGCGCCTGTGTTGCAACAGCAGCAGCAGCAGCAGCAGCAGCAGCAGCAGCAGACATTTGATACCCTCGCTGTGTTGAGGGCTGGGTATCTGGCTTCGTTTGAAGGTGTCCCGGTTGAAGGCCAGGATGTGGATGTGATGGAGTTTTAAGACTCTAACATTAAGGGAAATGAGTTGGATGGGAGTTGAGCCATGTTGATGAACTACTATGCACTGTCTAAATCTGTAAAGCAGGAGATGTTGGGCTTTGTTGTCATCAAAGATCGGGAGGAGGATGTGTATATGTGTAGTATACCCCATTCCTAGGAATGCTGTGTATTGGACGGATATCTAGCTACCTTGCTGGCGTTTGGGAGCTTTTGCTATCTATGCCGAGGGGCGGGCAATTTGACTTTGAGTGGTTGGATAGACGATGTAAGGACCATTGTGTACATTTGGGATATCCGATTGAGGCCGATATCGACATCTCCTACAATATGAGCATCTCTCCTTTCCCTTGAATCACTACCTAGCCTGTCTGACATCCGAGTCATGTTTCTTGAGAAAGTCATATCGACGACTAAATCCAAATGTTAAAGCCTGAATGCCCTCCCTCCCTCCCTCCCTCCCGCCCTCCAACATCCATCTACCCGGCAACCCTCCAGTTTACTCGGCTATTCCGTCGCATATTACCCGGGATAGTGGTCGATACCTACCACAGCTTGAAACGTTAAGCCTGCTGACCTGGGCTGGGAAAAGCTCATGATCAAGCATCAGCACATTCTCACTGCAGGTTTTCAACGTGCGTCTTCTCGACACCTCGCATGGACGAAAACCAGACTGCTAGCATACGGACGGGAGTGTGTGCCTAGCAGGCTGCCTATCTCATGGGCAGATCCAGTAGAGGTCTGTGTGGCACTTCCCCAGATTTTCACATGCGTCTTCGAGTGTTTGCCGTATGCAGGCTGCCAAGAAGTCGTTGGCTGTAGGTCATCCCGTCCGTACGTAGTTGGGATGCATCCTCTTCCCCGGATTTTCACGAAGAACGACGTCATCAACGGAATCAGAGGAGGGCCCCAGGACTGTAGGTTTCCGGCGGGATTTCTTTTGTCTAACTGGAAGGCATCATCATCAAGCGCGGCTTACAATCGGCAGGCAAGCAAATTGTGTATATAGCGTAATCAGGTTTCATGCTTCATGCCCATCTTTGTTGACACACCGCGGGGTGTCCTGTCCCGTCTAAAGGGTGCGTATGGCTTCTTGACCTCATCAGGCCTCTGACCTGATCAGGCAGTCTGACAGGTAGCCGGTCCATGCGCAATGGCATGTTAACCGCAGTTACTACTACTTACTACCTTCCAGCATCCCAGAGACCCAGAAAAAAAACTGGGGCAAGGCAGCTGCTAATCAACGCAGAGTTTCTTGACCTGCAAACCGTAAGCATCCTGCGTGGCGGGCAGCGTTGTTGCTAGCTTGGAGTGCACATGTCCCCCATTCGGAAGAATGATGTCACGTTGCTTGGGCTGTGGGCTTGGGCTGTGCCCCCCTTTTCCCCGGCCCGGGAGATCCCTAGCGCGGAGTTGACTTTGGGGGTTTGGATATCCGGTTCGGGATGGGGGAGGGTTGGAGTTCGGCAGTCTCACTAAACCTGTGCGGTCCATTGTCTACTGGAGGAGAAGGACGTCAAGATGAGTTCAAGTGTTGTGTAAGTAGCGAAACGAACGACATCGTGAACGCTAGCAAGCCATCGCCCCTTCAACTCCATCAGCAGACAACGTTCGATGTCTGCTGACTCGAGATTCTTTCACTACCTACTGGTTTCATCATCCCGTGCTGAGCCCCGAGGGTGCGCAATGACCGGGCTAAACACGTGCAGTCGAGCTGCAGGCTAATGGGTAAGAACGGGAGCTAACGCAGACAAGACACCAATCGACCACTGAATTTGTTGCCGTAGCAGAGCACATATCCCCACATAGCCACGAGGCCTCGGCTGCGCTATGTGGTGTACTTATCCAATAGACGGCCGGAAATATCATCCATCTTAGAGCTTGATGGGGACGAGGGCGCGGATGGCCTGCGGCAGGCAAGTTGAGCCGCGGCTGTGTCGAGGAATGAGGAGTGCTAAAGGATCTCGTAAAGGGTAAAAGCACACATTCCGGTGATTGTTGTATGGAAGATCGCATACTCGGTAGAATCAGTGATGAAGTTATTAACCATACGGAAAAATGTTGATCAGATTGAGATCGCTAGCAGAGAGCAATTAGATATGGCACGTGCTCTATCTTTGTCTTGCAGCGATAGCCAAGTTAAGGGAGTCCACTCATAATTCTAAGAATAGTCCACAGCTCCATACCAGATTTCGAGAAGGACATGATGCTACGCGGGAGGACAGTAGAAGTTGCCAAACTGCCGACTCCATCTTTGGACGAGCCGTAGGGTAAGCTTTCGAGTAGGTAAACCCGAAGCTCGTTGCCGATCCAGATATCATCAACCTTGATGCAGTATCAACTCCTGATCTCCAACATCGTAACACTTGCTTAACTACGAAGCATGAACACTAACGGCTCATCCAGATACGAACTGGCCACAGAGGCATAGCTCTAGCCAACTCTAAAACCACACCACGCCTTCCTTTCAACGCTCCCTCATCGAAAGCCTTACCCCCCCTTTCCGCTGTCATGCCCCCAAACCAACGGGTCCCGGCCAGTCCCAATCGCCAGTGTCTCCAGAACCCATCGGCATCCACAACCTCCAATTCATAAAAAAAAAGAAAAGAAAAGAAAAGAAACAATAGGAATTTAAAAAAGCGAGTGCCGTGAAGGTCACCAGAGACCTAGAGACCCATCTCACTCGGCTCGGTCGGCTCGGTCCAAACGAATCAACGCTCGGAGGAAGCCCCTGTTCGCTGTGCATGTTGTGTCTCTCGGGCTCAGTTTCCTGCCGAGGAAGCCGAGTCGAGATGCAAGACGCAAATCGGGCAGGGGTAGCAAGAAGACACGCGACCAGCGACCGACCGCGTCGCTGTGTGGATCAGAGTCCACAGCAGAAAGCAGGATCCGGTTGCTTACCTAACGCCCCCCAGCCAACAAAGCCCCGGTAGGGATCACCGGAAATGAAGAAAATCCACCCAGCTCATCCGACACATGCGTTACGGTGTAAGAGAACCATGCCCGTATCATGTATGTATGCTGCATTGGCGCGGGTAGGGGATACCACTTTTCCTTATAAGAAAGTGGATACACATTGTTTTGAATGATGAGTAGTACCAGATGGTGCTGCCGCTCGTCGATGACCGATGACGTTAGGTCATGTAGCCCAGCCGTTATCCGATCCGCTGGGCCCCGACTCCCCCCTCCGATGGATGACTAGGAAAACCTAACGTCCACTACGCTCAAAAAAAAACCCACCCATCATCCACACAAAGCAATCCCACAATTTCTCCATTTCACTCGGCGACGTGGAATAAATGTGTGGAGGGCAAGGATCTCCGTGTTAGGGTCAGTGTCAGCGCGGGATGCACATGGTAACAGGAGACGGAAATTTGTGTTAGCTTGGGGAAACCAAGACGAAAACAATTGTGGGGACGACGACGTCGTCGTCCGAGTTGAGGGGCTGACTTCATACGATGTTAAGGTGCTCGCATCACATGTCTGGGCACCATGGTTGAATTTTCAAGTCGACTGGATGTGTAGAATCGTCTGAAATGCCGTGCGAATCTGTCAGTGTCGTCAGCAGTCGTGATTCATACTCGGATATCTGAATGTTGATGCCCGGGATCTGAACACCATAATTGGATGTTCAAACAGAAGCTTCTCAGACAATGAGTTGCCTATAGTAAAGCTTGCACACGTGAAGAGCAAGATGATGTTCAAGAGGGAAAGAAAATTCAGACAGCCAACAGTATAGGATTTGTTTTAGTATTTTTAATAGCTGTCTGTATCCAAGGTATCTCAGAGAGTGCCGGTAATTTGTGCACTACCGTTCACCCCTTAGATTTATGATTGGTATCAACAGTTTCTCGAAATCAGAATGCCTTTCCCGCAGCCACAGACTTTTTGCTTCTTTTTTTAGGTAACCACCGTGATAACAGAAACACCCAACTGCCATCTGATGCAACAAGGGGTAGGGGGTTTTTAAAAAAAAAAAGCTAAAACAAACCAAAACGTATAAGTGATGTCCCCACGAGGACGGTATAGAAATCGTGATCATGAATGCATTTTTCCTTTTTTAAATTTTGCCTCCCCCAGATGATCCAAAGACAAACGCCCCGTAAACGAGAAAACCTTCGCCCCCGAACCATTCCACGCAATTGGGTAGTATATAGGAAATCGGTGGATACCAAAAAGTATGTACGAGAAGTCAAGATGTTAAAGACCACCAAGCTCCAGAAGTTCTATCCCGAGCAGCAAGTGGTATGTAAAGAGGTATGGAAAGTATGGCATGGGTATATCCTATCCGTGTGTGTGCGCGCACGCGTCACATCCCAGACCAGAAACGCCACGTCGATTTGTATGCCCAATTCTGATCATATTCCAAAAGAAGCTTAACAACCACTTTTGGTTATTAGCTATCCCAGAAAGAAGGCATGCTGCTGTCATTCGGCGAGTCCGTCAGGGGCAGGCCGCTATAATCATTGATCCAGAAAGTCGAGTCCTCGTCAAGCGCTGCGAGGGCGCTGAAGTTAGGTGCTGCGGCGGTAGCACCTGTCAGTAGAGGGTCGTCCAGAGGCCCAGTAGCCGACATGAACTTGCTGCTGGCCTTCTTCATGAAGTTAAAGTCGTCAAACTCGAGGCTCGACAATTCCGACGGGTTTGACGACAGCAGGCCCAGCTGCGAGGTGCTGATCGAGTACCCGCTGGTGGTACCTGTCGCTGTGCTGAAGGCGTCGAAGTCATCGAGCGGGTTTGAAAGGAAGTCCTCAACCTCTGAGACTTCTCCCGAAGTTGAGGCGGTCGCTGTGAGCGTCGGGATCGAGTCCGGGCCGGAGAAGTCAAAGCCGCCGAAGCTCTGCGGCTGGCTATAACTGGAAGGGCTGAAGTCAGTCGACTTGCTGTTAAAATCGAGCCCCTCATAGTTATTCCAGTCCACTGAAGTAGCGCTCAGTCCAGCGCTGAACAATGGCTGCTCGTAGTCTGACAGGGAGCCAAAAAAGTCGGCGCTATTCGGAATGTATGGCGTGTACTTGATGTTCGAGAGGTCCAAGGGAGGGAGCTGGCCGTTCATCTGGGAGAAACCCGACGACCCGTCAAGCAGTGGCGACGCGGCCTCCGACCGGACCCTGCGCTGCATCTGCTCGTCGCTCCCGCTCCCCGACGAGTTCCTGGAAGGGCAGTCGGCAGCTCCGATCAGGTCATCCATCGAACGGTGCTTCAAGCTGCCATGGGGCAAGCTATTGACGCGGTTGAGCTGGTAAGGACTGCACTTCTGCGCCGCCTTATTGTGCCTGTGCGTCGGCTTGTGATGGCCGTTGGCGTCAAAGGAGAGCATACCGTCCGAACTCATGGTGCTAGCGCGACGTCTGGGGCGCGAGCTCGGCTTCGAGGAGCTCTTGTTGCTCCCATTGGCGGAGGAGCTGGAGCTGGTCGTCGGAGAAGGGGAATTCGAGGCATTGACGGCCTCTGCGCCGGACTCAGGGACAGGATCGAGCTGTTGTGATGGCGAGTCCTTTTTGCCTGCGCAGGTACAGCGGCCGCCATGATTGCAGCAACAGCTCTCTAGAAGAAAGGAAAAGGATTCGAGTCAGAGGAGCAGCGCCTTGATTCAACCAGACACGACAAAATGCTCACCCTTGTGACCCTCGAGCGGCGGTCTCAAGTGCACGCACTTTGTTGTCTTCTCGCCGCAGTCACATCGGACATGTGCTGACCGGGACTTGCGCATAGCCCGGCAGTGCGCACACTGGGAAACGGGCCGACCCTTTTTGTTGATGTGCTGGAGTGGCCGGTCTGTTGAACGGAAGCAGGCATGTTAGCAGAGCTCGACTTAGCTGTATCAATCCATCATTCATGACCATGCAGCTACCCCGCGGCGCGGGGCGACAATGGGAGAAGGGGGTTTTGGTGTTGAAAGTTAAGGTGACATTGAATGAGGGGCAACAGCCAGGGGGAGGAGGGGTGGCAGCAGCTTGGCCCCCACTTTCGAGGGCTTGCAGGTCCGCAGCCCACACAGGTTTGCATGCCTGTGGCCTTGTGGACTTTTCTATTGCGTCTTGTGCTTCCGTTGTTGCGAGCTTGTCCCGCTGCCCCTCGGTTGCAAGCGGCAAGAGCGCTGGCAAAACAGCTGCCACCACCACATGCAGCCCAGGGACAAGACGGAGTTAGAGCTGCTGCTGATGCAAGAGAGAAGCGTCGGATGCAGCAAATGAACGACGGGGTATGTGCATAGTCTGTGTAAGAGTGCAAAGGCTGCAGAAAAGAGTTGCTTGTCACAAACGTCAAAACACACTTACCATGATGTTGACAATTGCTCACGCGATGGCCTCGCACGCAGGCTTCGCAGGCATACTTTTCTCCGTTGATGATCATGGTGGGCAGAGCTCAATTGATGTTGCTGTTGTCGTCTGCAGAACTGAATTGTGTAATTGGGACCTAGACTGGCTCTTCCCAGACACACAGAGAATCGGCGACGGATAGAACGAACGGAGATCCGGAGGCAGGCTGGGAAAAAAATTGGATTGTGCGCGCGCGTGTGTGTGCGCTTGGACAGACCGCGATTGGCGGCTCTCGCTCTCGGTGTTGAATAAGCCCGGCAGGCAAAGGCTGTCAACCTTAATGGCAGTGTGGGCTGTCCTCTGGCACTGCGCTCTGAACTCTCAACTCTCAGAAAGCCATGCGACAGGGCGACGGGCAGAGTTCGATATCGGATGGTATTCGCAGAAGCACCGCTTATAGGGTCATCGCTTAGGGAACCGCTGGGCCCAAACCATCGGTGCAGGATGCCGAAGACTCCGGATCGAAACCAAACTCAACGGTGAGTCGAGTAGAGAGCAGGCTCACGAGGGCGAAGGGGGAGCCGCGAAATGAAATAAAAATAATGTGGGCTGTGTGGAGCTGTGGAGGGAGAGGAGGGGGGGGGTTCGTTGCTGTGCTGTAAATGCTGGGGAGTGGGTGACGGGCTGTGCAGTGGAGCTCCAGATCCTAGCTTCTTGGTTATGGTTGCCAGGCTTGGGCTAGGTGGGCTAGGTCCAAGAGGTCCCGTTAGCGCAGATAGGTTAGGTAAGTTTGAGATAGGTGTGTGTAAGTCGCAAGTTGCAACCCGCAATCAAACAGATCCCGGTGGGCCGTGGGCCGTGGGACACGCGAAACCGGCTGTCGTGGGTTGTCGAGTGGCCGAGAGCCTAGCTGCAGCCCCGAGGACAGCGAGGGTGGGGTTTGTCCAGAGCAAAGCCGGAGACGAGATGGTCCTGTAGACCGTCTGTAAAGACGTAACTGTAACTGGTCCTGTATCGGAAGACCTCGCCTTGTGAGCCAGCTTGAGCGTGTGACGAGGCCGTGGATGGGTCAGGCCCTTTGGGCCTTTGATAGAAGTGTCTGGTAGCTATCGATGTCAGCAAAGAACTTTCTGTCCGGTTTCTAACGCCTCTTGTGCCACCCGAACGGGAAAAGCAAGTTTCCAGTTTCCAGCATCCCAACATTTCTTTGAGCAAGCCAGCCGAAACGACACAGCTTGTGTGGTGGATAGGCCTGCTGCTGGAGACCACAGCCACGGGCTAGTCAGCGGCCCGTTGGGTGTCTGGGAACCAAGGGTACGGGACCCCTAAACAGCCACATGTACCAGTGGCTGACTGCAACGGCGAACATGTACCTGACGTCAGGTAATGTAAGGTACTGGGTACTCCATACCTTGCAACGCCTGGTGGGTTCGGCGGGCACCGTAGCGGACGGCGGGCAACGGGCAGCGGCCTCGTTCGCTCCGGGGGCGTTGGGTCCCAACTTGTGTTCTGTCTTGTTGATCCTAGCGCCGACTTGAGCTTTCCGCCGTCGCCGGCATGACGTGCAGCGTTCAGCAGCTGATGTTATCTTCAATTACGGAGACGTCCTGAAAGACTGAATGATACTATTAATTAAGCACGGCTCTGTCCTGGCGGCTGGCGTATTATCAGGAGAACTCGAGGCAACAAACGACCGGCGATACTGCGGCAAGGACGTGAAAAGTTTCAGACGCAAAAGAACCGAAGGAAGATTGCAGGTAGCAGAAGGCTCTCTCTGGTACCTGTAATCCATAGACCATGCGATGCGAGACTGGGAGCTCCGCCTTGAGGGAAGTGGGCTCCCTTTAATCTGTCGGCCCGGTGATGACTACAATCATGCCTATAGACACACGCTCTCTCTCACACACATTGCACCCATGGCCACGGCGCACACATGCACACGGGGCCTGATCAAGTTGCCGTGGGATCTCACATGTGGATGGCTCGCGAAACTGGAAGCCGGGGAGACGCTAGGATGGAAGGACGACGGGAGAGAGAGACAGACATCCATTGTGCCCTCTGCCCAGGCCGAGCCAAGCAGCCAAGGTCCGGATGAACGACAATGAGTGACGAAACGGGCGTCCAGATCGGGATGCTTTTTACAATCAACGGCTTGGCAGAGACACGCATCTGGGCAGTCTTGGGAAGACCTCTGGGCACGACAGGGAGCGCAACTATGGTACAAGGTACCTGCGCTAGGAGGGCGGCTGCAGCACAAGATCAATGGCCGGCCAGCTATCAAGGCTCTGTGTTCTGGGTACCGTGTACGTCATGCGCAGTGCTGGGAATGGTGGCCCTCTGCAACGCTGCCAGCGGCGGCTACGTACTGCATCGCATCGCTGTCACTGTCGCTGGCCGCAACATCAACGGAAAAACTGTGGTTGGTCGCCGTCCTGTCCCTGCCCTAGGCGAATAACGGGATCGCGGGTTGCCCAGCAGCACTGGAGCAATGGAGCAATGGGCAAATGCAGCATCGCCGACCAGGACCGGCGGCCGGGCCTGTTTTCACGAATCACTTCCAGGTCGCTCCTCATGAATTGCTGCGCTGCCAGGATGGAAGGTCGGTGCATATGACGGCTGGCCTGTGACAATTTGACTGGCCGACTGCTCTGCTGGCCACTCCCAACTGCTACTTACCTGCTAAACCGTCCTGCTAGCCGCTGGTCGCTGGCTGATACTGGGCTGGTTTGCGAGCATGTGGAGGCCCGGGCCTTTGGAGGATTGGCGGAATGGGTTGGAGGATGGAGGTCGGTTGAGTGGGTGTGTGTGTGCTGGGCTCCTGGCCCGTGCTCCAGGGCTGGGAGCGGCACGCGGGGGCCCATTATTGGTTCGTGCACTACCGTTTCTTCCCGCCTTCCTCCCACAGAAGCCCCAAATTCCCACATCCCCAGTCACCAGAAGTTTCAGCGGGCTCCTTCCTCACTTGGCCGTTCTTTCCGAGTAACGTTGGCTCACTCTCATCTGGGTTCTGTGGCTGCCTTCTCCTGTTCTGCCTGCCCGCAGGCCCCAGCCTCCAATATCCCAGAGTCCCCCCAAGGCTCCAAATTCCCATAGTCTTTTCTCTCCCAACTTCCTGATGGTGGTATCATTCGGAGTCGGCCGGCAAATCCAACGCCACAACCGTCTTCCTTTGAACCTCTATGCTCTGGCAGCATCATCCGGATGACGGATTCATGGACGGCCGGTCAACTTTTCGATTGCCGATAGCTGGCTATCTCAAATCTCCATTCGGGCGCTGGGCCGCGGCTTGGAGCGGATGTGATCAACCGAAAAATCATTCATCCGTTTCCATATCCTAGGTATTTTGCCCTATACACTATGGTAGGACACCATGCACTACGTGCACTTCACCAAGGCCTCGGCGTCATCACAAGTACCCAACCCTCTTGGGCTTCTCAATAAGGCACCTAAATTGTATGGATGGTGAAGGTGGGGTGGCAGACCTCCTCCCAGTCGTTTCTGTTTCTCGAAACAGTCCAGCAACTCCCCACGGCGGCACTTTACGGGACACGTTTGGGCAAAGGCCCCAATCAAATGGTAAAACAGGAACTGGGGCCCGATCAACCTCGACGGGGGAGGTTGCAATACAATGGCTATCCACCTCGATGAGCCCAGTTGTTGTGATTGTCCCCAGGCCTGCTACACTGGCTTACTCCCGGGTTTTGGACAATGATCACAACGATGATCGTACAGAGTACCAGTGTGAGAGGGCAACACGATGATGCATCATGGGTACTTCTCACATGCCCTAGGTACCTGTACAGGGCATTCACATCACACCTACCAGGTACGGATACATGCTGTGTATCCTGGCGCTCACCAGTGCCCTATGCGGCTTTGCTGCCAATGACGCACTTTCTCCCCAGAAATAGCAGGCGATCGAAGGCACAACATGGGGCAGAATGCAGCGGTTCACACCGCAGCGCTGTTGGGCTTACATCGCGCATCGCTCATCCCGGTTGGATGAGAACTTGTCGCTTGCTGCCAAGGATGATGACGAGAACTCATCCACAGCAGCCGTCAGAAGAGAAATTCGAGATTTTCATTGTCGACTGGATTCTTTTGACAATCACAGACTCCCAAATGAAACATACCAGGTCGTCTTGCCGTCTTATGCCCGAATATGATGCTCCGTGTAAAGGATGACGAAGATGATATCGATTTCGGGAAATCTCTCCTTGAAGCCAACAAGCCACCGCCGAAAGCGACCAACCTGATATTCTCTGACTGGGATCGAGATCGACAAAAAGTTAAGCCTAATCTCTGATGCCATGCAACGCAAATCTCAATTCGGCTGGAGAGCCCTGCTTACGGTTGAAAGTGTTCCGTGGCGGAACAACCGCAACTCCAGCCGAATGACAACCGCTGGTTTTTCTTTCCCAACAGGCAGCTGTTGTTGGAAGCCCTCGCATATACAATACATAGAGCCCCTCCATGCCTACCTAGGTTCCATATGCTAGAACAAAAAACAAGGACAGATATCCCGTTGCCTCCGTGGTATTACGGGTCTGACGAAACGTCAGAATGCTGCACTCCACTATAAGCCGCCCCGATCTCCCCGTTCACTGTCTCCTTTGATAAAAGCCGGCGAACAATTGACATGGAAGGTTCGCCGTGTCGAGCATGGAACGTCGCTCGCCGGCCTTCGGCTCGGTTGCAGCTAGCCGCGAGGAGCGTGGTGGAGATCCGTCGCTTTTGAAAACTGAAGATGGGAGCCGACGACAGACGTGGAACTGCCTGTTTCTGTCTCTGCTTGATGCGCTGCCTAGGCGTTGCGTGCGCGGTAGGGAGGCTAACTCAGACTAACTCAGCTGGGCACGCAAGCCTTCTACACCCCTCTCATTAACGCAGGTCGCAGGGCATGATTTGAATCCGGAAACTGTTGACGGATGGGGGTTGATAACGATCAAGGTGAGGTGGCCAATGTGAGCAACAAGAATTCATGAACCTGGAAACGCTGCCCCCTCCATCGCTCGCGGTGCCCTGTGGGGAAACTGGACGCTGCCCTGGAAGGGACTTGGCGAGCCCTGGGACCCACAGAAAGACCCTGGGCTC